CCTGGGATCTGGAAATGCGATGGCCCTGTTGGGGTGAACTCGACAGAGGAGCAAAGCCATCCGGGTAGGAGTTTTATCTTGCTTTTGGCGCAGGATTGGGACTGGATTGACGAGTCGCGTCCTTGGTCGCGACAATGGCGTATTCTTTACTGAGTTTTGGTGACTCGATTTACATGTGACGGTGGGGTTGCAAACTTGACACAGTATTGGAGAGAGTTTGACTGGGAAGTGGAAAGGGGTGTGGCATCTGGAGGGAGTCGGCTATGGAGTTGTCCTTGGCTTGCTGGGAAACTACTTTCGACGATGAATACCCGGCACATATGGAAACGGCGTTCCATTGGATTACCGGTCAAGCTGGCAAAGATGGAAATATATACGACACGCGCCATTATTGGTAGAGGTTTTGGTAGGAGGAACTGGGACGAGGATGTTTGTTCAAAAACAAGGACCCGAACGGACAGCAACAGAAACGAACAAAAGGGCCCAAAAGCAAAGGACGAAAGAAAGAAAAAAAGAAAAAAAAAGAAGGAAAGGTTTTAAAAAATAGGGGTAGGATGGATGGATTGTGCGTGGAGCGGGGCTTGGGATTTGGCTCTCCTTGTGTGGTTTGGTTTCACTTTTCCTTTTTCTTGGGCGGCTCTGGGACTGGGCTTGGGCTTCTTTTCATGGATGCTAAACTTGTTTCTTTCTTTTACTATGGAAATGGGAACGGATCTCTTATCACTGCTCCCTTTATATATGTCTTGGTGGGAAGGGGGATCAACTACAGGCGCGGTGCACACATGCAGTTCACATTGGTGGCGTGGACGGGGTAAGACGACGGACGGATGATGGGTAATGGGGTTTATCCTTGCGGAGGAGCGGAATGGGATGGAGAGAGACGATGGTTTTAAGGTGCGCGTTCTTCTTAGTAGCGATAATGGGAGAATTTGGGTTGGGCAATGTTGGGCTTGATGTTGTTTGTGACGTGATATTGGGTGATGTTGATGTTGATGATATTGATGATGTTCATCCTGAATTGCACGGTATCTCACTGTCACACTTGTCCGCTGAGAGGTCAAGTTCCCCAACATGTCCGTCTACATACCTAGTGTACGACTCCCCATCTCCTGTTACACCGGTGGTGAAGAACAAGTTCAAATCATACAACATACATCAGCTTCCATCGTCACAGCAGCAGCATCTTGACTTTCCTCCTCCAAGCGCATCACATCGTCCGCGCTCTCCGCCTTGCCGCCCCAGACCACCGTTGCCCCCCTCCCATCCACCGCAAAAGCGCCCATGGATGAACGCCGCGTCGAACGTACGATGCAGAGCAGGCTTCGCGTCGAGAAATCCACTGGAGCTGAGTGGGCAGTTTGAACTCTGATTTGCAGAGTCCCTGAATTGGCTTTTGCTTGACATACCAAAGAAAGAAGCAGCATAGGGACAGAAGCTTTCGGCTCATCGATTTCTCTCATCTTGATCACGGCCCCTCAGACCCGTGCGTACCGCTCCTACGCGCTATCAGGGCGGCATCCGGAGAACAAACCTGATACAGGGGCTCCCATGCTTCGATACCTCGTCAGCAGCATCGGATTCGACAAACGCCCCGAATATATCTCATTGGCACCCACCCAATCCTTTGCTGCTCGCCTTCTTCATTCCCTCAACTCTTTCTGCATGTTTCTCTTGAGCAAGTTCGCAGTAAGCTCCCCGAATCCAGGCTATTCTGTTCATGGAAATCCGACCTTCAGGGGTCCCGGTCATGATCCTCCATAACAGGGCCTGCCGATTGGTTGGCGGTTTGCGGAGGCGAGGCGGACGGTTCAGCCAAGTGTACAAGGGGCCAGATGTACCATCTGGCGTATATACAAGCATGAAGAAGCATAAAATTGTTAGTACTACTTGAAAGTATCGGCTCCCATGGGCTACATGTCGGGATGAGAAGCTCTTGGCCAAACCTCGGAGAGCTGCTCCATAACCAAGGTAGAACTGTAAAAGCTATCGGTCTGCTACCCAGCCAAGGACCACATCTCCCAAGCGTCAACTCCTCGAGCAAAAGGCAGCTAGGAAAGGGGTGTGTCCAGCAAGGTGCACTGAACAACTGGCCGTCATTATGGCGAGTTGTTGGCCTTGAACGGTGCACAACCGTTTGCATTCAACTCAAGGGTTGCACCAGCCCTCTGAAGCAACACAAGGTCCGTGTTGCTGCAAGACAAGGAGCATAACACTGTAGGGCTGAAGTGAACGGCCTTGGAGCGTTGTTGCCGGCAGAGTCACAGGGACCAAACAGATATATTCTCGGGGCAAAGGTGATATCAGCTGAGCTGAGTATACTAGCAGAGCGTAGCCTGATACTGTCTGTTAGCATAGCCTCACGGAGTATGCTCGCAATGAACCTGAGACGTGACATTGATGAACGGAGCCCTCCTGTGTCCGGCGAACGATCATATACTCATCCCTTGAGAGAAATCCATATTACGATGTGCTTGGTGAGTCATTGGCCAATGAGATCCCACAGCCGCCATTCCCATGTGGCTTCTGCTGCCTCTGCTCCGAAAAGGGGTTGGGCCAGCGCGCGGTTATGCGTAGTGGATATGCAGTGTCCGTCTCCTTGGGAAGTTTGAGGAGCCATAGTAGATATATCTCGTCAGTAGAAGGACGGAGGACGCTTGACGCGCCATGGAGTGCCTGATTAACAGTACGTCGGAGGGAAGATCGAAATGCCCAACTGCTTCTGAGGTATAGGATACTGTGAGATTTTGGAAAAGTAGAATCCGTGTCCCCTCAAACTGTAGAAGTCGAAGACAAAGCAGCCATAGCCCCTTACACGCAATGGCGCACATGAGTTTGGTAGGACTCCAGGTTTCTTTTCATCCTGGTAACGTCCACTGGGCTGTCCTTCTCTCATGCCCTTGCACGGCGAAATAGTAGGCCATGCAATGCACTGGCCTGTTACACTGCATATGGTGGCGAGGCGACACATCTCGAATACTCTCACGAAGCTCGTTCGCAAAGCCAACGGCCGTGCTCATGGGAAAATCCGGATCTGAAGCGGCTAAATGGTCCCGGCGACATTGCGGAGCATCTCGACCTCCAGTGAATCAGCCTGATAGCATACAGTAGAGCGCCAGACATAGAAGAAGACAAGAAAAGGTAAGGAACGGGCGAAAAGAGGGGAGCAGGAAATGGCCAAGCCCTGTAGACAAAGTTTGGGCATCTCACATCGTTCAGCACCGCGATGAGCATTTAGCCCAGCTTCCAGGTTCGGTAGGAGATGCCTTTCCGAGAAGACCTGATGCAATTGCAGGGCACCAGACGGGTCTTGTATGTCTAGCTGGCATAGGATCGATGCGATTTCTTAGAGTCTCCGGGGCAAAAAGATACGGATGGGCGACGAGCCAAAGATTGCCAGATACTTGCGATGATCTGCTAGACTAGGTAGACTCAAGCAAGCCAACTGTGGCGGCCATCGACCAGGTTGTCGTAGCCATATGTGGAGTGAGACCGAGGATCACGACGCAAAGTAGTCGAGGAACGAGAACCCGCTGTGCCGGCGTATGTAGTCATTGTGCCGATATCTGTTGTGTAGCCGGGCTTGGCGGTTCCCGGGTGCACATGCTTGTGCGTCTGAGAGTGAAGCCGCAGCGAATGCTATCAGAAGGCGTGAGCTGAAATGCAACGCAAGAGCGAGAAAGCCAACCTCCGCCATCTTGTTCATGCAAATCCATGGAGCCGTCTCAAGGACGCTCTCACAGGTTAACTCGTAACCAGACTCGGCGCAGAGCAGAGTGAGTGCGAGCCCCAAAGATGGCATCGGGAGAGGAGTAACCCACATCTGCATCTGTCACCCATCGTCACCTCGGGGCTTCCCCAGCCTGGACGGATGGGTGAGCAACAACGGCCTGCCAATTGCACACTAGCCTTGCCGCCCTGCGCCTCTCCTGTGGACCTCGGAGTCCAGAAGCACTTCAAGTTGCGGATTGATGGACTGCGGGTGTGGCCTGGTGCAAGATGTCGGGGTAGCAACGGCAGCTGGATTGGCCGAGGTGACGCTGCATCACAGACAGCAGGGGCAACGAGGCAGGGCTGGAGGCCATGCTCTCTGTAGCCTGTAGTCTGTAGCCCGTCTGTGCCTAAACGGTAGGTAGTTTGTTCGTCGAGGCTGGATGGCAGTCGGATAAGGAGTCGTCAAACAATGGCGGGAGAGGCGATGGCCGTGTAAAAGGGAAAAAATGGAAATGAACATGGAAATGGATGGCAGGCACTCAAATCTGAAACTCGACAAAACGGCGCGTGCAGCTGCAGCACCAAGGCCGCAGGTACGAAGTACAGGTACGGCGAGACTCTGGACAGTTTGGCACGGGTGAGTACGTGTACATTGCCCTGCTATGTACGAGTATATTACATGTAATGCATGCCTGCTGCATTGATCCCTCCACTGCATGCACTCGTATGCAGGCGGAAGAGCGCCAATGGCCCATCATCAATCCATTGCATGAGGGCTGCCGATGAGCACCTATCCAAAGGGGACGGGAAGTGAGTTAAAGCGTCCAGTCGCATTTCTGGCGGCTCACTTCCACCTGCCAAACCAATCCACGGATCCATGCTCGGCCACATTGGCAATTGACGGCGGCTTATGTATTTGCTGCCTAGCAAGGTAAGGTAGTGCAGGACTCTGTCGGATTTGATGGGTTTATTCATCCATCTTCACAGCTGGTGCTTGTATTGCAGCTTTCCCCTATTACATACTCGTACTGGATTACTAGAGACCCTTTCCCCATTCCTGCCAGCGACTCCGATCCTGGGTCTAACCCCTACCTACTAGGTAGGTAAGGCAATTGGGGTGGTCTAAGGTAAGGAAATGTGAGGCAAGCCAGAGCCGCTCAAGAGGAATTTGCTCGTGATTCCGTCCAATCTCCAACCCCAAGGCTTCCACGTACAGTATCGGTCCTCATACAGCCAATAGACTGACTAAACCCGGTCCATGCGTGCTCTGGTGAGCGTGTGTTCCAGATTCAGAGACAGCGCGGGCCCTCGTCGCTCAACCTTGGCCACCCCGTGTTTCCGGCGTCCTTCTCATACCGCCGCGCAAGCGGGACCTCGTACAGACAGATGGGGTTTAGTAGTACTAGTAGGTAGTACTGCTACGAATGGATGAACGGGGCACAATGACAGGTCCAGGTCAGGTCTGCTCCGGCTTCCATTTATCCAGACGTTGATACTATCTCCTACTGCCTTACTTGACTCCATTGGAGCTGGTGGGCCCGGATACTCCTGCAAGCGACCCCAATGACGATCCTATGTATGTATCGAATGCCTCTTGGATAAGTAGTACTGGCATCTTGACTGATATGATAGGGACAGCCCGAAACAACCATTGCTAGCAGTGGTAATACCCATCACTACCACACCCGATATGTATCTCCTAGTAGTATGTATCTCACTGCTGCCGTCACCACCCGGATGGCCCCGTCCTCTGCTCGTCATACATACCAGCGGTTTGTTGCCCCTCCAAGTCGTGGACATCGATGACGGCAGCCAAGTGTCTCACCTTGGGTACCTTGCCTCGGTATGGAGACGCCCGACGGACCTTGTGGTCGTACCTTATCGTGTAAGGTTAGTAGGCAGTGGCATCTACCTGAACAAGTGAGTCCATCGTGGTTGGAGTGCCGGATTTCTGCAGCAGAGCCTTGGCCATGGTTCCGTAGCCCTGCGCCAGGTACCTAAGGTAGTAGTAGTGATACAGTGCGAGTACACGTACAGGCAGGTACGGGTGCTGTATGTACCTACAATGCTGCCAGGCACCCAAGCACCCTTCATGTTGGCGCGCGTGACTCTAAGATTCCGGAGAAGGCTCTGCCGCAGATTGCGGTGGAAGAACGAAAGACGTAGCTTCCATTCATGGTGTTGCTTCTCCTTGTAAGACCATTTCATCGATTCAGAGTGATACGGAGTCAGCCACCAGACTCCTTGGGAGATACGAGGTACCGATTACTGCAAAAGGACTTGGTGGCCGCGTTCGACACGAGCTCTCCGTCTCCTTTCAGCATGCTTGTTGGCAGACCCGACGTCGAGTCCTTTCAATCTGCTTAGACACATGGCTAATGAATCTCCTGCAGTTCAATTATTCGTTTCTACCTACGGAGTCTATGTAGTAAGTAGATGCCCCGTTCAACAGCCAGATTGGCGAAATTCGTTCAATTTGGCAGCGACCCGAGGCGCGAGACGGGCCAAGTACGTACCTGGCAAGTAAACCCCCGAACCCGACCGCCATGGACGGCAGGTCCCAGCCGTTCTCCAGAAGGCTACCTTACATGTAAACAACCCCTTTAAAGTCACGGCAGCTGAGGTGTCGATTCCGCGTTACAATCTGAACTGACAGGCACCCGCCGAGGCGATGAACACGGAGGCGCGCCAACTTCTAGAAGATTGCGCTGGTTGAACCCGTGGACTTTCCAAGCAGGGCCCGCTAGGGCTACCTTGGCAAAGTACAGGTACTTGGCACTGCATTACATAAGCCTTCGGATGAATGCGATGCTCTGCCTGAACAACGAGGCACCAGCTGTTCAACTTCGACTTGCGACAAGAAGGGGGGATCAATATAGTAAGGCAAGGTAGATCAGATGCGGCTCTCTCAGGCGATGCTCAATATCAGGGGGCTCAGACTGCCGCGAATTGGCCTGAGATGGGCCAGCCCTGGCCCCTGGAGTCGCCGCAGGTCTGCTCTGGAGTAAAGACGAACTGGAAATTCAAGGGCCTGCCTAGCAACCCAGCGCGTCTCGTCTCCTGTCGCGAACAGCACAGGCCCCGTCCAATGGCAGCCCCGGCCTGGCTGGTGCCCCAATCCACTAGAATCGCGAGGACCTGGAGAGAGCGACCATTGTGCAATCAAACTGCCCCGGAGACGGGTACCAGATACCTGTCTGCTAAGGAACCCGCGTGATGGGTGACATGACAACTCAGGGTCTTCGCCTCTATCAATTCGTAAGGTACCTTTTACCTACCTTAAGGTACCTTACCTACCAAGGTCCTACCTTATGGAACTTAGGTTCTCCTAGCCGTGTTAACTTTAACATCTATCTGATGAGCTCGTAGCTGCCCCCAGGCATCGTCCTCTGCTCCTAAGGTGTTCATTCTGGCAGTCCTTCTATGTACAAAGCAGCCTGCACCGCCCACTGCTACGGACGGTCTGATCGCGAGCAAATCATCCCGAAAGTAAGTACCCGTACCTATTCGTTCCTGTGCCGTATTGGCAGGGTCCTCGCCTGGCAACGTCTAGTAAGGTATCGATACCTCGCGTTGTCGCAACCCGTCCCAGGCGCTAAATGCGCTGCAGTAGCAGCCCCAGGGGATCGCCAGCACGCAAAGTACCGGTACCTGCGACCTGTGCGCCGCGGGCTCGCGAGTACCGCTACCCCGTGCCACCAACGGCCAGCCTTAGCAGCACAGCGCAGCGCTTTCCAGTGGAGGCCTTGCACCACACATCACCTCTCTTCACTCGCTGACCTGCATTCACAGGTTCCCCATCCTGCAGCAACTGCTTGCGGACGGCATCTCGACCTTGTCCTGCATCGTCGACGCTCTGTTGCGTCCTGTCCTGTCCTGTTCTGGCATTGCCCTTCTTTTCTACTTCTTCTTCATCCGCGGTTCTTCGTCTGTTGTTTCCTTTTCTTCCCTCTCCTCTCCTCCCTCCGCCCTGCTCGTCGCATCTCCTCCCCCAGACGCCGCTCGAGCAATTCCCTCGATACCCGCCAACGAGCCCCCTTTTGCGTCGTCAATCGCTTGCCGTCTTGCAGCTCTTTCGACAGTGGCTCGTCCTCTCCTCCTGACGACATCGTCTCCCCGAATTCTACACTTGTCGTCGCCTCGCGATCCCCTCATTGCCCACCGAGCCTGGGCCTGCGTCTCTGCCGTCGCCGAATCTTCCTGCCCACCCCATATCCTCTGTGGGCCCGCGAGCAGCACGTTTCCATCTCTTCGCATATCGTGCAGCGTCCTCGCGCTCTCTGGGATCCGTGAGTCTGCACTGCCGCTGCCCTCCCGCCTTGCACAACCCGCCTCTGGCAGCGTTTCCGCCCTCCGGTGCTTGACAAAGCGGACGGGAGCATCACCGATCCGGGCCCCCCTCCCCTCGATTACCGTCGCACTGCCCACATCCAGCGGCAGTTAACCGACCTAGTCACCGACGAAGCCAGTCCGCCCTCTTGGTCGGCTGCAGACGTCGCCTCGGCGGGCTATTCGCATCTACAAAGTCGCCAGTCTCTTCGTTCCATGGACGCCCGGACCCAAGCGTCCGAAACCCAGCATTCTTATCCTCCCAGTCCTTGGACGTCGACAACTCCGACGACGCCAAACGGGCTGACGGCGCATACCCCAGACGGATCCCAGGACTCTACCTCTGCCGCTGCCGCCGCCAACAACCTACAGTTCACTCCCCACATCGGCTTCCTGCCGTTCCTCTTTCCTCAGCAGTCCATATACCACGCCCAGCTTCTTCACTACAACAAGCTCATCTCGCCGGCACGGGGAGGTGGCCTACAGTCCGCGCCACTTCCTCCCATCGTGTCCGTCCCTCACGTCCAGGCCACGTCAAGGTCGCGATCTTCTAGCAAGGCATCGCTCAGGGATAGTGCCACCGCCACCACTGCCAAGGGGACTGCGAACGGAGGCCATGGGAGCCGCGCACATCAGGGCTCAGACAAAAGCCGCACCGTTATAACGCCCAAGGACGTCCCGCCCAAGATGCCTGCAAAGCTGGCTGCCGACGTGCCCAAGAACTTTCCCCATCGAGCGATAGCTAGGTCCTCTTCGCCCCATGGGCTCTCCCACTCCAGCTCCGTGCCGTCCACCCCTCATCAGCATGCCCGCCAGTTCTCCTTCGAGTCCCGGGAGCCTTCCCCCAACAACGTCAACAACCACTCGCCGCGGTCGGCCTACTCCGAGACCAACAGCGCGTTGCCCTCGCTACGCCCGCTGCCCCCGCGACTAGGCGGCTGCAAGTACGAGACGGCGCAGGCGAATTCGAGGAGGAGGATACCTTACTCGGTCGGAAGCGAACGGCTGGAAAAGGTGGATCTGCGAACCATCAAAAGCAAGCTGTCGGAGAGCGAGGAGAAGCAGCTGGCTGCCGATATGAATGAGATTTATCAGAAGCTGCTGCCCACGGAAAAGGTCGAGGAGAACAGGAAAAAGCTCGTCAACAAATTGGAGACGATATTCAATACCGAGTGGCCAGGGCATGATATCAAGGTGCACTTGTTTGGCTCGTCTGGCAATCTGTTATGTTCGGACGACTCTGACGGTAAGTTTCTTCCCCATTTCATCCGTCCAATATCATATCGCGGTTTCTAACACGTATATCAGTTGACATCTGCATCACGACACCATGGCACGAGATGGAGGATGTCTGCATGATAGCCGACCTTCTTGCTCGACGTACGTTTCTCCCTCTTTCATTTTGCTACAAACGTACTGGCTTGTTCACGACGCTGACGATAATCTGTAGGGGGCATGGAGAAAGTCGTTTGTATCTCTGCGGCCAAGGTTCCCATTGTAAAAATCTGGGACCCCGAGCTGGGCCTTGCTTGTGACATGAACGTGAACAATACCCTAGCGCTAGAGAACACCCGAATGGTGCGCACATATGTCGAGGCCGATCCGCGCGTACGACAGTTGGCGATGATTTTGAAGCACTGGACGCGGAGGAGGATTGTCAACGACGCTGGTATGGTTCTATTCCCGTGACACTGGTGCTCTGCTTTTGTGGCAACACCTTCGAGTTTATTTGTTTTCCTTAACCTAACTCTATCACAGCTTTCGGAGGTACGCTCAGCTCCTACACTTGGATATGTCTCATCATTGCATTCCTGCAGCTGCGGAACCCAGCTGTATTACCAGCACTGCATCAACTGCCATACAAGAGCACCAGGCCAGATGGGACTGTCAGTGACTTTGCCGATAACCTCAAGAAGATCAAGGGATTTGGCAGCAAGAACAAATCTTCCGAGGCGGAACTCCTCTTCCAGTTCTTCCGATTCTACGCGCACGAGTTCGACTACGACAAGCACGTCCTTTCTGTGCGGCAGGGCAAGTTGATCACCAAGGCAGAGAAGAAGTGGCACTATGCATTGAATAACCAGCTTTGCGTCGAGGAGCCGTTCAACACGTCTCGCAATCTTGGCAACACGGCAGACGAATACTCGTTTCGCGGTCTTCATCTGGAGCTCCGAAGGGCGTTTGATCTCATCTCCGAGGCCAAGCTCGAAGAAGCCTGTGAGCAGTACGTGTATCCGAAGGAGGAGGAGAGGGTCTGGTCCCGGCCGGCCTCGCAGCCTCGGCCCGTGCTGCTGCGCAGCTCCTCGCAGAGCAACTCCGGACGAGGCGGCCGCGGCGGCCACCGCGGCGGCCGGCATAGTAACAATTACCATCGCAGCGGAGGCTCCAACAGGAGAGCCTCGTCGACTACGCCCGCCTATGATCCCAACATGTTTGTCCAGCCCGTCACCATGCCACAAGACATGTCGTGGCTCGCCGCCGGCAACCAGTACCCCTTTCCGTTTGCTCAGCAGGACCTGATGCAGATGGCCTACCAGGAGACCATGCGTCAGCAACTCAACCACTTCTACGCACAGGCACAGCAGTCGCCGGCATACATGTCCCATCAGACCATGGGCCAGCAGAGAATGTCTCCCAACGCGGCGTCATCGAACGGCCAGCAGACGGCTACCGATCGGTCTCGGACGAATTCGTTTGACACTGGGCCCATTGGCACCACGTTACGGCCCGATCTGTATTCGCTCTACGGCATGGGCATCAATCAGCAGTTCTACGCGCAGGCGGCGACTGGCTATGGGACGTATCCCTCCTCGCCGGTGACGTCCAACGGCATGGGGCAAGACTTCCGCCGTCCTCTGCAGAGATCCACCGTTGCGTCGGATAACGGCATCTCGGCATCGGCAAGCTCGTTGAGGTCGCAGTCCCAGCCCCCTTCGCGATCTCCATCCGGAGCGCACAGCAGGGCGGCGTACACCTCTGGAGCTGGCCCGTCTAGTGCGCCGGGCTATGCTCATAGACATGTGCATGGCGTCGCCGTTCCCAGCTTCGTCTCCGACGATGCGGATCCCGACGATCGATCCAAGGCCGCTTCGGTCTCCCCGCCGTCCGAGGAGAGCAGATCCACCGGGCTGCTGGGAGCGTCGCGGAGCCCGCGTCTGGGCCAGCCACCGCTGCTCCAAAGCCACAGCCCAACAGCAAACGGCGCTGCCTACGGAGAGGTCCTGAACCAGTCATCTAGCCCCAGGCGGCGTCGGCTCTCCACGGATCAGTTGCCCCAGACCATCCTGGACAGGCGAATGAGGAGGACGTCACGGTCGCCCTCGCCCCTCGACCATGGTCGGGCTGTCACCACCGGGACGATTGCTTCGTCGCCCCTGGCTTCGGCTCCCTTCCCACCAGCTGGTGCGGCTCAGAACAAAAATTCGAACCGACCCCTGGTCGTAAACGGATCCGGGCTCAAGACCAGCATGATTGCTGCGTCAAGCCAGCCACCGAAAGACGCTCAGGCGCCCGAAGAATGTGCCATGGCAAAGATTGACAACGCTCTGCACATCAGCTCGGCACCGTCGAGCAATGGCGCCGTTGCCGCGGAAGCGCCGGGCGGGCAGCCGTTGCCATCGCTTGCACCGGCTCCTCCCATGCCTTCGGCCTTGATGGATCGCCCGCCCGTGATCGTGAACGGCTCGAATGCCAAGCTGGCAATTCCCTCTACCGAGGATGCCTCGTTCAGGGACAGGGTCGCGATGATGGGTTCGTATCAGGCAAATCCATACCCCATACCGCACGATGTCTTGCAAGCCAACGGAATGGCGCAGCTTGCCGCCTCGAGCAAGCAACGCCTCATTTCCAGACAGCCACAGAACGGAGTCATTGCTCCATTGGACCTTGCCATAGCTGACCATCGCAAACCCCTCGGTGTCGACATGGCCCATTTGTCGCCTGTTTACGAAGCCCAGGCGTCGTCCCCGACCGCCTTGCGCAAGCCAGACATGTCGAACCCCATTGCTGGCAAGGCTGCTCGTGAAAAAGCAGATGCCAAGACAGCTCGCGAAGAGACGACGACCAAGCCGGTGACCAAGGCGGAAGAAAAGGCTCAGCCAGCTCAGGATGCTCAGAAGTCGTCCAAGGCACAGAAGTCGGCCGGCCAGACTCAGCGGAACTCGGCGCAAGCATCACGCGAGACTGGTGGCCATGTCCGGAGCGCTAAGAGCGAGAATGACAATGGCTGGCAGCGGGCTGTCAAGGGGAAGAAGAAGGGATCGAGCGGGCTTGCGCAGGCCTCGCACGCGGAGCAGCCGCCAAAGAGCGACTCTGAGCGAAAGGGAGGATAACCACGCGCGCGCATACCCATCTCGATGTCGGTGGCGACAACGGCCCGATCTTCTCATGCCATGTAATTCGAAAATGATGGCACTTCTACGGGAGCTCGACAGCCCATCTCTCTCAACTATGGGATGGGAAAGGATGATGCTAATGGCGATGTTGGATAGGAGATCGGCCACGGCTACGACACTCAATGTCGGACAGATTTTGCTTGGGCGGGAAGGCTGGGAACGCAAATCGTGTACGATGTCTCTTGTCGGGAACGCGAGAGCACCTGCGTATACTCGACACGGCAGCATCAAAGAAAGAATTGGACATGGTTCAGGATCGTGAAATCCGCGCATGAAAGGAATAAACGAAAGGGAGAAAATAAAGTCAAGAAGAAGGAAAAAAAAAAAAAGAAAAAAAAAAAGGGCCACCAAGAGCAAGACGATAGAAACGCAACAGGATGGGATTCGCGGCTCCATGAATGACATGTCACAGAAAGATTCGGGACGAGTTGACGGAAAGGAGGGCTACGGGGGATTGATACATATACATGGCCGGGTGGAAAGGCGTTTGCATCAATGAAAGCTCATCTGGGAGGAAGGGCTGGAATCTCGATTCGGGTTTTCACTTTGCGTTGTTATTATTTCCTATGGTTTTTGCAGGAGCACCCCCAGCGGCATAGATGGATGTTACAAAAGCATTGAGAAGATCATGGACAGCACGTATGAAAGCGTACATCAGATACATGGCGGAACTAGTATAATACACTGTATGAAACTCGGATGACTAGTTGGAGTACATACCTACTGTACGTGTGATGCCCGATCTGAGATGAAGATGGCTAGTATCAGGTCGGTGCTACGCAGCGTCTGGGTGGTCCAGACGGCGATGATGGTGCATGTAAGGTACTGTCGCATCGAGTGCAACGGCACCCGCCGCACATCAGGGTCTTGTGGTCGTGCCTTGCCCTTGCAGGTCCACCTGGAATCATGGTTCGAATCAGCCTGAAGCAGCCTCAAAGGAAGCACCTACCTAGTACTACCGGAGAGCACCGCTCGCAGCTATGTATGTAGTACATGTACCACTACAGCGCCATCAGCGCCCCTGTGCCATGCCTCCATCAAATGTCAAACAGCCCTCACCCGACCTCAGGATGGAGGCTCTCCAGGGCTCGCAGCCTCCACGCTCCATTGAACGTTCCAGGCTGGGCCCTCCGGGTGCTGTAAAGGTACGTACCACCACTAGTAAGGGCAAGGAGCCACGCGCCCCGGCTGGAGAAAATCAACCGCCGAGTTCCATTTCACTGGTTTGCGACAATCCCGCTTTTTCCTTACCCCGGATTCTTCCCACCCCCAGCCAATGTTGCCCCGATCTCACGACAAAACCACCCACCACCTGCGGCAGGATCAGAAGGAAAACTCCCACCGACATTTTCCCAGCTGCAACTCCTTTGGCAATCTTGGCGATACGGGTTGGAGACTCCTTTCTCTCTCTGTCTCCCTTTCTTTCTTTTTTCCCTCTTTTTTTTTTCTTTTTTTTTTTTCTCGACCGTTGTGTTCTGTCCGTCTGTCCGCTTTGTCTGGTCGTCGTCGCCTTTGATTCGAGTCCGACTCTGGAGGGACGGCAAGGCGAGGAACGATGATGCCGATGGATGCGGGCACCGACGCTGCCGTGGACTCTGAGGCTTGACGCAAGCATTTGTGCTGTGCTGCTGTGCTGTGCTGTGCCGGGCTGTGCTCTGCAGAGCGAGGCGACGCGCATCTTGGCTCGCTCTCTCTCTCTCTCTCTCTCACACACACACACACTCACTCTCACTCTCTCTCGTGTCGGCACTCTGCTCTCGTTGGCATTAACTCTGCAGTCGTCAGCAGCATCCTGTCGCCACTCCTCCTCCTCCTCCTCCTGCTCCTCCTCCACCACCTCCTCCTCTTCTTCTTCTCTCCGAATCCTCCCTCTCGTCGTCATACTCGCACCCTCCTCCGCCTCTCCTCCTCCCGCTCTCGATCGATACAGACGACGGAATATCCTCGTCCCGCCCATGAAGAGCGACATGATTCACAGAACCAACAGCGAGGGCGGCGCCTCGTCCACTGGCTCGTCGCAAAAGATATGGCGGCTCCCCTCCGCCATTCGCAAGCCCTTTCGCAGCTCTAACAAGGACGACAAGAACTGGACTGTACGTTGACCTGCTGCCAAGAGGATGCCCTCGGCGCGCATCTCCCCTTGCTGCCCCGCTTGCCGTTCCTACTCGTTGGGCCAGCATTGCATTGCCGATGCCAAAACTAACATGCTGCGCAGAACAAGCCAGGCGGCCCCTCTGTTGACACCGAATCCCCCGACCCCCCCGTCCACGAACCCAGCTCGATCCACGAAACCGTCGAGTCCAACTACCGCCAGCTCCAGACCCTCGTCGCGCGCATGCGAGGCGCTCCCTCGGGCCCCAGCCACGTCGACGGCGCCTACAAAGAGTTTGCCAAGATCAACGAGCGATGTGCCGCTCTCTGCGACGCCATACTCCGGGAGGAGATCAAGACACCGCGCACCCTCTCCAACGCCGCCGAAACCGGCTCATTGACTCGCCAGGACTCCGCCGCAGACACGCCTCGCAGCCCGAGCGCCCTCTTTGACCAGAGGAGTTCGTTTAGCGGCCGCAGCTTAGCCGAGGTCGTCACGGCCGGCGGTAGTAGGGGTCATGGCAGTGACCACTGGCTGACGCCCATCCGGGACTGGAAGACGTGTCTCGAGGTGCTGGCCGAGCACTTCAAGCTCAGCCTTGCCGAGACGTACATGAGCTATGAGCGGGATGCCACGCCCGAGATGCTCGAGGCCTTGTTCACGAGCAAGAAGTTCAGGAGAGACGCGGTCCACCGGATGCGCAATGCGAGCGTCACCAAGATCCTGTCTGCCGATCCTCAATTTGTGAGCACACTGTCCCTTGTATGCATCGAATGGCGCCTGTGCAAGTTCCTAATCGTCTATTGCGCAGTTCCCGCGATATGAGATACGCTTTAGAAACTACGAGAGGGTCAAGCAGGAGCTCAGGGATGTTCGAAAGCTGCTCCAGGCGGGCGAGTCGGGCATCTCCCCGGGCAGAGTCATTGAGGAATTTCCCATTGCCCCTCGCGGGGATGCTGTTCTCGAGTTTGCCAACCTGGGGTCCGATGCCACGGGCAACGAGCCTGCCTTGCGGTTTCGCGTCTCCTCTGCCCTGCTGGCAGAGACGTCGCCCGTCTTTGCGCGCATGTTCTCTGGCAACGCCAGCAGCCACTACCTGCACGAGGCTGACGACGTATCCCATCTGCTCCCGCCGCCGCCGGTGCCGTACTTCTGCGACGACGGGTCCGAGGTCAAGCTGTACCGGATGCCGCAGCAAGAGTTCAACCACCACGGCTCGCTGGAGATTCTGCTCCATGCCGCCCACATGCACAACGACAAAGTACCCAGAGACGTGACCTTTGAGCAGTTTGTTTCCATTGCTGAGTGCTGCCTGAAGTTCAAGAGCACGTCGCCACTCGAGATGGTCGTCGAGCACAGATGGCTACCGCAGTGGATGCACAAAGGAGCCGACGACATGCCGGACGGCCTACTCATCATCAGCTATGCCTTTGGGCTTCGCCAGCTCTTCACCCGAATGTCCAAGAGCGCCATCCTCAACCTTGCCGACGAGAAGGACCTGCACAGCAAGCCCTGGCCCAAGAAAATCAAGGACAAGGTCTGGGCGGTTCGCTGCGCCAAGGTAGACCAGCTGTATGCGAGCTGCGCCAGCACCATCCAAGAGTACATTCGTCCACCAGCGCAGGGCACGGCTTCGTCGGAAGCCAAACAGCACATATCCCTCTCTGATCTCGACAGCCATCTCTCCTCTCCCATCCAGCCCGCCATGACGCTCACGAGCACCCCAAGATGCCCCAAAGGCAACCACTGGTGCGACGCCTCCAATCTGGGGTGGATGATGCTGGTGTACAACGAGCTCGGCCTGCTGCCAACCATTGTGCAGCCCGCCGTGATGACGCACGTTGCAAACGCACAGGCGCCTCCGTCCAAGAGCCTGGCACAGATGATGGAAACGCTCCGCTCGACCCCGAGCCCCCCTGCGCCGCTTCACCCTGGAAGTGTCTGCGATCCTGCCCCCGCGTTCCGAGCGGCCGTCGCCGACATTTACAACAGCGTCACCGGCTTGACTCTGTTTGATATAAGCGGCAAGAGCCACGGTTGGGCGCTCTCGAAACACAAGATGTCGGAACCGCAGTTGCTCTTGACCGCGGGGCTCAACCGGATGGCTGCGCATGAGAAGATCCACAGCGTCGTCACCGAGTTCCCAGAGGAGGTTCGCCTGCAGATACTGGGCGAGATGGAGGAGCTGGAGGATCTGCAGGCCGCGGCCAGGATCAACCGCGCCTTTTACGAAACATACAAGAGAAACGAGCTACACCTCATGCGCAACATCCTGCGCGCCGATCGGATACGCTGGGGAAGCATAGGGCGCTACTCGCTGGACGACGACAGGGCGGAAAGCAAAGTGTTGAAGGAGGAGTCGGATAGGCTCAAGGAGAGGGGCTTTGGCGACGGCGCCGATGCGATCACCCTGAGGAGTGAAGAGGACGAGGGGCTGTATGACTCGGACGAAGATGACGATTCCAGTGTCGATCCGCTGACTCGGCACGGATCCATCTCGTCCCAGGGAGGCCGACTTCATACGAACAACGACGTCGAAGACGATATCGATATTCTGACCCGCGATCCTCCACCACCGTTCCAGCCGAAAGAGTCTAATCCTCCGCCGCCTCTGCTGCCGGTTACCACTACCGAGGCCCATGAGGGCTCTGACAACGACGATGATACGGCCACTCCGACGACGCCTCGGCAGCGCCCCTTTGATCCCTTGGACGAACTAGCCACTCCTTCGGACGAGAGCAGTGTCGTTTCGCCAGAAGATGTCGAGGAGCCCCCCATGACGGAAGAAGAAGCCCGCAGGATCTTATGGCCCGACCACGTGGTTGTCACTCCACCCCCGCAGCGAGGCGCAGTCCAGCCCGGCGTCGAGGGGCTGCGGGAGAAGTTCCGCGTTGGCGACATCTCCTTCCTCGAGGGCCTCGAGGACAAGACGCTGGCCAAGGCGGAGACGAAGCTGCTGCGGAGCGACCACGACGAGCGGGCGGCGAGCCTGCTCAGCAAGCAGGAGGGGGGGCGCCCGAGCTCGAGCTCATCGACGGCCAAGAGCGTGAACGGGGTTCAGCATATAGAAGAGGTTGTGGGGGCTCGAAAGGGGGGCGATGACGAGATGGAGTCGGCTCTTTCTTGAACCTGACGCCCCTGTTCGCCACGCACGTACAACAACACGTACGGATCAACGGCGCAAAAGCACACAAACTTTGGATAATGAACGTTTGGACACACAAATGTGCATTTACTCGATATACGCACCAACACACATGCCCCTACACCTATCTTTGACAACAGCAACATAACAACAACAACAACAACATCAAATGCTGTTCCATCTTTCTAGTTCACTCACATGACTACTTTCAACTTTATACCATACTTGCTTCCTTTTCCATCTTTTGGACATTTGTTTTTTATTTTTATTTCTATCTTATTTTTTCCTTTCATGGGTGGCTGGGTGGCCGGAGGACAGGAGGGGGGCGCAGATTCGGCAACTCGTCTTTTTTTCCTTTATGATAGGGACGACTTTTTTTTTTTTTTTTTTCCCCGGGATGAACGGGATGTTTTAGTTCTTTTTATTTAATTTTTCACTGTGTTGGGATCTGGATGGATGGATGGATGGACACTCTGGGTTGAAGGCGGTTTCTTCTATGCTTCTCGTTCTTGCAGTAGTTCAGCGTCAAGTTGTATTTCATCTGCGGGTAGGGGGGGTTCAATTGTTGGGAGCATGTAAACATGTATATAATATGCCTGGTACGCAATGATACGCAATGAAACGCCCAAAGAGAAGATGTGCCTCGGAATGAATGCAAAGGAAAAAAAGAAAAGAAAATATGTTCCAAAGTCGTGTGGAAGCAACTTCATCAAATGCTCGTCACATATACGTTGCATCATCAAACTAGCATGCCGACATATAGAAGCACATCTCCTGGGTATCTCTGCCTCCCCCGCACCATCTACTTTCCAGAATTGGATTTCTCCCCTTTACAAAAACACAAAAAATATTTTTTTCTCCCCCCCCCCCCCCCCCCTTTCCCCCCCCCCCCCCCCCCCCCTTTCCATCGTACTCTTGCTTCCATCCTTTACATGTAATGAGCACCAACAGCGGCCTCGGTGCCGGCTTCCGCCTGGGCCTTCCGGGCGGCGTTGAGGGCACGGAGCTTGGCCGTGCCAAAGCCAGCCACTCCATCCTCCTGGTTCTCGCCCAGCCACGGCTTCTTCGAGTCGCCCAGCATGCTGCCGGAGAGGAAGTAGATGACGAGACCGATGATGATGCAGACAAAGGCAATCGGGTACAGATAGTGAATGACGTAGCCAAAGACGTGGATGCCGATGATGACGCCCCAAAAGTTGGCCGTCAGCAGCGAAATGTCAAAGAAGGCGGCGCTGCCCATGCGCAGGATGAGCGGCGCCAGGGTGTAGAAGATGCACAGGCAGATGGTGTAGCCGGCGAGCCAGCCGCCGACGGAGCCGTCCCAGTGGGCGTCGCGGAAGGACTGGCGGTCAAAGATGGCCGCCTGGACGCCATTGATGAACATGCCGAAGAAGCCCATAAAGGCCAGGACGTGGTGCATGGGGCGCTTGGACACGAGCCACTCCTCAAAGACGTTGGAGACGCCGTAGAGCGTGGCGCCCAGCAGGCCAAAGAGGTCGCCCTTGACCATGTCGACGCCCGGGCCGCCGTTGGAGCCGGTGATGTGGTCCGAGGCCAGCAGGATGCCCATGCCGCCGCAGGCGATGAGGATGCCGAGGACCTGGAACAGCTTGTAGCGCACGCGCAGCAGCAAGAAGGAGATGATGACGACGCAAACAATGGACCAGAAGTTGAGCAGCTGGGCGGACAGCAGGTTGGTGTAGCGGTAGGCCAGGACGGTGAAGTAGTTGCCCTCGACGTCGAGGAAGGACATGATGAAGTAGCGCCATCCGTCCTTGAGGAGGATGTCGAACCAGACACGCGCGCCATCGCGCCACAGGGTGATTGTGGTGTAGATGAGGAAGAGCAGGATGTAGTTGAAGACGGTCTGGAAGGCAGGGATGTTGGTGCCGGCATTGGCGAGGAACGAGGTGAAGGTGTTTGTGCCGGTGATGCAGAGCGACAGTACCTGGCCGATGGCGATGACGACCCAGAAGTCGACGGTGGTGAGGTAAGACCACCAGTGGACAGATTTGGCCTCTAGGATCTGGATGCCCTGGGAGAGGGCGGCCTCGTCGGCGGTGCCGTTGGGAGTGCCGTCATTGGTACCGCCGAGGTTGTTGCTGGGGCTGCTGCCTTCGTTCTTGTCGCCGGAGCCGGAAGAGATGACGGTCGAGGTGAAGCCGAGCTTAGAGTCGGCGTCGATGGGGTTTGCGGGGGCGGTCATATTGGCGGCGCCGTACGAAACGTGCTGGCCGGAGGCGAGGAGAGGTTGAGAGGAGGAAGACGCTGCCGAGGCCGAGGAAGAAGCTGAAGCTGAAGTCGAAGCTGTTGGCGATGCTGATCGAAGGCGGGGAGTTTGCTTTGGGGGGTTCATTCAAGTGCTGGCGGTGGCGTTGGAGGCGTGAAGTCTATGTTGAGACGGGTTTATTAGTCTGGTCGCGCCAACCAGGCGATTCTGGTGTTCATACCTGTTGGTTTATCGCATATCCAGTGAGGGCCTCAGTAGGTATGCGGATATGATGTGGCAGATCCCGATCGGCGGAGTCTTTCTTCGTCACCTACAAGTAGTGACAGCAAGCGCAAAGACTCCAAGTCGCTTGCCGGTAAGCCTATGGTCGGCGGCGAGCACGACTAGAATCGATAATGGCAGTCACGATCGATACGGCGGAAGGTGCAGAAAAAAAGAAAGTGATAAGCGAATGGGGCGGAGGAAAAGTACATACTGGGCAGTAGTGGCGGGTTGAAAGAGGTCTAGGCCCGGGGGCCGGTGCGGGGCTGGAGGATGTAGTAGTTGTACGCGTATGTAAGTCGATAAGTTTATTCTTGGTTTTATTCTTGGAGTGCGAGTACGGGATGTCGAGCATGGATGAACAAGATGGTAGAAGATAGAAGAGCATGGCTAGAAGAAGAAGAGGAGGAATAGAGAAGAACAAGCGTGAGGCTGCAAGAGCTGATAGACGAAGAGGCCTCGCGATCAAAGCCATCCATCACTGTGAGAAGCGGTTGTGCTGAAAGTCTTTGGACCCCTGCAGCCAAAGGTCATGCGCTAAAGAGGAAGTTGTCTGATTGGAGTGACATTGATGGCTAGTACATACTGGTTGGAGCGAGCTGAGAGAATCCGTGATTCCAACGTGTCCTGGTTGGCTGTCTGCGTCCACGAGCTGAGGCTGGCTGCGATGGATGCTGGCCATGTGGCGACGTGGCAACGGCGCGAGGGACGAGACTCGGCATCAATCCATGTCTATCTATCGTTCTATCTACAAGTGTGAGTTGCAGCTGTGTGTTGTCGTACGTATTGTACATTGCTCGTTGTAACTCGACACACCAATCTCACGGAAACGATGCCGCTCCAAGCCGAAGCCGAGCACCGCTCCCTGTCTCGGTTCGTAGTGGATTCCCTTCTCTTGTGAGTGCCGGTTACGCGCGACAAGGCCGGCGCCCTCCTTATCCGGTAGCTGAAAATTGTCTAGAGCCGCGTCGAGAACCGAGTTGCAAAGGCTTCGAAAGAAGGCTTCAGATGCGGGATTCAGTCTTCTTTTCTGCGATAAATGGGCAGTCATGGGGCGTTCCACTTCCCGGGCTTGTGGATTGCGTGCCGAGGAGGATATGTCTGGTCGTCAATTTTGTATAGTAGTTGGACTGGTCGATCGGGTGTGTTTATGAGCTGGGCCCGATTTCCACCATGGCCGCGCGGATCGTTCTCGCGATGAGGTTGTTCGTCGGTGTGCCAGACGCGATTGCATGGCCGGGCACCGCTGGCGCTGCTATGATTTAGAATCCCTTATTAGTCTGAAACAGTTCCACAAAGCAAGTAATCTCCATCAAGTGTAAGCGCGACGGCATCAAAAGTGCCTTGTATGCATTGACTTACACGCTGGCCCTGCAACCTGTTGCTGCTGCGATGCCGCTGCATCAAAGCCTTGAGAGGGCATTTCGCGGTCCGCAAGGGACGAGAATTCCAAGGCGAGCAGCTCGAGGCAGTCTTGCTGTGACCTGACGGTGGCGGCAGATGTTGCGGCTGTTGGAGGCGTGACGACTGATGGGAGATTCAACGTCAGCACGTCTGTTGGCTATCCGACACAAAACGCCCGATAGCTCTCGAGGGAAGATAGACGGTGTAGAAAGGCATACCTGGAGCCGTCCCAGTTGGATTCGGAGCCGCGTATTGGGGCCGATCAACGCGCTGGTGATGCTGCGTCTGGCTCCCTCGGTACTGGCTCTGGTGTTGCTGTTGACTCTGGTTGCGTCCCTGAGACGGCTGGCCTCGCGTTGGATGGTGATACTGCCCACGTTGGCCCTGGCTTTGGTTGGATGCCATTGCTACTTGTGCTTGTGCCTGTCGGTACGCCGCAGCGTCTCTGGCATTCAGATTCATCTGCCAGCATCCTCCGTCCCCGAGCAGTCATGGAGCTGTAAATGGCCACTTTCCATGAAACCCCCCTCCATGGACGCGTGTGTACAAGCAGGAGGGTGTCCGTCCCTTATAGCAAGCTACTCGCCAAGCCCGCCTTTTCCTGACGTACCTTTGATCTTTTTTTCTTCAAGATACCCTTGCTGCATGGTGGGCAATCCCGAGGGCGTCTGAATACGTACGCTGCCTTGATTTTCTCATGCTGCCTGGCCCATGGCATCATGGCGACTTACGAGTACTCGTCCATTGTGGTAGCCTTGACACCTGCTAGTGCTGCACCCGTCCTTTCACCCCACTTGACCCGAGGAGCGAATTCGGCTCCGAAGCCGATGGCCCCTGTTACTGTATGCAATTTACTTTAAGTGTTTCCCCAAACAATCCATATTGCCGGTGTGTGACACTGCAGTAAGTGTATTCTGCTGTGGATGTGTATGTCCTAGCAAGCTTACAGGTAATCTTGGGTGTGACTCTAACTGGTGGCACGGGCCAGATCTGTCCACAAATGAATTCTTGTCTGTCTAAACTAATCCTCAAGTCTCTCGAAATGCAGTTTCGAAGATGGAATTGTACTACTAGGGCTAACTCCATATTAACCACGTGCAGATGGTCCTGCAGGCGACATGCTTTCCTCCATGGAGGAACCTCTGGAGCCCTTGTTCGGCCATAGTTCACGAAATACGAAGCACAAATGAGTTGATACGATGCACAAAGCCGGACGAGCGGAAACCGTTGAGCTCTTAATCTATCTCTAAAAGGAAAGAAGAAGAAGGAAAAAAGAAAAAAAGAAAGAAAGGCCACAATTGTGTGTTGAAACAGAAGGCGAAAAGGAATCCTCCGAGAAGAACGAAACGTAAGATATGGGAGGCCGAGGCCCCATCAATGAGTGTAAGAACATGAGAAACCCCCAAAAGTGCATCACTCTTTGCCAGAGAGCGCGACGCAGACGAATGGTAGACGCAGCCGCTGTGAAAACAACCCAAGACATCCCCCCTTTTCGTACAGACAAAAAGACGACAAGAAATAGAGGCTGGCGTGAGCCAGTGATGGACAGAAGATAAAGCAACAAGCAAACCAAGAAAGACAACAGTCAACAGCCACATCGACCATCAGCCTCAGGAAGAAGGGCTCCAACCCCCATTCAGACATCCCCAGGACCGCTCAATACCAGGTCGGCGGCGTCGTCCAGTGCCGCAGCATCGTTTCAATCGCCGCCCGCCACTCGTCCTCAAAGCAAGTCGCCAGCTGCTGCACCATCTTCTCGCTCGGCCCCTTGCCCCCCCACATCTCCGGCTTGCGCGCCTCTGCGTCCGCAAAGATCCTCACTAGCCCGTCGTCCCGCATGCGCGTCAGGCACAGCCAGGCCAGGTTCCAGCTGCGGTTGCTCTCCGGGTCCGACCGCACGCGGCGGTACGCCTCGGCCACAATGTCCGCGCTCAGGGGGTAGCTCCGGGTCAGGCCGCGGAGCTCCGTCAGGAACTGGTTGCTCGACACATAGTGGATCCACGCTGCCGTCATGGGCTGCTGGAAGGCTCGTGCGTCCGCCTCCGAGTCGCACGTGGCCGCGATGCGCTCGATGCGGCAGAGCTCCGTCAGCGTGTTGATGCGGTGCGTGGTGAGCGAGTCGATGAGCTGCTGCACAGAGGTCTGTGTCGTGTTAGCACTGCCTTATATCTCGCCATGCTTGGCTAGTATTGTATAGACATCGTAATGTGCATGGCTTGTCCATTGCTTGCAATACTCGTGCAAATACACATTTCGATATGTATATCTCTGTATACAAGACATCCAAAGGAGAGAGCACAGCTTACCTTGGGCTTGTCCGAAGTTTTGCCAGACCCCCTGGAACTCACACTGCCGCCGCTTCGAGGAGTAGACATGATTCGGCTCGATGTCTGGTTGACCAGGTTTAGTCTCTTGATGGCTGTGTTGCTGAACCGAAGCTTGGTATAGACGACGACTTGTGATGCTGGTAGCTGTCCTTGCTGTTCTTGCTGTTCTTGCTGCAGGCTGTTTGGTGATGCTCTGTTCTAGACATCTCCACGCTAGACGGGAGTTATAGTTTATATCGTCGTTGAAGCTCCAGAAATCTCCAACCTCTCTATCATGGAAGGCCTCTTGGAACAAACCTTGTCATCCTCAGGTTTCAGACGAAAAAAGTGTGTGCTCAAGCCTAGAGCCGCAAGTGCTTTGAAGAAATCTGCCTGCGAGCAACATGGATGAAGCTTATTGTCTTGATAGACTTGCAACATCGGAACTGTGCAACTGACGCGGTCGGAAATGATGAGAATCCTTCGCAAGGCGTTGTCGATGGGGTTATTGGACATGAGAAAGGCGGCATGCGGCCCGGTTGTCAGCGGAAGTTAGCAGTTCCGTTGACAGAGGAATGGATGAGTAGCAAATGCCAGGCGAGGAAGGCAAGGTGTAGGTGCACGAATCGGACAGTTCGAGGTGGCCACCAGGGCATTGCATGGGGTGGGCTTCCCGTGCTGACGATGGGCCAAACTCCCCCACGTTCTTTGAATGGGCAAGGCTGGTCGGTCTGACACTGGCCCATCTGATAATACCATTGCCATGCCAAGTTTGCTGCTAGAACATGTGCCCAGTATTCTCCGTTTGCTTGCCGGTGGCCCCCAACCCGTAGGGCTTATCCCCGTTCTGCCCCAGAGGTGGAGCTGAGTGATATGAAAACTTGGTCCTCGATTCACCGAGCTCTGTCCCTCGCCCCATGGCAGCAGACGATAATCGGTGCCGACTGGAGTGTAGAGAGGCCTATAGTGCAAGATGTGGTTCGTGAGCTGGGCTCCGCTCAGGGACAGGGTGGCTCATCGCTTGATGGACTGCAGAGCTGCTGCGCTACTCAGGTTTAGGAGCATCAGCACCAGCACTTTGATAGCGGCGGCTGGTGTGAGACGTCAACGACGAACCGCACCAGCTCATGCAGCAGCCCTAAGCGTCTGCAGCCTCTGCAGCGTCTGCGCCGCTTTGGGCAAGTGCATGACCACCAGTGCCTGGATCCCGGTGGGAACTGGGCTGAATCGACGGTAATGCTCTCATCGTGCAGGTCAGAGCCATTGGTGGGGTCAAGGAAGATGCTGCTCGCAGCCCTGCCCGGTTCGTCGGCGCATGGCGGGCATGGTGGATGTCAGCTCGGGTTGCGTTGTATCTCCCGGCGCAGAGAGGGTTGAAAGAGCGAACCAGCGGAAGCGCGCCGTGGGTCGTTTGCGGTGCTGGGCATGTGCATCATCATCATCATGGCGGAAATGACTCGCCGGGGGAGATAAGCGCGCTAGAGGAGTTGTTTATTTGTTCGTTTGTTTGTTTGCTTCCTTGGTTGCGTAATGTCCTCTGATTCGTGCTCTGCGGTGACATTGAATCTGCCGAGTCAAGCAAGAACTTGCCATTGGAGCTTTTCGTCATTCAACTGGTCGTTATACCGCCGCAGCTGCGGGCAGGCAAAACCATCCGCGCGATGCCGCAGAATGCCGCACGGTCCCGCGTCCCCATGCCTCCAGACAAGGCCAGCATTCTGGCCGCTGCTGGACAGACAAAGAAGTTCTTGGGCGGAGTAACGGTTCGTGATGGTAAGTAGTATTCGGCACTGGCGGAGAAGCGTGCGGAAGATTGCGAAAAGCGCCAATGAGAACGGAGCCCTGCGGTCAATATTTCCAAGGTTGTTGGACAGGGGGGAAGAGACGGGAAACAGGCACAAGCGCAGAGCCGCGCTTAGCATCCCGGCTTTGACGCTGCACCGCCACCGCAGAGGCCGCCGTAGACGCGCCGTGGCTAGGGGGAGGGGGGGCTTGACGCGCTAGCAGAGGGCTGAAGAGGACCTGGAGAGAAAAAGTCTCCGGAAGCGACGCCGAGCTCAAGCTGCTAACCTGGAGCAACACACGGTGAGATTCTATCGGCCAGGCTCTGCAGCTGAAGGCGATGGAGCAGAAATCTGCCTTGCTGTGGCCCCGGATCTCTCCTCTTCCGCCGCGTCTATTGCCCTATCACAGCGCGGCCAGCGGCAGCCGGACGGCAGAGCAGGATTGCGGAGATCTGCGGCCATTTGTCGGCAGGTCAAGCCCGGGCTGAGTCATGCTTGGATCAAAGAGGGTTGTGAGGCCTCACGCTTGTTTCGACGACATCAGACGATGACGTCCGTAATGCTCTACAAGACTGCGACGCCGTTTGACTACGTTGAAACAATTGAGCACGACGCTTGCGCACGACTGCGACTTGACTTTGTCTGGAGATGCTGCCCCGGCCTGTCAACAATAGATAATTAGCTGCATCCGCCGCACCTGCAACCGCACCCTGTCCAACTTGACACTTTGAATCTTTGATGCACCACATACTTACTGCATTGCACCTCTTGCATCTGCCAGGGGGTCGAGCTGCTTCGGCCTTTGCATCTTGCCTACCCCCATCCCACTTCTCCTTACGGAGCAGTGATTTGATGTCTTCTCCGTGCCCGGGCCTGCATCATGTTCCAAGCAGAGTGCAGAAAAAGGTTGAAAGCCTACTGGTAAGCTTGTCCATCTGCCTCTTTCGGTCCGTGAGCCCCTTGGGCAGGCAGAGCCAAATCAGTCAATTTCGCTTCGCTTCCGCCACCGCCCTGGAGAGGCTGTCTCTCCCTTTGCTTGGCCGCCTTGGTCGACAATTTTTAAAGCCCCTTGCCGAATCCATCTCATGCCATTGGAGACGATACTGCCTATTTTTGTCCCGCTTCGAGAACCAGCAGAGAAGGGTACGAGTACAGTGTTGTTACTGCCGCCAGGTATAAGGGCCCTACAGTACTATGGGGACTGATGCATCATTGGCTCGGAACAAGCAGTTATTGCACGGCAGGGGCTCAGCAATTTATGTGAGCTGCTCGGCTGCCCACTACCTTAGGTGAGGTCAATCTCTTGAGTTGTTTCGTTCATGGCGCGACCGGCGGATCTGCGCTGGGCCTTGGAAGCGCATGGCAGCAATTTCGCACTGGACGAAGCACACCAACTGGACGGCACTCTCGTGAGTGTTTCACGGTGGGGCGGCTCGACGCTGCAATAACACGAGGTACAATCTGCTGTGCACGGTGCAGGACAAAGAGCGTTTATGGGTATAACAAGCGTCTTCATATTGGGTGATTCGCTCCCCTTGAGTTGTACGGAATACTAGTACCTCCAGTAGGTGGTAGTAGAGAGGAAAAAGACAGGGAAATGGGGAGAAATGCCACAGCAACAGCAGGCATTCGCCCTGTATCCCGAGTCATCACAGTTGCAGATCCCTCTCGCAATGGGAAATGGATGGGCAGCCCGTTTGTCCCGGTACTTGGCCCTCATCACTTGTTTGCTGAGCGCCCTCGTATTTCCCCCTGCTTGTGACCATGGCCGTCCAGCTGCCAATTAGATCTCCCCGGCGTCCCAAATGCTGCCTGATGCGGCTAGTCCCGCTGTGGCTATGCACTCCTGTTTCAACTTTTAGTGCCAGGGGATGCAGGTACCGCTTCCAGCACCCTCCGGGGCACCTTGCAGCGTCCAACAGGCACCTCACAAGCATCAGGTTGGATCCAATAGGCCGCCCTCCCGCTGCAGCTCGTCCCTGAGATGCACGTGATGCCAGCTGTCGACCCCCCTGCCTGCAATTTCGCGATGCCGCAGCTCAAAACTGCTGTCCTTCCTCTCCATCCACCACTCTTTTGTTTCTTTTTGGCCTCGACATTGCCAGCTCTCTCATTCTTAGCATTGCCTCGTCTTTCTTGTCGCGACGTTTCTTTCTCTGCCGTCCACAGACATTCATTCATTTTGCATCAATAGAACTCATCGCTCCTTAGCTGCTTTTTGCTCGTCGCGCATCACGCTCTTTGCACCCGCATCATCTTCAATACAAACCACTGCAACCATGAAGCTGTCTACGACTCTTGCGACTGGTGCTGCCCTTGCGGCCGGTGTTTCTGCTGGACAGACCAACTACCTCGGCTTCAACTCCGGCAACACCCTTCCCGACGAGTCCGCCAAGTTCGAGAAGGACTTCCTGGCCGAGTTCTCCACGGCCCAGAAGCTCGTCGGCGCCCCCGGCACCTTCAACGCCGTCCGTCTCTACACCAACATCCAGGCCTACTCCAAGAACACCCCCATCGAGGCTTTTTCCGCCGCCGTCAAGACCAAGACGTACATTCTCCTCGGTGTCTGGGCCTCGGGCACCGACAACATCGACAACGAGCTGGCTGCCCTGAGCGCCGCTGTCAAGCAGTTCGGCACTGACCTGACCGACCTCATCATCGGAGTCTCCATCGGCAGCGAGGATCTCTACCGTGACTCCGAGACTGGACGTACCAACAAGGCCGGCGTCGGCAACGGCCCCCAGGAGGTTCTCGGCTTCATCAACGACTACAAGAAGACGTTTGCCAACACCGCCCTGGCCAACGTCCCCATCGGCCACGTCGACACTTGGGATGCCTGGGTCAACGGCACCAACAAGCCCGTCCTCGACGCCGTCGACTGGATCGGTGTTGATGAGTACCCCTTCTACGAGACCGGCAAGGGCAACGACATCAGCAACGCCGGCAAGCTCTTCGACACGGCTTTCGAGACCACGCTGGGCGTTGCCAACGGCAAGCCTGTCTGGGTGACCGAGACCGGCTGGCCCCTCACCGGCCCCGACTGGGACCAGGCCAAGCCCAGCGTCAAGAACGCCCAGCAGTACTGGCAGGACATTGGCTGCAAGAGGCTGTTCAACAAGTACCCCACCTTCTGGTACAACCTGCGTGACTCCAACCCGGCCAACCAGGTCAAGTTTGGCATCAGTCAGAGCCTCTCGTCCACCCCTTCGTTCGACCTGACCTGCCCCAAGGAGGAGACCACCTCCGCAGCCAAGCCCACCGCCACCGGCAAGAGCAGCTCGTCCGCCACCACTCTCGTCCAGGCTACTGGATCACCCTCCGCCGTCAAGTCTGGCTCCCAGGGCTCTGCTAACTCCGGAGGCTCCAAGTCCAGCAACAGCGATGCTTCCACGACCTCATCCGGCCCGGCCGCGGCCACCACCACCAGCGCTGGTGCCGTGACCAAGTTCTCCGGCGCTGCCCTTGCCGGTGTGGCCATGGTCGCCGGTCTCCTGGCCCTGCTCTAAGCATGAGGCAGATTTCTTGTACATAGCTTGCCGTATTCGAGTGGAGAAGATGTTTTGACTGCTTTTGGGAATCTAGACAAAACCAACGATAGACTGGTTTGAGACAAATGAATGCTTGGTTATTTTTGAGGAACTGAAGAACATTTGGAACAAACTGTTCACACTGTGCGACCGCGCTGTAAGTGCGTGAAATAAAGGAGAACGTAATGACGTGATGTACTTTCTAGCTCAATACTAACCCTCAAGTTTGTTGTGCTCTAGTAATCTAAATGAAACCAACGCTGCCATTGCCATGCAAATCCAACGCCAACCCGGAGAGGAGACATGCTTCGGTATCGTTACCTAAGGTATCGTCGCGCGACCGCAGAGATGCCACCACTTATTAGATGGTGCCAGTGTGGAAGAGCTCCAGGTGCTGCCTGTCGAGGCTGACGCCCTTGTTCAGCAGCCCAGCGCGCACCTGGACCATCCACTCTTCGGGGCCGCAGATGTAATACTCGGCAGACGCATCCTTGAGCGGCAGCACGCCGTCGGCCTCGAGCGTGTCCAGGTTGACGCGGCCGGCGTAGTCGTACTGCTGGCCCTTGACGTCGGACTCGCTGACGTTGTTGAGGAAGATCTTGGTCGACAGGTTGCTGTGCTTGGCGTCGGCCTCGCGGATGTACTTGCCGTACGTGACGGCGCCGGAGTGACGCGCGCCGTGGATCCAGATCACGGGGCGGGAAGCCTCCGACTCGCTGGACAGGATGGTGTCGAGGATGGACAGGAGGGGGGTGACGCCGACGCCGGCGGAGAGCAGCACGACGGGGGCGGTGGGGAGCACGGCGGCGGCGCTGAAGGTGAACTCGCCGTGGGGAGGGCTGAGCTGGACCTTGTCGCCGACCTGGAACTGGTCGTGCAGGCGCTGGGAGACGAGGCCGGCGATCTTGCCGGCGGCGAGGTCCTCGGTGGTGTAGGCGCCCGCGTGCCTCTTGTCCTTCTTGACGGTGATGCGGAACTGCTCGGTGCTGTTGTGCGGCGCGAGGCTGAGGCTGAACTGGCGGCTCTGGAAGAGGCCGTTGAGCTCGGGGATGGGGATCTGTAGGCTGACGTACTGGCCGGGGAGGAACGGGGGCAGGGCGGCGCCGTCGGCGGGCCGCAGGTAGAAGCTGACGACGCCCTCGGCCTCGTCCTCGCGGCGGGCGATGACAAAGTCGCGCCAGCCCTGCCAGCCGGCCTCGGCGTAGAGCTGCTTCTCGCGCTGGACGAAGATGTCGGCCAGCAGGCCGTAGGCGATGACCCAGGCCTCCTTGATCTCCGGGGTGAAGGCGTCGCCGAGGATCTGCTCAAAGGCGCCGATGAGGTACTTGCCAACGATGGGGTAGTGCTCGGGGAGGATGAAGAGCGAGGCGTGCTTCTGGGCAATGCGCTCGACGGCGCCGGCGATGACGCCCAGGTTGTCGATGTAGGTGGCGGCGGCGAGGACCGAGTTGGCGAGGGCGGCCTGCTGGGCGCCCGTCTGCTGGTTGCGGAGGGAGAAATAGTTCTTGAGCTCGGGGTGGGCGGCGAGCATGTTTGCGTAGAAGGTGGTCGTGACGGTGGTGCCGTAGTCGCGGATGATGGGCACGGTGGACTTGATGATGGCGATCTGGTCTGCGGTGAGGGCGGCCATTGTGGTGGTTGCTGTTGGTGGTGATGTTTTCTCTTGGTCTTTAGGTCTAAGTTGTTTGGGCTGTGAGGTTGGGTATGAGTCCCGGGTTTTGTTGGATTTGGTTGACGCAAGGGAGTGAGACGGCGAATGAAGTCTTGTCTCTCTTCTTTTTGGATGTTTGCTTTCTGGTGATGAGAGGTTGCTTGAGGCCTCGGCTGTTTAATCCTATACAATGTGTAAGAGGAATGAGTTGTTGCTTCTAATAGTGCAATTCTATGAGAGGACAAGGACAAAGAGCAAACTGATGCTTGTTGTGATCGCTGCTGTACTGGTAGTCTGGATAACTGTGCAAAACGTACAACTCTCACGACGGCCTCACTCCCTTATATACTACCATTTCCGAAGAACGTATACCCGAAGGCAAGAAGGGGGAAAACTTCCATTAGCCATTTTCTTCAAACGACTACAAGCCATCTCCATTCTGCGCAGAACGTCTCCGCGCAAGTTTGCTCTCCTGTTTTTTTTTTGTCGCTAGGCTCAGACGCCGCGGCCGTTTCCACTCAAACCATACGGCCTCTTGTCACTCACATCCAGAGCAATTCGGGCTTACATAACGACGCGCTCCTTTTGCTCTACGGGGGCCGGGGAGCACCGGAGATCCGGAGACGTTGAATTCAGACGGCGTGCCGGAGCGGGTTTGTCTAAGGTAAAAATTGATATCGCGGAACATTGGACCCTTCTTTTTTTCTTTCATGTGCCTGGACCTTTCTTTTTTTTTGCAGGAGGCGCATGACATTGATTGCCGCTTGGTGGGGCTCACTGACGGGGATGGGTGGGCTGATTTTTCGGGAGCGACTGATGGGCTGAAGGGGATTATCGGGATGAGGCTTCGGGCATTTTAGGGGTTGAAGTTTGTTACTCACATATGTTAAGCTTGTGTTCTATTTGGGTGTTGAGTACGAACGTAGCGGAACTGAGGGGATGGAACGATCGACTTCATGACTCCCATCGTACGAGTCCTTTTCCCGTGTAAGCTCATCTCTGGGAATGGTTTGTTTTCTTATGCTAGTTTTCTTTTTTCTACGAGGACCGATTCTGAAGCATGTCCGCGGAAGGACAGGATATGGATTGCTGGCCCTCCGGAGGTGAAAGGTTCGAAGCTTGATGATTTGTATGATTCGCGGTTGAGTTTCGCATGATTTTGCGTTTCTGACGTGATGCCAGCAAGAACTACCCATGGAGGACAGGTAATATGTAAATCTGAGGGGGGGGAGGGGGGATGTTCTTCTTTCCATACTTTCATGATTACCGTAGCGCTTTGACTGCTTGCTGATGGGCTTCTCACTCTTTCACGGAGCCCATCTGCTTCTTGCGCTTTTGTTTATATACTACTACATAATAGCAAATTGTTCACCTTGTCACGCCGGAATGCACTGCACCGCCGGGAGGGCTACCAGTCTTTTGCTAGTCTTGGCCCGGGGAATCTCTCCGGCTTAACTAGGGCGAATCATTGGCGCCGCATTTGATATACCGGTTTGGCAATTGCTGGATTTCTAGGGAGCTTGAAAAGCCGGAAAGTGGGCGGTTGCTTCATGTTCTGATGTTCTCTACACGGCTGCCCTTGAAGATTGCGGGCAGTAGTTCAGCGTATGTCGGGGGGTTCTTCGACGGGCTTCGGGTGGCTTTTGGGAGCCAAGGAGATCACAGCGGGAACCCATCTGCATCTACTATCCGTAAAATCGGAAAGGTTAGACTGCTGTTATTTCCTGTTTTTCCAAGTTTTTATATTCTGCACAGCTCGATATGGGATCGCTCCTCATGGCTCCATGAATGAGGCTGCAGGCTGGTACGAAGTACTAGGTACTCGTACACGCCACAAGTTGTATGTAGGTACCCACTGGCATGGCAAGCTCAGATAAGATAAAGCTCTGCTTAGTCATCTGCAAACGGGGGAAAGGTGGCCGTTGACGACATGCAGCCCACCAGCAGCTGAGCTCCCTCGCAAACGAGGCACCGAGCTATGAACACCACATAACAGCAGCCCAACATGCGACGCTCACTGCAATCGGCCCTGCTGCTGGGCCTGTCGTCGCTCGTGGCAGCCGTGTACAAGGACGAGGTCGGCCACATCGACTTCCACCACGCGCTCGTCGGCGTGCCCCAGGTCGAGACGACCTTCTTCCACCGGCCCAAGAAGGACGAGAAAGCGAGTCTGCTCTACACCCTCAGCGATGTCGGCGTGCTGGGCGCCGTCAACCCCAACACCGGCGCTCTCGTCTGGCGCCAGCAGGTCGCTCCAGGCGTGGCCGGTCGAGGCGGCCATCTGAGGGCCCCCGAGGGCGAGAACTGGGTGGCCGCTGCGTACGGCCGGCAGGTCCAGGCATGGGCTGCGCTGAGCGGGCGCAGCGTCTGGCAGACCGAGTTCGACGGCCGCGTCAAGGACCTGGAGATTATGGAGCTGACCGAGAGCGCGAGGAAGGACGTGCTGGTCCTCTTCGAGGAGGACGGCGTCACGGTTCTGCGCAGGCTGCACGGCGCTCTGGGCACCGTCGTCTGGGAGTTCCGCGAGGTCTCCAAGGACATTCCTCTGCAGGTGTCGACCAGCGTCTCCAACGTCTACGTCATCAGCCTTCACGGATCCCCTGCGTCGTACAGCTTGAAGGTCACGACCCTGGAGCCGGCGACGGGAGGACGGGTCGACCACTGGATAGTCGGTGCCAAGGGCGATGTCCAACCCGAGGACGTCATGTTTGTGGGCGCAAACTCGGCTGCTCCCATCCTGGCGTGGGCCAGCAACGACCTCGCCAAGCTCAACGTCCACATCCTGGGCACAAAGTCCAAGCAAGAGTTTGCGTTTCCCCTCCCCGCAGACACCGTCTCTGTCGACATACATGCTCCGCACCTGACCCAGTCTCAGCCTCACTTCCTGGTCCACACCCGCACGGCGACTGGCAACAAGGCCGAGGTTTTTCACACCGACTTGAAGTCTGGCAAGATCACAAAGGCGTACGAGCTGCCGCTGCTCCCCGGACTCGGCGCAATCTCCACCAGCTCGGAAGGTGCCAATGTCTATTTTACGCGCGTCACCGAAGATGAAGTCCTCGTTGTGTCCTCCGACTCGCACAGCGTTCTCGCTCGCGATTCTCTGAGCCCCGAGGCCCGTGTTGAGGCCGTCCATGCCGTTTCAGAGGTCATCAAGAAGGCCGGCGGCAAGGAGTTCGCCATCCGGTCTGCCACCGTCACCACATCGCAGGACTGGGCGCTGATTCGCAACGGCAAGCTCGACTGGACCCGCCCCGAGGGCCTCAGCGGCGCCGTTGCCGCGGCCTGGGCGGAGATTCCTGAGGCCGAGGACCTGGCCAAGGTGCTCGCCGAGGAGGCACACACCAACCCGTGGAACGCCTATGTGCACCGCGTTACTCGCCACATCCGCGATCTCCAGTATCTCCCCGATTATCTTGCTACTATTCCCACCCGAGTCATCGAGAGCATCACCGGTGGCGCAGTCGCCGTGTCCAAGACTACAGGCCTTCACCGGGACTCGTTTGGCTTCAACAAGATTGCCATCGTCGCCACTCACCGCGGTCGGTTCTACGCCCTGGACACTGGCAGCCATGGTGGGATTGTTTGGTCCGCCAACGTCTTTCCCCAAGCTCCTGGTGCTGTGTTTGATGTCAAGGGCCTTTTGGTCAACGACGCCGAAGGCACATTGACAGTTCGAGGCGCTAAAGGCGAGTATGCCGTGATACAAGTGGCGGATGGACAAGTTGTCGAGGCTCAGCCTGGCGACGAGTCGGCTGCTATCTCTGCCACCGCCGTGATCGAGCGTGAAGGCGGCAAGTGGCTGCTTGCTCTTGGACAAGGTGGGAAACCCATCGACGACTCTCTGACGGAGCGGCCCATCGACCAAACCATTGTTGTCCGAGAGGAAGATGATACCGTCAAGGGCGTCAAGTTCGTCAACGAAGGTGGTGAAATTGTCAAAAAGGAGGTCTGGCAGCTCCAGCTGCTCCCGGGCCAGAAGATTGCGAGCATCGCCAAGCGCCCGGCGCACGATCCCGTTGCCTCCATCGGCCGCGTGCTGGGAGACCGAAGTGTCAACTACAAGTACCTAAACCCTAACACCGTCGTCATCGCTGTCATTGACAGCGCCGCTTCCGCCCTTTCAGTCTATCTCCTGGACACGGTCACTGGCCAGATGCTTACGTCGCAAGTCCACGATGGTGTGGATGGCGACAAGGAGATCTCATGTACCTTGTCGGAGAACTGGTACGCCTGTGCCTTCTTCGGACAGTATACCCTCAACGACGGCTCGGACCGGGACATCAAGGGATACCAGATCGTCGTGTCTGACCTGTACGAGTCCCCTTCGCCCAACGATCGGGGCCCCCTGGGCGATGCGGAGACGTTCTCGCCCCTGGATCCCGTGGATACCCCGACTGGCGTGCCGCTTCCGTGGGTTGTTTCTCAGAGCTGGATTGTATCGGAGCCCCTGACCAACTTGACGGTGACCCAGACACGTCAAGGCATCACCAGTCGACAGCTATTGGCTTACCTGCCCGAGTCCCACGCCATTCTGGGCATTACCCGGCATGGAATCGACCCTCGCCGGCCTGTAGGAAGGGACCCGTCTGCGGCAGAGATTGAAGCCGAGGGCCTTGCTAGGTACACGCCTGCTATTTTCATTGACGGGCGGAATCTGCTTACGCACGAGCGGGACATTGTTGGCGTGAGAGGCATTGTGACCACGCCGGCCGTGGTGGAGAGCACCAGCTTGTTGTTGGCGTATGGCATCGACGTCTTTGGTTCCCAAATTCCGCCGAGCGGGACGTTTGACATACTGGACAAGGGGTTCAACAAGGTCACCTTGCTGGCCACGGTGCTCGCGCTTACTTGGGGAGTCGTGCTGCTGGCACCTATGGTAAGTTGCCACTTTCTTTCTTTCTTTCGACCACTTTCTTTTTTTTCTGTCAGAAATGATGGAGACTTGGACTTTGCTAACTCTTGCGCAGGTTCGGAGGAAGCAAATCAACCGGAAATGGGAAGCGTTCATGTAATGCGACTAGAGGAGACATATCGAGGATACCACGTACAGGATTTATGATTAGGTGGCGCGCACCCATTTACTTGCTTGCTTGATGAGGGCCTGCGCTTAATGTGTATGAACAATGAAAGAAAAAAAAACGGAAGATATTTGGATGTTTAACGAGTTTTTTTTCTTCTTTGCCTTGAGCTATTATTATACATGTGTTACTTGTTCGACTGATTCGTCTTCCAGCCTAGGCCTCGGGCCAGTTACCAGTCAGAGGGATACAGCTTCCGTTGGCGCTCTGGCCGATGCCGTCTTCGCACAGAAACGCAACGTATCTCGCCACATGGTCGACGGGCACGTTGTTCATCTTGGGGTGCGCCTCCTTGACAGCCTTGAAGCCCTCGACGTTCATGCCGGCAGCAAACGCATCACTAATATTGGTCTCGTTCATGCCACCCGGCATCAGCGCAACCGAATAGACGCCTTTGGCGCCATAGAAGCCCGCCGTGTGCTTGGCCAGGGCGACGAGCCCGTGCTTGGACGCGGTATAGGCGACGCCCGCTGTGAGGCCGGAGAGGGAGGCCACGGAACCAATGTTGACGATGAGGCGGCCGCTGGGCGGCTGCGGGGCCTGCAACAAATAGGGTAGAGCGTACTTTGTGACGAGGAAGGCCCCCGTGAGGTTGACGGCGAGGATGCTGTCCCACATGTTCCTGTCGCAGTCGCCCGCGGGATCGAACTTGTCCATGATGCCGGCGTTGTTGACGACGATGTCGAGGCGGCCGAAGCGGGCGACGGACTGCTCGACGAGGTTCTTGACGGAGTCCTCGTCGGCGACGTCGGCCTCGAGGGCGAGGAGGTGGGAAGGAGAGTAGGTGGCGGAGAGGTCTGCCTTGGCGGCGGTGAGGCGGGAGGGGTTGACGTCGCAGATGGTGACGAGGGCGCCGCGGGCGAGGAGAGACTTGGCAATGGTGAGGCCGAGGCCGCTGGCGGAGCCGGTGACGAGGATGGCTTTGGAGGAGAGTGACATTTTGTTCTGTAGTGGATGCTGGTGAAGTTTGATGGGAGATGGGACCGATGAGATGGTACGATTGAGGAGTACTATGGTGTATATATATATCTTCTGCTGTCAACTTTGTTATCGGCAGCCACACAGGATAAATAATCAGAGGACAGATTCAAGTATACGGCAGCTCATTCCCCCCCTCCCTTTCTTATACAAATCTCAGCTCAAGCCTTGTTCCGCCTCCCATGCCCCGTTGCCAAGCCACCCTTTCTGCCTGCCAGCCTTGTTTGTTTTTGGGGGATGGAAAGGATCGGGATCCGTCCAAACAGACGCAGCAGGCCTCTCGTTCCCACCACCTTGATTCCTACCTATCGGCTGTTTGCGCCAATATGCCAATGAGAGGCCTCACTTCTGCAGGTGTTCCTGGCCTGGCCTGGACGCTAACTGCTACCAATTACTAGGTACTTGCGGGCCGCCTGCGTCCGCGACACAAGGTGTATATACGCGTATTTTCATGTTTGTTCTTCTTGTCTTGTGCCCCATACCTACCTACCTAGGTAGCTAGTATCAGGAATTGGGGTGGGAGGGATTGTGATGAAAAGGCAGCAGTAACTAGTAGCAGAGCCACCCCCAATAATGGGGCGGACAGGCAGGGCTGTCTTATCATTATTATTAGTAGTAGTATTATTTTTCGTTCAGCCGCACCTTGGGAGTTGCGGCTACGTGCTTTGCAAAGGATGCCGATGTGGGTTATTATGCCTGTTTCTGCCTGTTCCGTTTTGCCTTGCATGTGAGAAGCCTTGCTATGAGAGGTAGGTACCTACCTACTACTACTACTAAAGTACTACCTTAGGTACAAGTGGCTTTTGAGATGTATCAACTTCTTGCGCTTGCATCTGTACGTTTCGGCAGCAATCCCTCAAGCAGGCAAGAACTTCTTCACTCCGGTTGAGTAGTCTTCATTGTCCGATGATGGTTTGTGAGTCTTGTCTCTGCGGGAGAAAATTGCCTCATTGGGAAGACTTGTGTAGCATGAGGATATGCGAATACGACAAAGAGACAATACAATACGCGTACAGAGAAGATTCAAGGATGAGGGAGCTCATGTAAGTTGACCAAGCCCGCGCAGGAAGACGGAGCTCTTTGTGTAGCCTGTTTATGAGAAGATTGGTCCACGTCCGTGCAAGGGAAAGACTAGATAGTGCCCCGTTGCGAGCTCAATGCGAGGACGCGAATACGATCCGCAACAACTTCTCGATATACGAAATACGCGTATAGAGGTCAAGAGCGTGATGGGAACTGCATCTTGAATACGCGTATACACTCCATATCAGACGACGGTGAAGCGAGACTGTTGTCGTGACTAGAACTGTATCATTCACAGGCAATCTATCATGTAGCGTCGCATTGTCGCAACCCAAGTCATAAACAAAACTCCCGCCAATACAGGAAACATGCAAAGAGATCCATCCAAACCACAGCCGCACAAGCCATGACGCTCAGCACTCATCCTTCCAGTTGTCGCTGATCCACCCAGCCAGCTTGCTCGTCAGCGTCCCCTCCATGTACGGCTCCACGTCCTTGACGCTGTAGTCGCCGCCGCTGAACTTGAGCGCGGGGATGATCCACGGCACCAGAAAGTCGACAAAGACAAGGTCCACTGCCTTGGGTTTCTCCTCGGCCGAAAAGCCAACCTCGGCCTGAATGCAGTTGGGCACGGCGTAAAAGTCAATGGGCTTGTGGACGGTGTCGTCTCCGTCCTTGCCGATGTCGTCCTGGGTTGTGTAGCCGCCGATGAGCTCGCCATCATCCGCAGCACGGACATGACGAAGCTCGAGGCGGGCCTCCTCTTCAGCCTCGTCTTGACGGACTTGTTCAACGATGTCGGCCTCATGCTCATCATCTTCAACCGTGCCGTTTTCATCAGAGACATCAAAGCTCGGTCGGGGATACATTTGCTGGGGAATGGTCAACTGCCTGGTGTTTGGAAGCCCGTCGACAAAAATCTTCGTCTGGCTGTTGAGGATGCTGATCACCTTGGCGGCGATTTCGTACGGCACATCGGGCACATAGTGGAAGGCGCTGTTGAACGGGCTCACGGTAAACGTGTCGTCGCGCGTAAACGGGCCCTTGAAGATGTCGAAGCGGATGCCTCCTGTGTTGATGATCGCGAGCCGGGGCTTGTCCTCCCTGTCCTTGTTGACGACCACGCTGGGCAGCACCTCCTCCTCAAGCCAAGTGTAGATGCTGTCTTTGCCGGGATACGGAGCCCTGGTCATCCACAAGTCTCGGGGCGCACAGCCGTAGCGATGGTCAAGGTCCAGAGCCTTGCGAGCCTTTTCAATCATCTGGCTCACCTTTTGGCCCTCCTTGGTCGGAAAGGTGGTCTCGTTGAGGCCGGTGTGGTAGTACATTCCGTAGAGGTTGTTGTCCATGTATTTGCGGCTGAAAGAGACGCCCTTTTGAGCCTCGACTTGCTCGCCGTCTTCCTTGGGCTTCTTGGCAATGCCGTCAATGGACATCCAGCCAATGGTCTCGAGGTAGCGGCCAGACGCGATGGCCAGCGACTTGGAGTCGTAGCTCACGGCGTCTCTAATGTGCAGATGGCCGCCGAAGAAGGCAATGGGCGTGTCCCAGTCCTCCTTGCGAATCGCCTTGAAGATGTCCCTGAACTCCTGCATGCGCACACCGACATGGCCAATGACGACAAAGAGGTCGGGCTTCTCCTTGATGGCCGCTTGGAACCAGTCCTCCTTGAGGGTATCAGCCACGGGCTGCACGATGCTGTTATTGGCATTACCAGTAAAGTCGAAGAGAAAGCCAAACGCCACAATGTTGAGGCCGAGGTTCTTGGTCTTGAACTTGCGGTATCGCTGGGCCTGGGGCACGCGCTTGCCCGTCTTGGGATCGACATAGTCCAGGTTGGACGTGATGTAGTTTTCTTTGAAGTAGGGGACGGTGGTGTTGTGTTCCATGTCGACCGAATACGCCTTGTACAGCTCATGGTTGCCGGTGGAGAGGAGGTCGACCTTCTGCTGGGCGTAGATTTCGTGCAGGTAAATGCCTTTGGGGACGGAGCCGTCATAGATGCCGCTGCCCTCGACTCGGTCGCCCGTGTCGATGAGGAGGAGATCGGCGCCCTTGTCGTCGGCCAGCTTGCGCATATGCTGGGAGAAGGAGATGTAGTCGCCCCAGTCGGCGGAGAAGGAGGGCCTGAAGGGATGTGTGAGCACGCGTCCTGTTGCTCATGGTACTTGTTGTCCATGTTACGAGGGATGAAGGGATCGCTCACTCCAGAAAATGACCAGAGAGCCAGGCGTGCGTGTCTGTAGTGTGCAGAAAGTTGAGCTGCCCCCAGGTCAGGTCGCGCATGGGAGCCGCCACGGGCTTGACGGCGCCGGACTGCGCGGCGTCGACCGCGGCTGCGGCAATGAGGGCGCCGAGGAGATACGATTCCAGCATGGTGACGAGACTAAGAGTCCATGGGAGAGAGAGAGTCGATGTTGCTGCTGATGCGGATGCTGCTGGCGGTGACGAAAGGAGGTCAAGGTGGTTGCCAGCAAGGCGAAGATAAGGAATGCTGCAGGAGGTGAAGCTCCAGGACCGGTGAAACGGGCGCTGCCATCAAGGTTCAGGTGACATCAGCGGGGGGCACGAGAGCGCTAGGTAAGGTACCTTAAGGTAGCCCAGTACCTAGTAGTATTCGTGTGCCGAAGCCACAACCGGATACCGAGCTTAAGAGTGCAGTAACATTGAAGGGATGCAGCCGTTTCAGGGGCTGAGCCGAATACCTACTGTTTAATCGATTCAGAAGATAACAAGGACCATTACAGCAAAGACAAGTGAGGCAGATCGATCTGTGTGGCTCCTGTCTGTCTCAGTCTTGCGCCAGTGACATACAATGCATCCCGTCTCATTGGCTGACTCATCGTTCTCCGAGACGTGTATGTACATCAGTAAGGTGCCTTATTACCTTAACAACTGAACCTCAGGCTCCCTTCTCCCCTTCTCTTTCAAGCTTCGTCTAACTTCAATTCAACATCAACTTCCACTTATACGATGCCATGGAACTCATTTGTACTTGCTCATGCTGCAAAGATGATGCCAAGATGCAGAGTGAATGGAAAAAGGCCAACCAAAATTCCAAGGCTCCATCATACAGTAAGGTAAGTAAGCAGCCACCTCCTCCGTCACAATCCTAGGCAATCAGCTTTCGAAGTCAACACCAAATCTTCAACATCATAGACGCCAATGAATCTGAAAAAGGCCAACACCTGCGGCGCCGTTCCGCATCCATCGCCCATAGACGCCGTGGCATTGAAGTCCACCAGCGGTATCAGCCTGTCCGCTACCGTTGCCGACACTGTGTAAGTCGTGTTGAACGCGAGGTTCCGCCCAATCACCTGGAACATGTCCAGTCCAACCTCTGGCCGCACCGTCACGAGGCATGAAGCCGGAGCCCTGGGGCGGGAACCGGAAGACGGAGGCTGGGCTTCGGTGAGAACCTTGTTGAGCGCTGGCTTGTCAAACAGGCCTTGACTGCCCAGGTTCTGCGTGCCGTTGCTGGCGGCCGAGACGGCGCCGGACACGTATATGATGGCCTGGCCCTCCTGCGCCACGTTGACGGTCTTTGCAATCTTCGGGGGATTGACGGTCAAGTCGATAAAGTCGACCGTGTCCGAGTGCTCATTGACCACGTATAGGTGGGTGTTGTCCGCGCTGGGCCACAGGCCGTGAGGCTCGACGCCGCTGGCCCGGATGGCGCCCAGGAGTACGGGCATCTGGCTGGAGTGCTGCTGGGCGTACATGAGCGTCTGGTTGGCCGATGCCACCGTGACGAAGCCGTGCATGGTGCCGTTGATGACAGCAAAGTTGGCGTGGTTGGTCTCGGCTCCCGTGTCCATGACGCCGACGACGCGGCCTTGGACGAGGTCGATGACGGTCACCTTGCCGGCCATCTTGTGCGCCGCCCACAGCCGCTCGCCGTCGGGCGAGATCATCATGTCGGACGAGAAGACGTCGCCCAGGCCGGTGATGTTGGCAACGACGCGCCGCTGGGCCACGTCGATGACGGACAGCGACGGCGAGCGCATACGCCGTCCTGCCGTCCGGGCTGAAAACGACCTTGCTCGGCCCGCCGTACGACTGCACGTATCCGACCACGCCGCCCTTGAGCCCGTCGACAATGTCGATCCGGTCAACGCGTGCCCACCCAGACGTGGCGGTTGTCCCGCTCGAAGAAGGCCTCGTGCGCGTTGCGGTCCACAGACGTCTGCGAGACGACGGAGTTGTCCTCGGTGCGGAACACGGTGACGGTGTTGCTCGTGACGGCCAGCGACACGATGAGCTTGCCGTCGGGCGAGAAGCCCAGCCCGTGCGAGTTGACGGCCTTGACGTACTGCGGGTTCAGGTCGTCAGTCAGGCGGCTGTCGCCGAGGCTGATGGTGCCGAGGACCTCGCCCGTGAGGGGCTTGATGACGGTGATTGTGTTGGACGACTGGTCGCCGGTGTAGAGGCGGTCCGAATCGGAGATGGGGGCGCCTCTGCCGGCGAGGGCGGGAGCTTGGTCCCATGCCGAGGCGAGGCCGGATAGGAGGCTGAGGGCTACCAGCGTGAGGCTTGTATACGACAGCATTTTGACTTGTCTCAACTCTGATACTCAAATTTCTACAAGTGACCTCCAGATCCGTCAAAGACAGGGACGTGCGGGAGCTGCCAATGTTATAGTTGTCAGACTCGTGTATGTCGTGCAACACGTCAGTCGTGACAATGTCATTGTACCTGAAGTCCCCCTAGGAGACTCACGCGTACCCGCTCAACACCTGCATCGTGCAGCCTTCATCACAAAGCTGCTCATCCTCGATGACACGGAACATCAGCAAGGTTCTCCAAGAACAAGTGTGAGATGCCGTTCAACTGATTCGACCAATAAGAACCTGTCCTGTCTAAGAAGCCCATGTGTGATGGGAGTTCCCAGGGCGGTAGTATGTATCTGCCACGACGAGATGATAGTAGGCTTGGCCACAGCCTTGTTCTCGGCTCGGCTCGTCGGCCCTGTCAGCACAGTTCCATGCTCATGTCCATAGATCGGTTCTGTCAAACGACAGCCATAAGGGCGTGAGCCTTGACCTGAGCATAAGAAGCTTGACATGAAGAAGATGAATCCGCGAATCAGCTCTCATCCAAAGTTCTCCCGTCCTCCACATATCCTGTCATCACCTCTCGTGTGCCGCAAACTCTTGCCCCCCTATCGGCCATCGGCATCATGAACCTGCAGCTCGCGAGGATCCGGGGGCTTGTCCACCCCCTGGATACTGAACTTGCCGCTGGCCCTAAAATCTTACCACATCACTTTTTGTGAAAAGAGGACTCGGCTGCTAATGAATGAGTACCGACGAGAGTCGATGATTCCGCGGGGAATTTCCTACAACTGCTTAACGGTGTTTGATCTCGCTATATGGCGCTGCTGTGGAGTTGCTGGGACTTGGACGGCGTGACAATGCTGACTGAGTTGATGACCTAGGTGTATATAAATAACGTAGAAGTGTGTCTCCTCATCGTATGCTTGTTCATATACCGTCTAGCTGGTTATATATTCCTGCCACTCATTTCTATCATGTCTTTTCTCTAAAACCCCCTCCAATGGCATCAAAATTTGCGCTCAACCCCGTTGTCGTTCAACATCCGCAGGCTCGCCCCCCTCATCCTCCTCTTCCTCCCCACCATACCAGTCGTCGCTCTCCAGCCCGTCCCCCCGGATGAAGAAGGACCCAATACAGCCCAGCAAAGCCAAGCCGCCGAATAAGCTCCATGCGAGAGCCTCGCCCTTGGGCCGGATCCTCATGGACACTGTGAACAGGCCGCCAGAGGCAAAGGGACCGATGCTGCGGCCCAGCGCGGACAGAGTCTGGGCGACGCCATTGAGGGTTCCTAGGCTGTCGTGGGAGGGCGCCGAGTTGGTGATCTAAAGAGAGTATGTTAGTTTAGATCGTAGCAGTCGGGTTGCGATTGACTTACCAGCAGCATTACGCATGACAACCCGCCCACGGCGCAGATAGTCTTGAGAATGAGCACAGCACCAAGCTCAATAAACAGCCACATAGTTCCAGTGCCCAGGCCGAACAAAGGTTCATCGTCGACATAGCCAATCCACGGCATGGCAAGCATGCTGACTGCCAGACCAAACAGCGCAAAGCGATACGTCCCCAGGTTCCCAAACCGGCTCTTGAGCGGCTGGAAGAGAAAGGCCTGAAAGATGATGGTGATGAGACCCGCAAAGCTCAAGGTGATGCCAATCTTGGTGGGGGACAGCTCACGGCCCGTCGGAGACGGGGAGGCGGCGAAGATGGGGTACAGGCTGTTGAAGCTGATGTTGGCCAGCTGGAAGAAGAGGTAGGTGGCCAGCAGGATCAGCGTCGTGCAATTCAGGATCTCGCGCCACGGCGTGTGCTCCTTGTGGTGATCGTCCGTCGGCTTTGCTCTCTCGTCGTCTGCAATGGCATCATCGTTGTCGTCAGAGGCCGCGTCGTCGGAGCTGGGCGACAGCAGAGGCTGTGTTTGAGAAGCGGCTCGAGGCCGGGGCCATCGCGAGCTCCACGACTGCCGTCGCGGGGTGCGACTGAAGATGCCTGCTATGCGAGCCCAGAGCCGAGTAGCCCACGTCGGCTTCCACGGGTCATCGTCAATATCCTCGAGCGTCTCCTCGAACCAGATGCCCACCACAATGACGGCGGCCGCAAGAACAGCGGCGCTCAGCACGTTTGGCCCAAGGTAGGGGAACTCTGCGCCCATGCGTCCGACCAGGATTCCTCCCAGCGCAGGGCCCGTAAGACCCCCCAGAGAGTAGATGATGGGCAGATAGGTGAACGCCCTGCTCTGGTTCGACCGGTCCGTGATCTCGCCCAGGATGCTGGGCACGCAGGCGGCATTGCCGTTCAGCAGCCCCATGGCGGCGTGGACCACGACCATCTGCCAGTACTGCTTGCAGAAGCCAAAGGCGGAGAAGCAGCCCATGAGCGAAAAGGTGCCGGCCAGCAGCACCGGCTTCCGGCCGACCACGTCGGACGCGTAGCCCCAGAGGAAGTTGGTGGACAGCTGGGCCATGGCGAAGACGCTGGCCAGCAGGCCGACGTAGAGGCCGCTCTTTTCCCTGGGGATGCCCGGCATGGACGCCACCATCTCGGGCAGATACGGGCCGATGGAGTTGAGGGCGGTCTGCTCGGCCAGCGACAGGAAGGCCAGCAGCAGCAGCTGGCGCACGGGGAGCGGCGTCTCGTCGTGGTCGTGGGACGAGGAGACGGACGAGGCGTCGGAGCCGATGGCGGAGGGGAAGCGGTCGCTCTCGGCGTCTGACGACGAGCCCGGCGGCTTGGGCGGAGGCGTCGGGAAGGTCTGGTATTTCGGAATCGACGGGCGGCGCAGCGACGTGATGTTGGGGATGGGAGCGCCGGCGTGGAACGAGCCGGAGGATCGGGACGGGCGGGCGCGAGACGTGATGCCCGGCCCCGGGCGAGCGTTTGCCGGGCGCGTCATGGCTGTAGCCGGGCGAGGTTATGGTCCCCTGGTCCGTCTTCTTCTTCTTCTTGTTTCGTAGTTTGAATTCTGCTTGAGAATGTTGGCGGGCTTTGGTTAAGCAGCTGTTTGCTCGTTTGCGGGTTCGTCAGACGGCGGGCGTGTGAGCCAGAACCTGCGCGACAATCTGCCGCCACAAGATCATGCTGGAGAAGCAATGTTGACGAAGGAAGAGTTGCAGAAAGAAGCGGCGATTCTTCAGCACGATGCGAGTGGGACGGTGGCAGATCGAGGGCGCTGGAGAGGCCGAAGCAGGCGGAGGAGGAAGGTTTGCAGGATGCAGGAATCGAAAGTGGAAGACGTCAGGATTGGGAAAGCATTTTTTTAAGAGGTTCCAGGTGGGGACCTTGGAGCTGGGCAGCTTGAGGCCCTGGCGAGATGCAGGCGATGACGGGACACACGGTACAGTCACTGATGCCCGTATACTTCATTTCATACGTTTGAACCCTTGAGGCGATTCGCGCTCTTCAATTGCTTCAACTGATTAGAGATACCTCGCCCTACAGTACATCCTCTACCTAAGGTACTATCCAAGTGGAACAGAGCTCAGAGTCCATGTAAGCTGAGGCTCTCGTTGGTGCTGGTCAGCGGCACGGACCGATCGGGGGCGGGTCTGACGCTATGGGTTGCTTCAGTACCAGGAAAAGGTGTGTGCCTGAAGAGGAGTCGGGTGGGAGAGGCAGCAAATCCAATAGGTAAGGCCTGATTGGTTATCATGCTCGAGTGACTGAGTAACTGAGTCAAGATGTTGGAGACAAGGATCGCTCAAGGGAGTCGGAGGATTAGGTAAGCTCGAGATGATGAGAGCGCTGGATGCTGGTCGTGGAAGATGTAGGTTAGGTAGTATAGGGTCTATAAGGGAATTGAATGGCCAAGTACGTGCTATGTATATATACTGCCCGTCGCTGCATGATAACTCGAGAGTATCCATGCGGGTTCTCCCAACTGCATGACATGACCTTCGATGTATTCTACAGCAGCCTGATGCTGACTGATCGTTGCTGTCTATCCTATCTGATTAATCCTTGGGACTTACGTCGTCTCCGTCCTTGAAACACTTCGGGTACGTGCTCATACCTGCAAATGTCTGTAAACATGTATAGTGCAATGCTCTATATACCTTAAGTGGGAAGAGTATAAGGTAGTGTTTGCCGTTGGAAGCACCAAGGACGATTGGAGCTTTGTCAGGATCTATCGTATATAGGTACGCAACCTGAACTACCCATACCCCGAGCAGTACTTGTAATAACCATCACGTCCATCGCCATCACCCATCAAAGCCAAGAACCATCACACCATCATCTCATCGTATCAACTTCAATTTCCTTCCTTATCATCCTGTTATCTCCCCCCTCCATCTAACAAAGCCGCCTCTATCCGCACCACGCCCTCCAACAACCTCCGCGCCCTCCAACCACAACATCACACGCACTATCCCCAGAATACACCACAAAGTCAGCATAATTTACCCCCAAAGAATAGCAGGGACGATCTCCAAGATTTCTAGATCAAAGGATTGTGCCAATCATGGGCCGGGCAGGATGTTTGAACGGGGAGGGCTGTGTCTTGGCTGCATGTGTGTGTGAGTGCGGGTTGTTACAGCTGGGTGTTTATCCCATACATGTGTCTGCTTAGCGAGATGCTCCAATGTTTCAATCATGGAAGGTCATTCACCTTGAGCATCCGACATCGGTATTTGAAAAGCTGGATTACCGAGGTCAGGACATCCGATTATCGACGATATCGACTCTCGATACGTTGCCTACCATATATATCAAGCATCACACCCTCCTCAAACAACGTAGCTATCATCCTCCCCAAACCATTAAACCTCACATCAAGAAAGCTCCGCTCTGAAAGCAACGCAAAACACCCAGCAGCATGGCCGAAATCACCCTCCCCTCGCCCTTCGCAAGCATCCCCCGCCAACCACTCCTCTTCGGCCCCTCCCCCATCCAGCACCTCCCTCGCATCTCCGCCGCCCTCGGCGGGAAAGTCAACGTCTACGCCAAGCGCGAGGACTGCAACTCGGGTCTCGCCTTTGGAGGCAATAAAGTTCGTAAGCTGGAGTATGCTATTCTCTCCCCCCACCCCCCTTTTCGTCCTCTCTTCTCTATCATCGCTTCTGGTATCCATCTCATCCCCCCCATACTGACGATGGCGTTGTTGGCAGGTATCTCGCTGCGGATGCCCTCGCCCAAGGGAGTGACACCCTCGTCTCTATCGGCGGAATCCAGTCCAACCACACCCGCGCCGTCACCGCCGTCGCCGCAGCCCTCGGCCTCGCCGCCGCCACCGTCCAAGAGCACTGGGTCCCTTCTTCCTCTCCAACCTCTCCTTCTACCTCCTCCTCATTGGACCCAAACTACGAAAAAGTAGGCAACATCCAGCTTTCCCGCCTCATGGGCGGCGACGTCCGCGTCGAACCAGCCATTCCCTCGTTCGGCATCGAGCACAAACCCACTCTCGCGAACCTCAAAGCAGAGCTGGAAAGCAAAGGGAAGAAGCCCTATTACATACCCGCCGGGGCATCCGATCATCCGCTGGGAGGACTCGGCTTCGCGCGATGGGCTTTTGAAGTGGAAGCGCAGGAGAAGGAGATGGGCGTGTTCTTCGATACGATTGTTGTATGTGCCGTGACGGGGTCGACTATGGCGGGCATGATTGCCGGCTTCAAATTGGCCCAGGAACACCTCGGTTCGCGTAAGAGGAGGATCGTAGGGATTGATGCTTCGGGGAAGCCCAAGGAGACGTTTTCGCAGGTCTTGCGTATCGCGAAATTCACTGCTGTGAAGATTGGACTTGAGGAGGGGGATGTTACGGAGGAAGACGTGGAGCTGGATGAGAGGTTCAATGCGGGGATATATGGCCTTCCGGACGAGGCGACGGTCGAGGCCATCAGGTTTGGGGCGAGGACGGAGGCGTTTATCACGGATCCTGTCTATGAGGGCAAGAGTCTGGCGGGGACGATGGCGTTGATTCGAGGGGGTGAGATTGAGGGGGGAAATGTGCTGTATGCGCATCTGGGAGGACAATTGGCGTTGAATGCGTATTCGTCGATATGATGTGCTTGTGCTTGGTCCAAGGACTGGAAGGAAATTGAAGTAGAAATCGCAATCTTGGTCAATATATCCATCTATGATGCCTCATGTTTCTGTACAAGCACTCTTCATACTTCTTCTTCCAACGCAGTCAAATCACCACGTCCCCGAAACCCGCAAATCTCGCGAGCTTTCACCAACAGCAAACGTATACTCTCCCTCCGGAATTACCCAATTCTGCCTTTCCACATCCCAGTAGCTCAAGTCTCTCCTCGTCAGCGAGAATTCCACCGTCTTCGTCTCGCCCTTTTCAATGTACACCTTGTCGAATCCGCGCAGGACCCTAACGGGGAAGTCGACCGTTTCTAATGCGGGATAGGAGAGGTACAGCTGGGGCACGGCCTTTCCGCCGAGTTCGCCCGTGTTGGTCACTTCCACGGATACCGTTACGTGGGATTCCCAGAGCGAGGGGTTGCCGCCCTCACCACCTCCAGCGCCGGATAGGGGTTGCTCTTTGTCGTAGCCGTCGGGATAGGGGTATTTGCCTTCTTTGACGTCCTTTACCGAATCAATGTACGGATATATGTAATTCTTGAGTCTGCGGATGCCCGCTGGGAACAATGCCTCTTCAGGTTTCGGAATGGCGGTGTCAAAGCTCGGGGGCTCAACCTCCGGAGCGGGCCGCTCATCCGGCAGCGGCGACCTCGGCTTCGTCTCCGTGATCTTGAGATTCTTGTAGTCAAAAGTGGTGTATGAGAGTCCGAACCCGAACTCGTACCGCGGCTCAATCTCGAACTTGTCGAAATGTCTGTAATCGATGTAGAGGCCCTCGCTAAAATCTTGCTGAGGGACGGCGCCGTTGGGCAGATACATAACCTGGCCACCAGGTCCGTAATCGCTGAGGGACCTTCCAACGGTATAAGGCAACTTGCCGCTAGGATTTTCCTCTCCGAAAATGATGCTCGCGAGGGCATTTCCGCTCTCCTGGCCGGGCAAATTTGCGGAAATCAGCGCCTTGATACTGGGGGTATCGATCCATGGGTCCACGACCACGGGTCCGACGGAGTGCAGAATGACAATGGTTGTCCCTGAACCGTTGCCGCAGTTGAGCCCAACGTGGGTAACCAGTGCCAAGCCTCCTTTCTGCGGCTTGAGGTCGTTGCGGTCACCGCGAACTCCATCCCATGCGCGGTAGCCCTCCCCCGAGTCCGAGTTGATAAAGACCATGCAAATGTCCTGATCTTTAATGACGTCTGTGTTCAGTCCGTCATTCTTCAGATGCTCGGTGAGCTTGACCTTGTCCTTGTTGAACTTCTTTCGCAGCGCTTCAATGGGCGACACCAGGTAGGGAAACTCGACAGCGCCGCTTCCCCAGCCAGATGCCAAGGTACCTTGATTGCACGACCGGTCCTCGCAATAGTTGGGTCCTTTCCCAGGCCCAGCGTCTTCTCCGAAGATGCCTATTCGTACTTGGCCCTCTCGCTTGGTGGAGTTTGAGCCACCCCCGCCCAGTCGGCCATCGAAGCTGAGGGGGAGGGCTCCCTCGTTTTTCAAGAGAACGGTGCCCTCCGCGGCAATCTGACGAGCCAAGATGGAGTGATTGGCCTGAACATTGACATACTTATTGACGACAACCTTTTCCTGGGGCGACGAACTGCCGGGTGCTGTGACGCCCATTCTGTCGTTGGTCCATGACGAGAAATTGGGCCCCTTACTGTCAAACAGTTTCTCGTCGTCTTGACCAAGCTGATACCACGCAGCCACAATACGAGCAACCATATCATTGAGCCTTTCGAGCGGCAACGAGCCGTTCAAGACAGCACGCGACAGATTGGGACCCCAGAGAGAATTGCCATCCTGCCAGCGCAAGCCATCGCCCGGCATGCTCATGTCCAGGCCAGCAAGGGCACTGCCCACGCCTGATCGCTGCGCCAGCCAGTCGGACATGACGAAGCCCTGAAACCCCAGCTCGTCCTTGAGAATGCCATTGAGCAGCTTGGAGTTTCCGCAAGCGTACGAATTGTTCACCATGTTGTAGGAGCACATGACGCTGGCCACCCCGGCCTTGACGGCATCGCCAAATGGCCAGGCATAAATCTCATGCATGGTCCGGTCGTCAATGTTGGACGAGAGGGCGTTTGGCAGCACCCATTCCCAGGCCTGACGGAAATGCTCCTGCTCGTTGGCAACAAAGTGCTTGATGGTCGCCATGACTCCCTGGTCCTGGATGCCTTTGATGGTCTCATAGCCCGCGACGCCCTGAAGATAGGGATCCGCGCCAAAGCCCTCCCAGTTGCGCCCGCCAGCAGGCATCCTGCCGAGGGGCCCGACGACTGGGCCCAGGAGCACGTTGATGCCCTTGCCTCGAGCCTCGAGCGCGTGAACCCTGCCGTGCTCGTACATCAAGCGCCTGTTCCACGTTGCGCCCACCGTCACGCCCGCCGGGAGAGCCGTCGCATTGTCGGCGAAGCGAATGCCCAGCGGTCCGTCTTGCAGCGCGAGCGCCGGGAAGCCCACGAGCGAGGCCGGCGCCGTGTTTCCCACCGCAAGCCCCATGCTCCAGCCTGTGCCGGTGGTGATGTTGACTTTTTCCGGAAGCGTCATCCTGGCCACCATCTCGGCGGCCTTCTGGTAGCTGTCGGCCCATTGGCGCACGGAGCCGCCTCTGGGCGTTGGATACCACGGCGGAGACTTTCCGTCGAGGGGAGTGATCTTGAGCTTCTTGTATCCGAAGGCGCCGGCTGCGGCAAGCAGCGCGATGATAATGGCGATGACTGCGAGCACAGCGATGCAGCACCTGCTCTTGCGCATCCGGTGGGGGAGCATCCATGACAGGCGGCCGGGAATGCCTCGCTTCTTGGAGCGGTTTAATGGAGAGGATTCACGGGCTCTCGCGGACGAAGCGAAGGCATCACCATGCTTGCCCGCAGGGTTCAGCTCGTCCAGGTCGAGGTCGTCGTCGGAGTTGACTTCATCCTCGTCGCGCAGGAGACCCTCTTTGGCGGGATCGCGCTCTGACGCCATTGGGCTTGATGAGTGAGCGAGTGTGTGCAGCCAGCTGCGTCAAATGCATCAATTGCGCCCAGATTTGAGTTGTTTTGTGCAGGTGATGATGGACGAGTCAGAGAAAGTTGAAAGAGTCAAGATGGGCATCAAGAGCCCGATTGTTGTTGCGTCATTTGTGTCCACTGATCTGTCGGCTCACACGAGACAATGTACTATTGTACTCCTACAGGACTCGAGATACAGGTCGCAATGATTATCACCAGAAATCGTGTGAAGGATGCGTATCAACTAACGAAATTGTTTTTTTTTTTTTTTTTTCTCAAACAAAGGAAAGACTAACACGGGTAGTATTACAATACTAGTACAGTTACAGTCTTGCGTAAACACCAAACGCGGCGCATTATAAGCCAACAAGCTCCTTCATTCCTCGTACACTCGTCCATCGTACATCCAATCCCAGGGGTATAGCTCGTATCATGGGTATACAACCGTCAAATCAATAAGCATTTACAAGCCGTGGCCTACACTCCATGTCAGCAAATACATCACACAAGTTATCACACAAGTGCATCATGAAAACTCACGTCCAAGGCCTCTTCCTCGCTTCGACACCTCCCGAGCCTGCTCCTGCTTAAGCTTGGCCCTCCTCGCCTCCTCCTTAGCCTCCTCCTCCAACCTCCAAACATGGTCCTTGGCGGCCCTCACCCTCATCCGCGCCTCGCCCAGCGCCCGGTCGGCCTCCACCTCGGCGGCCTCGGCCTGCATCACATGCTCCCTCGCCTGCACGATGCTCGGGTCCAGCGCCCCGCTGCCACCGACATTGTCCCGGTGGCCGAACAGCCCGCGCCGGCGCCCGCTGCTGCCCGCCGAGCTGTCGGTGCTGTGCCGGAACAGGCCGCCCGAGTTGTTGACGGCGCCGGGGTTCCCGCCGGAGGAGCTGGCGACGGAGCCGGCGCGCTGGGACGACAGGGGGGAGACGTCGCGGTCGCGGTTGCGGTGGAAGAGGCTGTGCTTGCGCGAGGGCGGCTGCTCGGCCGGCTCCGGGTGGTAGACGGGCTCGGGGGAGGGTTCACTGCGGCTGAAGAAGGGCATGTTGGTGGTTTGTAGTGTATGTATGGGTATAAGTTGAAGTTGTGGTTCTGAAGAAGTGGCGATATGTGGTGTGAAGCGCTTGTGTAAGTGTAAGACAAATAGTAAGCCTTTTCTTTGTCGTTGTTATTGTGCAATGAATCAACTGAATACAAAATCATCAACAGGGCGTCTTGTATCATCCACCTCTTTTTATTTCTATCTATTCCTCCCTCCTTTACGGCTTCCCTGATGACGAAGTTGCGCTCGTCCCAGCACAAACCTGTTTGCCCGATCCCTCGAGCGATCATCGCACCATCGCCACGCTGTGACGTCAAATCCTGGTGTAGCGATTTCGCGCCGCAGCAAACATCCGTCCTGCCAACGACAAGGGCAACCAATCACGTACCGAGCGTGACGATGGATGTGCAGACGGTGATGAAAGGTTTAATTTATGCATTATCTGGCTTGCGTGCGGCTGAGCGCAGAGGCCTTGGACTGGACGGCATCACGACTTGGTTGCGACAGGCTAATGAGCAGACGGGCAAGGGTTGAGGATCGCAGCTGGGAAGTTGCATCGAGATGCTTACTAAGAATAGAGCTAAACAGAACGCATAGAATCTTCCTCCGAGACTCTTCATGTGTGTGCCTGCGCGCGTGTGTGTGTGTGCTACTCTGGACCTGGCACTCGGTGCATTGTCCATTCACGCATTCACGTTGACAGCGTCATGTCTCAACAGCTTATAGGTAGTAGCCACGCCTTATGGATGGTACGTCACACACCACACCAGTTAGACAAACGAAACGTTAGCATTCGATCCTGGTCTAAGACACAAGCAAAGGCCCCTCCCCTGTAGTGTATAGAGCTCTTGTAAAGAGGACAAACAACGAAAAGACCAAAGACTAAAGGAGAAAGTATGACGAGAAAGTCTAGTCTGCGTCAGGTATACGCTCTATGAGCGCGCTTGTTGTATCGAATTAATCCCCCTTCCGATTTTATCAGCTCCTTCACTCCGGAAAATTAAAACAAAAAGTAGAAACCCGCAAATCGGTCATTGCCGCAATCGAAATATGTACGGTGAAGGTCCATGGTAGATGGTTCAGGTAACAGTGTAGCTCGGAAGAGACCAACAAATAGGAAAGGGGAAAAGAAAGAAGAAGCAAGAGACGAGTGAAATAAGAAAGGTTGAAAAGGAAGGCGTCGTTGCTTGAAAAATGATGGCCTCTTTCTTGGACGCAGCGTTGGGCAGCCGTCTGCAAGGCACATCGTGGGGGTATCAAGAAGAGAACCCGGACAGAAACCGGGGAACGGAAGCTACAACAGCACTTTTACATGATTGTGCACTTGTTGTCTTCCCTCTCCTTCTTGACGCTCAGCGCTACGCGGGCCGCCTCTGTAAAGGCCTCGTTGACACCTCGGTTCTTCATGGCTGAGCACTCCAGGTAGCGTGAGGCGCCTATCCGCTTGGCGACCTCGAGGCCCTCGTCGTAGGAAATTGTGGGCGGCTTCTCGCGCTGTGCGTTGCCGTCGGCTGGCGCCTCCTCGGGCTCGTCGTCCTCTTGCTGGCGCAGGTCGCACTTGAGGGCGACGAGGACCAGCTTGACGCCGGGGCAGTTGTCGGCAATCTCCCCGACCCACTTGGATTCGACGTTCTCTAGCGAGTCTTTGCTATCGACCGAGTAACAGAGCACGATCAAGTCGGTGTCATCTGTGCGCGGGCATGCAACGTCAGCAGCTGTCAAGGAATGTGGGGTGGTGTTGAGCTGAGCGCTAGAGGTTGGAGGTCGTACCGTAGGAGAGCGATCGCAGTCGATCGAATTCCTCCTGTCCCGCCGTATCCCAGAGGGAGAGCTCGATGTGGACGTTGTCGACAAAGATGTCTGCGCAATTGATGGTTAGCTTCGTCTCTCTTTCAAGTCGCCTATCTTCTCTTTCTTTCTTCCTTCAATCGTAGGCGAAAAGAGGGGCGAAGCAGCAATGGCGTACCGTGGACGTAATTTTCGAAGACGGTGGGTTCGTAGACGGTAGGAAAGTAACTATTAGGCAAGGTGTCAGAGCCGGGGGAGTCATGTCATGGCTTCGATTGATCGCAAGTCGGGCGTAAACGATGTTGCCGACGAGGAAGCGAAAGCGGAACGCAAGGCTGGGGGCATGAGTGAGTGGGCGACAAACCCTCTTGTGAAGACGTTGAGCAGCGACGTCTTTCCGCTGGCACCATCGCCCCTATCGTCAGATAAAACACCGGTTAGCTGCTTGAAAGCGATGAATTGATGAAGTGCAAAAGCGGCTGGGGGTCGCGGGTCGGCCAACGCACAGAAGAACCAGCTTGCGCTGCACCGTCTTGGAGCCGCCGCAGAGAGGCATTGCCGCGGGTCGATGGTCTGATTTGGCTTCAAGGTTGCACTACCGAGCCGAGCGATCGCAGAGGATCCAAGTCGTGGTTGATGGATGACTTGGAGGTTTTATCGCGAGCGGTCGGCGGGAGGAAACGATGACGCGTCGCAAGAGGTCGAAAGGCTGAGGCTGAGCGTGAGGCTGGAGGAGTCGGTCGAGGCGGAGAGAGAGAGAGGCGGAGGCAGAGGCAGAGGTGAGGAGGAGCAGGAGAACGAGGACGCAAGAAGAGCGAGCGAGAGATGCAAAAGTCACCTCAGTCGGTGCAAATGAGAGCAGCGGGACCGGACAAGTGGGTAAAATGCACACGATTGACGCTGTTTATAGCATCGGGCTCTGCAGAAGCGTCGAATCAGCGGGCGCCTAAGCCCGGCCCGGACTAGCGCGGGTGCTCGCTTTGGCGGCCTTGAATTTTAATTTCTCGATGTTGGTACTTGCCAGCACAGTGCCGGTAGCAGAGCAAACAAGCTCGGAAGTCGACTGCAGTGGAAGCGAAGGGAGATGCAGACGAGACGCCAACTGGAAGTGCTTCTACAAGCAACTGTTGATATCTTACTACTGCAACTACCTAGAATACCTTGCCTAGAAAACTTTCTGTTCGACTCTGCCTCACGCATCCAAGGTACAATCACAGCCGCTCACTCACCTGCAATGCAACGCTCATCCATGGATCACGTAGTCAGGAACCAATCTGAATCTCACACTCCTAGTCGACGTTAGCAGCTCAGCCTGGCGGCTATACAGTCCGTCCGCAATGAGGGGCGGCCATTCATCAATCGCCATCAATCCCGCACTGCCACCATTAAGGTTCAATTAGACCACTGGCTGGCATAAGCGCCGAGGCACCAGCGCATCGCCAGCGTCTGGGCTGTTGTTGTTGCTGTTGTTGTCTTGGGATCTGGACTTCCAAGTGGACGAGGCAGTACATTAAAGGACCGTGTGAAGATTATGACTTTGGTACGGCTTCGCTCGCGTACCTTCCAAGCTTTGATGAGCTGGCCCTTAATCAAACTTCGGGGCAAGGTTCGGGCTTAGTCATGCATCAGGACTGGCATGTGTGTGAAACTCTCCATGACCACAGATAGACTTTCCACCGCTGCATCAGGTGAGCTTCAAGCGAGCTGTTGAAGAAAGTCTACGATTCGGTTGACCAGTCACCCGTGGTATCATAACTTGTCACTTGACTTAGGCCATCTTCAGTGATTCCGTTGCCAACAGACAACCTGTGTACATATGCACGCTACCTGCCTTTGTCAGCACCTTCATGCGCTAGGCCCATTCGAGACCACGGAGATGGCAACTTGTTTTAATTCCATGTCCACGACTTCATCCTCACACATTGTCCGTCTCGTGATTCAGATGCTCCTTGTAGGGGATTTTTCCCCTTTGTTGGACCTTCAGATTCAGCAGCCCCATTACGATGTAAGATGGCATCGACGTCCATATACTGGATCTTCATGTCGTAATCTTCTCAGACCAATAACAAAGGCTGCTGATCTTTTCGAACAAAGCCAAACATTTCCACCATGACAGTGGCCCTTCCAAGGGCCAGGAGACCCTGATATGTGGAAAACTTCCAGAAGTGCTCCAGAAAACAATCTCCATGGTGTAAGGTTTGCGCCTTACCGGCTCAGCGGTTTTACCTCAGAAGAGCACGTACCAAGTGCCGATGTACTCGTACTGCTGAGGGCAACACTGCCCCTTGTCTCGAGCTCGCACAGGTAACAATAGCGACGGTCATATTTCGCTTATTGTTAGCGACATTCAACCTCTGTCGCTAAATGCATGACATGGCGATCTAGGGATCGTAGGCTGGAACTCTATTGCAGCTGTGCTTCTTCGCTCGCTGTGCCCGAAAGTACGCATATTGGATTGGGCTTGAATATGTAGTAGTAATCTAATGACCTTATACGTTTGATGCAGGGTAGCCACAATTCGTCAAGAGCTGATCATACAATTACCCGTCGAGGTAACATTTTCTCATCAGTATCAGATCGAGAACATACCCTGGGGAGTACTCGGAGATGGTGTATGTCAGCAAATGCTTGCATCTTCTCTAATAGCCCAACCTACGCCAGGTGAGTTGGCTACTTCAACGGTGGTGATGCTGTTACGAAAGGTCGACAAGATTGGCACGAGAATACTAGTATCTGCATAATGAATGGATGAAACAAAGCGTCAACTGATAGCTCGCCTCGACGTACATCGTGTCAGAACAAACGGCTTATGTACTTTTTATACTGGAAACGTCTCGAACCGAGAGAGCGTGGTGTAGTTGTAGTGAATATTGAATTGATGTCAGCTACCAGAGGAATTGCCTAAACCGGTAATCGAAGATAAGGTTAACACAGACATTCTATCACTGGCTGGCGATCTAGCTGCGTCAATGCTTGACTATGAATCCTTCGCAGGTCATCTCGCACACATTGTGGTAACGCTTCTGCAGAGAATTCGATAGCCGTGACTTTAAAATCCCACCAATGGGCAGTTTGACCGTCGTGGCGGCTGCGGAAGCAGGCTGGCTGGATCTGACGGTTGATCCCGCCGCCGTGACATCGCGGGGGATTAAAGCCTGACTCAAACTTGAGTTGCATGCATGCGTGGACCGCGGTAGGATATCCGCCCAAAGTCTGAGCCGTGTTGCTGGGCGCTGCTGGCGCGGGGATTCTCATTGACACATGGTGCAGAGCAAGCGCTGAGACAAGTGCCATGGTGCTATACGATAGCTGTATCACTGGTTTTGCGCTGCAATGTTTTGCTACCTGAATCAGAAGGCGTTTCGCCTGGATTCTCAAATATGGAATTGATCTGCTGTTTCAACGAGGAATTACTGCAATTGGTGGAAAAAGAGTAGAATGACTCTGAAGGATGTTACTTTGAGTTGAGAACAAAGTAAGAGTGCCGTAGAACATCTGCTGTTGAACACCGAGCACAGACGAAGCTCGTATGTCTTGATCAAGTATAAGAAGAGACAGCGAATTGTGAACAGTTGGAGTTGAAGGACTCAACAAAACGGACCCAATCACAATCCTAGCCGACGCTTTGGACTCACAACTACACAAGAAAACCTCTACAGAACAACAATCTTTTCATCCCTATTCACAATGGCTCCCAAGTCCATTATCGGCCTCCTCTCTCTCCTACCTATCACGACTGTCCTCGCCCTGGACCCAAGCTGCGCTCCAGGAGGCAACTTTGACCTCAGCCTCTGGAGCCTCCAGCTTCCCACCGGCAGCCCCGGCAAAGTCGACACCATCAAGAGCAAAGACCTTCAAGGCTGCAATGGCTTCACCGGCCCCACGTTCTTCACCGACCAGAGCAATGGTGAGCTCATTCTCACGGCTCCCGGTAACCCGGACCAGACCGGCTGTGCCACCACCTCTGGCAGCGAGCACTGCCGCACCGAGCTGCGCGAAGTCGACCCCGCGACTGGTCAGAACACGGATTGGGCCCCGTCCGGAACCAACACGCTCACCGTCACCATGAAGGTGGTCCAGGCTGATGACGGCTCTCATGGTACGGCCATTGGCCAGGTCTTTGCTGCGGCGGCCAGCAAGCCTCTTGCGGAGATGTACTACAGCCCCAAGGGCGACATCACCGTTGGTGTCAAGCAGGGCCCCAGCGGAGGTCAGGCCATCACCAAGCTCGGAAGCGTGCCTCTGGGCACGTACTTTACCTATGTAATGTCGTATTCCGACGAGGTACTGAGCATCTCGATTAACGGAAAGGAGACGAAACTTGATACCTTTAGCTGGGGCACTCCCAACTGCTACTTTAAGAGCGGCAACTACAACCAGGGCAAGACTGCTATCACTTCAGAGGTGCATATTCAGTCTATTGCCGTTGTGCACGCTTAGGTCTAGACAGACTTGGCTACGGTGGTAGGGGATTGATGATGGATGAAGAGAACTTGCTGGGCCAATATTCTGGAGGAAGCTTTTGGATCAAGTATTGGACGGCTGGTACATAGAGGGAACACAAAGGATACGAGGCTTTGAAGTCACAGTAAATGCGGCAGTTGTTGTACATAGACAATAGATAGACATACATGGGCTCTCAATTCTTCATTTTGCCCAGTCTTATAGTGTCCTTGATTCAAGCCATCAAGACCAGCACACTTACAATATCATAACCCACGTGTAAGCCGCCGGATAGGTTGTAGTGAAATAAATGCCGATTGGACTAATGCTGGCTGCTAGCCGGTCGTCTCCTATCATTTGCACACTAATTGATCGTACTCCTTCTCGGAGGAGCGTCATCCAGGAACCTGAGGTAGTATCGGGCGCCTGCGAGGGATTGACTATTACTTCTCTGAGTCTTGATCGCCCGGGTACTACGCCTCAAACGGGACTCATGTAATCCACATGAGCTTGCTTCGGGAAATGTGTTGCTCAGCTATGAAGTCACTCTTTATGCCTGTGGATTCGCAGGATTCGCAGTCGATGCAACTTTAGACGCCTTGCTTCCAACTCGCCTTGGGATGTGTGTTATTGGTGGATATTTAAGCCCCAGAGCAATATCGTCAATGAGTCCTCCAATGAAGGTTATGATACCAATAAAAGGCTCGATCGTGATTCCAACGGAGTTGATGCATCTGTCTTTCTGTTCGTATATGTGAGCTTCCAACTTAGTGTCCCGTAGCAACAGCAATGATACGATGAGCCAGGACTTGAACATCTGCCGACAGAACAGGCAGCTTTGTGCGTAGTATTGGAGATGACTTGTCTGCATTGAGAGATGCCTGCATGCTCGTACCTGCTTGAGATCCGGTGGACACCTTTTTACTATTTGTCTTAAAGCTCGTATCGTGTTGACGCTTTCCAGGTCTGGAAGCTCAATCATGCGCAATGGTGCCGAGGCATCCCATTACGGACAATGGTCGCCGCAGGAAGAAAAACAGCTAATCTGCTTACCCGAGGGTTGGTGAGAGGCGAGAAGCACAATGGATAACAGACGAAATATAGGTACTGTCTAGCACATATGGTTGTAAATAGAGTTAGATAAACTACACTGTGAATCTGCACTCATCTCATTGCAATGACAACTGACAACAGGAGAATGATACATAGTGCAGGCACCCCACCGGCTACTGTGCCGAGTTCCATGCCCAGCCCGCATGCCAGAACCCTTGCTCCATCGCAGCAACAACTTCAATAAAAGACAAAGTTGAAGTGTCTGGCCTCCCCTTCCTGCATATCGGGCACCATTGGTGGAAAAGGTCGAGGTAGGTAGTCAAGTAGCACATAGAGGCAACGATGGAGTGAGCGAACAAGCGCTTCGGTGTCGCCCGAGTCCAGGCTCTCTCCCTGTCAAGCATCGAAGACCCCCTGCTAGACTGCATCTAGCCAGGGACGGAGATCCTCTCAGCTTTCAGCTTCTCCACATGAGTTTTGAGACGGAACTCTTGAAATGAGAGGAGGGTGCCATTGCTGTGTTGGAAGGCCCGCTGATTTTCACGGGGCGTCTCAAAGGGGGTTGTAAGATCTGCGAAGAACCATGCCTGTTCATCCAGACATTGGATGGACTCGCGAGGGCAATATGCAAACAAATCCCCAGACAAAGTTTGCACGATAGGAACATGTAGGACACTGAGCATCAATTCTCTCGCTTTCATGCTCCTCTTGACGCAAGGTCGAAAGAAGGGCGGGCGATTCACTTGGCTAAGCTTTTGGCGATTTTAGTGTCCCGTCCTCTCCAGAGAATAGCAGGGCATCTGCCGTGAGATGTTCGAGTTAGTGGGCGCGTGGTAAATCAGATTGAAGCGGAATAAAATCCGGCTTCCCGCTGATGGACGTCCGATCATCGAGTCTCTTCAGCTGCCTTGTGCAGGCTAGAGGATTTGCTTCCATCGCAGGATTGCATTTGTCTGCCCACCAATTAACTCTCCTGGCTAACCCATAAGCTGATGATCTCACGATGTGGCCGCATATACATACATAAAATACAAATAAATTGTATTCCTTGTCTACTGAGCGAGATCTCTTTGTCGCGAGACATTACTTCGTAGGAAGTACTATACTCGACTTGTCCTTCATCGTGCAGTAGGTCTCGCCCCGGGTTGACGAAAGAGGCAGCTGGATAGATAGACATGTAAGCCTCTTATTAACGTTACCGACTAGCATGAGAACCCAGGGGTGGCCAAACAGAACACAGCGGACCAAAGTACATAGCAGCAGCAGCGTTGAGTAATACTCGGTACATAGACATCGTGTTGAAGTGAAAGCCGATTGTTCTGGATTATCTTTAGCGCAGGGGTTGAGGAAGGAGGAGGCGCTGACTAGTACGGCAAAATACCAAGGAACTTCAATGCTTGAACGGGCGACGGAATCTCTGGTCGTGGCTCGGAGCATCCACTCGAATAGAGCCTGCTAGCATGGAGAGACCTCGTATACAAGGTGCGGAACATCGGAGTGGCGGCTCTAAATCGACTTCCCACGAGGGCATCCATGCGCTTACCTGCACGAGTAGGTGATGCTTTCATGGACGCCGATTTTTATATAAAGCGTCTCTGCTTCCCCCGTTGGAGCCAAGAGACAGTTCACCATCACCCCAAGTCCTCCACCAAAGTCAAGATGCGCAGCTTCGATACCCTCTTGCTTGCTGCCCTTGCGGCCTCGCCCGCTCTGGCTCGCCAGATTCCGTCCAATGTACAGAGCCTGTACAACTCGATTCGAGCTCAGGGCCAATGCAAGAACATTCTCAAGGGCGGCTTCTACAGCCAAGAGGGTGATTCCAAGAGTGCGTACTTGACGAAATGATCAAGGTTCCAGGATGATGAGACTAACATGTCTGATTCAGACTTCTCCTACTGCGGTGACCACCTGAACGACTACCGCATCATGTACCTCCAGGGCACCAACGGCAACCTGGTCAACATGGACATTGACTGCGACGGTGCTCTCGGCACAGGTGACGGCAGCTGCGACAGCTCGCAGGACACGCAGAGCGAGACCAGCTTCAAGGACACCGTCGCCAGCTACAAGAAGGGCATCAAGGACCTCAACGCCTACGTGCACTCGTTCGTCGTGCTGGGCAACGAGGGCAGCAAGAGCGGCTACGTCACCTTTGATCCCCAGTCGGTTGGCGTTGAGCCTCTCTCGATTGTTGCCGTTGTCTGCGGCAACCAGATGGTGAGCACCATGAACAGTTTCTCCTCTGTGGAAGATGGGCTCGCAACTAACGTGATTGAAGTTCTACGGCGTCTGGGGCGACACCAACGGCGACGACGGCCCTCCCCTGGTCGGCGAGGTCTCCGACTCTCTCGGCCGCGCCTGTTACGGAAACGCCGTCAACGGCAACGCTGCCCACGACCCGAACGACGTGCTGTACATTGCCTTCACCGGACAGGACGCCGTGCCCGGCGCCAACGGAGCCAACTGGGCGGCCTCCTCTTTCTCGGCCTTTGAGTCGTCCCTGGGCGCCCTCGGTGACCAGCTGGTTGCCCGTATCGGCAGCTCTGGAGGCAGCACCCCTCCTCCTCCCCCTCCCCCTCCCACCAACTGCTCATGGGAGGGTCACTGCGCCGGTGCTTCTTGCGGCAGCGACGACGACTGCTCTGATGACTTGACTTGCAACAGCGGCAAGTGTGGCAGCGGTGGGTCAACATCTCCTCCCCCTCCTCCCCCTACCAGCTGTTCGTGGGAGGGACACTGTGCGGGAGCGTCTTGCAAGAGCGACGACGATTGCTCTGATGATTTGGCCTGCATTTCCAAGGTGTGCGCTGTTGACCCGGACAATTGAAGCTAGGGTTTTGAAGAGGTGGTACCTGTGAAGCGGGAGTTTCAGCAAGTGTCGATGAGCTGACGCTTCGCTTTGGGGCTTGACATGGTAGCCCTGTGATGGAGTATGGGTGAAGGAATCTCCAGCAGGCTGATGTTGTTTGCATTGGTGTATATATCTGTATGTGGGCGGTTTACCCATGGCCGTCAATTGTACATAGCTTTTTATGACAGCGTTGCGGAATACAAGTACCGTGGCTTAAAGAAAGCACTCGTTGACTCTCATCCCGACTTTGTCTTTCTTTGCTCAAGCACTGGGTATTCACTTAGTTGCCGTTGAGTGACATGCTTCCCGTCTTAGTCCCTTGCACCTTGATGGCAACATCGAAGTTAAGTCTGCCGTTACCATGAAGGGAAAGGATTATGAACCGGAGATCCCGCAGTCATTCCAGATCACTTCAATAACTGTTGAAAGTAAACGAGTTGTGAGGCATTAACGACTTCATGAAACAAACAATACCCCCAGTATCCGCACCGTCGCCTCGGCCAAACAGAACATCGGATCACGTTCCGAATCTGTACTGCAGCCCGGCCCCTACAATTTTAACCAGCGAATATCCTACAAGGCACGGGTTCACTCGCTTAGAATAGGGATAGTAGCTACGCTGATTCAGTCAACCATGTTGCACACAGTACAGCAAGTCACAGGGTCAGCGAAGTAAAGCAACAATGTAGGCATTGGCAGAGCAAATCATGCATTTCATATATACATTGCGAGTCATATATACACCCACATCTCAACGCATCGGAATCATCGTCGCCGCCACCAATATGTACAACCGACAGCGACGAATCGGTATCAACAGCCCGATACGCAAAGCGTTAAATACAATGTGGTGTCATCTACACGTTCCATGTCAGTCAAAGCCCCCAACGCCATACAAAAGCAACAGCCCATAAGGTGGGAATGATTCAGCATACCGTAAAAAAGGTCGTTTTATATACAAGAAGGAAAAAGCCCCCCTCACGATCCGTAACGAAGCTCTTATGCCGAAGCGGGCTTCTTGGCAATGGGCCTGTCGTTGGAGTAGTGCAGGTTGCGGTTGTCCTTGACGGGGACGGCCGCGGCGGCGCGCTTCTCCGCCTTGGAGTCTGCGAGGGCGATGGGCTTCGAGTTGGCGTACTTGAGGTGGCTCAGGTCCTTCCACTCCTGGCCGGCGTGCTGGACGGTGGGCGCGGCGAGGGCGAGGCCGGAGAGGGCGACGGCGATGAAGGCGGCGGTCTTCATGGTGACTTTTTGAAGGTTGTTGAGATGAGTGAGTTGGTGATGAGCTGAAGGATAGTCGAGTCTTGAGTGTTCGAGAACAAGATGAGAGCAGTGCAAATCCGGGGAGAGATCGAGAGCGAGTCTGGGGAGAGAAGCACTGCCTCCTATATACTAGGCCGACGTAGCAGCACTATCGCAAGGGGAGAGAGCCAAGCGTTCATGTTTGCCGTCCTTCGAACCTCATTCGACAGGGGACGGGCTGGCTCATACCCCAGGTTTGTCCTCCTGCTCCAAGCAGGTTCGTGCGGGATGCATACAATATCCATTTTGACCGAAAGATGTGCCGACAGGCCGCCCAATCGGGCAGGTGGCTGGTGTTACGGGTGGTCAGGCGCTAAAGCCTCATTTGCGCTCTTGAGGAAGCTTGTTTGGTGCTAAGAACGTTGAAGGTGATGGTTTGGTTGGATGATGGGAGAGGACTGGAACGTGAGGGAGATCAAAAGGAGGGTCTTTGCTCAGGTGAGCTGCAATGAGGCGTCACGATGGAGGAATGGCGATCTTGAGAGTTTGGTGAATAAGGAGGTGTTCTCGGAGTTGCTGCTGTCTGGATGTGAGCGGCCCACGACTCATGGACCTTGGCTAGGCGCATGAACCTCAACGGGCTACTAGTCTAAGGGATGGCACGCAACGCAAGCAAGGCAAGGCAGCTAATGCTTTGAGGTGCATCTATCTCCTTACAAAGGATTGGCATCCTGTACTTAGGAACTAGACAGTAGACTATAATGGTGGTCTAAACAACTACCAGCACCACGTACGTGCCTTGAATTTGTCCTCACAGGGGCCTTAACTGTACCTTTTCCGTGGCTGGTGGACCTCCTCCCCCTGGATGATCGATCCTGCACCCCACCAAAACCACCGGCAACTACCAATATGGGCATCGCCAACCGGCTCAAGGCAATAGTAAGTCGAAGCCTAAATGTCCCCAGTCATTGCTCGCAGGCCCGATCAGAGCGTTAATACAAGGGTCCGGTTAGCGAGCACCCAACATCCGGATCGCGAGCACCCAGAGGGTACATTTTTACACGAATGGTACAAGATAAGGCACTATCTCTACAGTGTTAACGCTTGCTACATCTACCATCTATGCAGGTAACTTACACCTTTCTGCTATAAGATTGCATCTCTGCTACTAGGTAGGTAGACAGCAGCATTATCTACATACCTTACAGCAGCATCTCTACTATAGCGGCAGCTTTACTACAGCAGTAGGGCATCTCTGCTGCATCTCTACTACAGCAGCATCTCTACTACAGCAGCATCTCTACTACAGCAGCATCTCTACTACAGCAGCATCTCTACTACAGCAGCATCTCTACTACAGCAGCATCTCTACTACAGCAGCATCTCTACTACTAGATAGCGGCATCTCTGCTATAGCAGCATCTCTACTACTAGATAGCGGCATCTCTGCTATAGCGGCTTATGCTGGCTGCACTGTAAAGGTCGTGCATTATTACAGAGAGGTACTGGAAGGCATATAAGCTTTAACGCTGTTTGAGAATAGATCCATGGATACTTTACCGCACAGTTATGTACAGTGTGTGCGGGTGCTCGCTATCCGGATGCTGGGTGCTCGCTAACCGAACCCTAATACAACGGCAGGAGAGACATGGTATGCCTTGTATATCGGATGCAGGATCGTGAGTGGCTCTTCAACTCTCGGCGCTTTTCCAGACAGCGGGTTAATGTCACGGAGTCAGGCAGGGGACGTAATAGACGCAATGCGACTAGTACCATGTTCCTTGGTGTACTATACTACCTGAATCTGATATCCCTATCTCTCGAATTCTATTCCTCTGGTTTGGCAGACATACCTCGCATGAAGCCATGAGTCGACGTCTTAAAATGGCATTTCACACAATATCACAGCGGCGAGGAGGCTTAAACCGAGGACATCATCCTGGCATGTTCAACATACACTTGTAAAGCGTTACATGACAACCATCGCTACTTATTTGCCCTCGTCCACGAGTCTGTACACCAGCTTCTCTCCGCTAATCGGCCGCATGTAGTCCTCACTGCGACTCGTCGATCGCTCCGACAGCAGGCCGGCGCCCAAGAGCGCAAACCCATCCGGCACGATTCTTTCCAGCCCTCCCGGCATAAGACGCACGGGATTCGGCTCCAGCTTCACTTTGCCGTCTGTGGCAGCTGTACTGAGGAAGTTGAAGAACTTTGTTGCAAACAAGCGCGCCTTGGGGTTGGCGGGAATGGTGAATCCTTTTTTACTACGTGTCAGCGGCGATATTTGATGAGTATCTTCTCGACTTACCGTTGTAGCCAATCTCATGGCCGAGGCCTTCCCACACAGCGCCGTAGATAGGCTTGATGCGCAAGTTCGTTGGGTCATATTGTCCACCCTTGGGCCCGCGGAATACAGCCATCTTTGCGTTTTCATTCAAGGTGTCGTGGATCTTGTACACAGTCTCTCCTTCGGAAATGCTATCCACAGCACGATCAACGCCCTTACCCCCTGTGGCCTCTTTCACCTTGTCCACCCAGTTGGGATCGTGATAGTCGATCAACACGTCATAACTGTACGGCTCTTGGCGAAGAAATTCGTGCTTGGAGGAGCTGGCAGTGCCGATGAGGCGGATCTTGCGACCGGAAGAGCGGGCTGCAAGCTGCACCAGCTGGGCGGCGTACAAGCCGAGGGAGGTCGATGCGCTATAAATGAGCAAGTTGGTTACATCGTTTGCGCTGTCCGCTGAAGAAGCCGTTTGGTCGTCGTCAAATGGGCAGGGAAGATCGAGACGAGCAAAGACTCCTTGCGCAGCTGTCAAGCCGCACATGCTGATTGTGGAAGCGGCCTCGAGCGACATGCTGTCTGGGACCGACCACAAGAGGTCATAGGGGGCCGTGATGTACTCTGCAAAGGCTCCTGGGCGATCATTTGTCGAACAAGCTTCAAGTGGGCAACAATCAGTATTTCGCACCTAATCCTGGTGTCGACCTTTGCAAGAAGGATGGCCTACCGCCCTGATGAAATCCAGCAACTCGCGCCCCAACTCTGGCACGGAGATCAGACAAGGAGCCGAGGTCAGGCCCTAAAGCAGTGACAACGCCGGCGAAATCGGTTCCGATGACTCGCTGCTCTTGCTCGGCGATGGGATGCGCTGCATAGGCCGCGTCTACGGGGTTCAGAGCCACTGCATGGACGCGGATGAGGACTTCGCCGTTACGGGGCTCGGGAACGGGGAGCTCCCGGATGGAGACGTCTTTTGTTGCAGTTGTGAGAACGAGGGCCTTCATTGTAATTGCTATTAAATTGTCAGTTATGAGACTTGTAGTGATGAAGATGAGACAGGGCCGCTGTCAGTGAGGTTTACATGAGCGTGTCCGAGAAGCTGCTGTGGGGTGAGCAGTATGCTGAGAAGTGAATGGCAGATGTAGAGCCTGGAGAACTGTCAATTGACCGATGTCTGAGCGAATGGAACGGGATAGTTTGCCTTAAAAGGAAATGTTCTGCTGCCCACCTTTGGGAGCAGAGTGCCGGTTGGTGATACTATTACCCCGTATTTATCTGACTTTCAATCAAGGCGCTATGAAGGTAAGCCTCATAATCTTGGACAACTCAATCTGCGATCATTTCTGTTTTCGGAGACTGGGGCTTCGCGATCCAAGGAGAGAATGCAAATGCCTCAGCCGTGAGTCCTATAGGGGACTGCTTGATAATTCGACTTGATCCGGATTTCTAATGAAGAGGGCCTTTTCTGACAGAATCTGGGCATTATGACATAGCCCTGTCGTTTTAGGCTGTGCAAAGGTGTTGGAGATGGCGTTGAATGGTGTAGCTGTTGAGTGTGTCACATTCCAGACCCGGAATCGGATTCAATTGAGACTATTTACTCAACTGTGCGTTGCATCTGTTTGGTTGTTTAGTAATACCCAAGATTCGTGATTCAAGATTCGAGAGTGACTGGTTTTGTTGTGCTCAGAATGCGATGCGCCTATGAACGGGCTGTTAGGCTGATATTGTAGCTTAGTCTCCGTTGAGCTGATATTAAGGTATGGACGATTAACACTTGTTTGTTGTAGGAACAGTGATACATCGTATACACAAGCTTGATGAATCATAAGTAATTCACTTTCTCAGGTCAGCGTGTGCTACCATACTCTCAAAGAATGTTTCAAGTCTCTCGCGAACGATGTGCGAGTTCTCTCATGTCTTTGTCAACATCATCCATCCTCACCGTGTCCGGCAGCCGGGAGCCTCCACATCACTCCGCAGCCGCTCTCCGGTCCGAGAATTGCAACCATCGAGATGGATGCAGCTTCTGGTACAGGTCGCGAAGATGAGAACCTCATTCATCACACATGCCCCGGAGGTTACTCTACATTCGCGCCAGAATACAACTAAGCATATTTACCTACTAGACTATAGGTAGCATCACTTATACTACTGGGTTCGAATGCGAAGAACCTCACCCTACTGCTCTTATGTAAGCACGGCTCCTTCGTCTGACCCGTGTTTCCGTCTTCAACCCCGGTCTTATCTCACTCGCTCACCGAGTTGAAGCTGCCAACTCCATCTCGCAATAACTTCCCTTTCTAAACCACAACTGTCTCTGTTGCTATCATAACGTCATCCGCGAAGAGGTTCATACTGTCGACAATTACAAACCCATCCAGTTGAGTCAACAGTTCCGAAATGGTCCGCTCGGTCAGCCGGAGCAAAGGCTGTGCTCTATGCCTGCAGCGCAAAGTCAAGGTGGAACCAGCTCGCAACATGATTCATGACTCTAGACGGCCGACTCATTCGCTAACAAGTTGATGCTATTCCAAGTGCGATGAGAAACTGCCGCAATGCTCCCAATGCCAACGGATGCGACGGCCTTGTCCGGGTCCGCAGACAGGCTCGATCTTTGTCCATGCCGTGCCAACGGAACGCGGTCCAAAGGCCGAAAAGGCCAGGGTTCGGGGTTCGACCGCCTATCAAGAGTTCCTCGTAGCGGCTGCTCCGCTGGTAAGACAGCTTCAGTCTGCAACCACAGCTGCTGCAGCGTCCCCCATTACATACCAACCGTCTGTTGTTCCGGCATTCGACCAGCTCTTTCTGTCAACCTTTATCGATTCGTTTGCTAAACCTAGCGCTGGTTCTGAGCCTCATCAGTCATGGATGAAGCACCTCCACGAGTTTCTGGTCACGGGTGATGCGCCACTCAAGCACTCGATACGAGCCGTGGCCACGGCCTTTCATAGTAGAATGGCGGGGAATCCGGCCGCTCAACGTGCAGCGCAGCATTGTTACGTTGCCGCTTTACAAAGTCAGCGAGCCAGGATAGCTCCTTTTTTGAACGGTCCTTCTCCTCTATATGTACCTGATGACCAGGAAATCTTTACATCAATGATGCTGCTGTACTTTGAGCTTATCAATCCGTCTTCGACTGCCAGCTGGCTCAAGCACATGCACGGAGTTATAAACTTGCTGGTGCTACGCGGACCAAACAGCTGCCAAACTGGCTCACTACATCTTCTCTTTCGTTCATTGAGGTTTCTCGAGGTAACCTTGAGCACTTCTCTCTGGTAAATCCTTTTCACACGATGAGCTAATTTCACATTCATAGGCCTACGTCTCCTTTCGAAAACGAAAAGCCTCAGTCTTTGCATCCGAAGAATGGCGCACCATCCCTTTTGCGACATCCGGTAAAAGCGATATAGACAGACTGATTGACATTCTTCTTTTGGCACCGCATCTTTTAAAAAATAAGGCGTCCGATGGACTATCCTTCACTCCATGGTCCACCGTTTCCGTCGAAGAACTTTCAGCTCAGTTGAGCGCCTTCAGTGAGCGATATATGCAGAGTATTCTGGCTGCGCAAGAAACTACACAGAATATGATTGAAAGCTCTGACGAGAGTACGGAAGATGAGTGCAGCGAGTGCAACGGCTGGATCGACGGCGGAGGTGACTTTTGCACATCGATGCCCGAGTCTTTGTTCTATTCTGCCAAGATCATCATCGACTACATCACCTTCGGAGAGAACGCGAAGGCCCACGTGGATGTTCTCGCGGCTGAGCAATTGGTCTATTCGTCTTTGTTGTTTCGAATCGCCGAGTTGGCCAAGGAAGGAGGGGAGATGCAGGTTAATGTTGGGACTTGCGTACAGCTGGCGTTTAGTCTTGAAGTTGTAGAGTCGTTCGGCCTATCAACTGCCTGTAAGGAGCAGGCTCGGCTTCATTTGAGGCAGCTGGGGTGGGAGAATGTGTCACTAGTTGTTTAATATTCTTCCTTTTAAGGCTTGACAGCAGTCAATCATGTGCGACAAAAAAGAAAGCTGCGCCACCTAGGTATTGTAGGAAGTTGTTGTTTATTGTCGAATGGGAAAGAAGTGGGATAGTCAAGCTCCATAGATATGCGAAATGATTGCTTTGTCTGCATTAATGGCCTCGAAATGGACTTGTTTAGGATTCCCAATGCTCACGGCCCCTGTTATAGCCGGTAGATATTGGCCAACGCCATTGAATCTGAGCATCGTAGAATCAGTATCCAGATAGGGCTAACTCATTTTGAATTTGCTAAACACGATGTTGTGCAGGTCTGTTGCCTCGTAAGACCTCTCGGTTTGCAAAAATCATCTTGCAAGGCGTCATGGCTCTGAATGATATCCAAGTGAGACTGAGACGCTGGGGAGTCATCTTCAGACAGTCAAAAAAGGACAGAGGCTCATTGCTCCATGTGCGACGGACTTCAATTCTACGTGTCTGAATGGTGGTTGGCTGAGTGTATGTGAATGCATGCTGGTGTGATGCTGCTGGCTGGACATATATTCCGTCTATCAAATTCCATCGAACGGGCCTTCGAACTCACGAGACTTTGTAATGAGGAGATGCGCCATTATTCTCAACGCTGCAAAGAGAACGTCCTTCATCTTTCTTGGCTCTTAGGGAGATTTCCGGCGCACTCAAAGGTTCCTGGCCACACAACCTTCGCACTTGGGCTTTCACTGATCACAGTCGACGCGTCGAGCACGGCAGAGCAGGCATAATGTGTGTCTCCGAGCGTTCTTCGGTCCGAAAAACGATATTCCTACGACGTACCTAAAAGTATACACGAGTCAAAAGTATACACAGGTTGAAGAAGTGTCAAAGGCAAACTGTTGCCTATAACTGTTGACCAATCGATTCAAGCGAATAGCCGAAGGTTGTTCAGCTGTCAAGCTGGATATAGGCCAAAATCGACCGACCAGTAAGAGGCAGAGCGACGCGAGAAGAAATGCCGGCAAATGCCAGCATTTTCCGTTTACGGTGCGAGTGTGGTGGGCTGCATCACTGGCGGTCCGTGGAGATGCTGCGAACTATGCCTCAAAGAGGTCATGTTGCCCGTGCCATTATACAGCTATTGGCTGAATAATTACCGAGACATTATGTTAGGCATTCTGTGATGAGGAAAGCGTTGACGATCATGGAAGTCTTGGTGTTGTAAAGGTGCATGGCAAATGTGTATAAAGATGAGAGACTCTAGGTCTTCAGGTTGGGAATCGGACGACAAACAGCATCATCATTCAAGCGATCAGTCATAGACACTACATCAGCCAGAATTTTCCAATCCGTCGACATATCAGCTTCTCTTATAAAAAAACCATTCAATTTTGCTCTCAAGTATCACAATGTCTTCCCGGTCCAACAACTCCGTCGTCATCATTGGCTCCGGGCCCGGCATTGGCTCCCACACAGCCGCCATTTCCGCTTCCAACAGATTCAACAAGGTCGCTCTCGTGGCCAAAAACCCTGCCAAGCTGGAGAAGGATGCAGCTTTCGTAACTGCTGCCGCTCCGGGACAGGTTGAGGTCAAGACCTATCCCACCGACATCACCGACAGCAAGGGGCTTGCAAAGACCCTTGAGCGGATCAGCAACGATCTCGGAACCCCCGAGTTTGTCTTGTTCAACGCGGCCATTATTGCTGTGACTCCTCTTTTGGAGGTTGACGACGAGAGCATCCTCACGGACTTTCAGATCTCCACCATCGCTCTGCACAACACCGCCAAGTGGGCGATTCCTCAGCTGGCTGCCTTGGCTAAGCAGGATCCTTCCGCCAAGCCGACTCTCATGGTGACCAACTCTCATCTTCCCGAGACGCCCTGGGAGGATCTTTTTTCCCTCTCTCTCTCCAAGGCTTCTCAGAAGAATTTGACCTTGTCCCTTCGGCAGAAGTTTGGCTCTTTGGGCATCCACATCTGCTTGTTGTCTGTTGCTGGAGGGGTTGCCGATGAGAACCCGAACCTGAACAACAAGAACGTCGCAAATAAGGCTTGGGAGCTGTATAGCCAGGATAAAAGTGCTTGGACTGAGGAAATTCGCATTAACCCATAAGCGATAGAAAAGGATCACGATCCATGATTTTGAGGAGCGAGTCTAGATATAGCTCAAGATAGATAATAAACAGACTGATACTCTATATATTTGCCTTATATGGTTTTCAAATCATAGCCGTCTTCTGTGTTGTAGTGGCCATGGATTACTCCTATGTGCTGAATCAAGATGCTTCTTTGCCCTGCGAAAGCATATTTGCTACACTTGTCTCAAAGAGAGAGGTACCATTTTATACTAGGACAGAAAGCCTGTAGAGATGTCTGAAGCAAGTCAAGGAGGTGCAAATAGATCGAGTCTCTTGACCTCCAAGTGAAACGAGTCGTTTCGTGAATATGATCCAGCAACATCCAAGTCTAGCCGCCCCCTCTCACACTCTTGGAAATCCACCCCCTGAACCAGGAGCTCGCCGTCCCTGTCCCAGCTCGGCCCGGCCAAAACTTGTCCAAATGGAGAGATGATGCAGGATCCTCCGCCGCTGATAAACCTGCCCTCTCGCTTTACTTCGGTGATCCACTCTGGCAGCTGGTCATCGCGGACCGCTTGATTGGCGCTCACGACAAATGTTCGCCCTTCGAATCCAATGGTCTGCATGAGTGACAGCCATGTGTCCCTGCCATCAGCCGTCGGAGCAAGATATAGGTTCACGTTTTGCTGGTATAGGGCTTGTCGTAATAGGGACATGTAATTTTCCCAACAAATAGCGGCAGCAAGATAAATCTTGACGCCTTTGATGGTTGTGCTCACGGCTTTGAGGGAGCGAGGCTGCCCCTGGCCCCAGATCAGCCGTTCGCTTCCTGTGGGGAGAACTTTGCGCCGCTTCCCAACGATGCCTTGCATCGGGTCGACATATACCACAGAGCAGTAGAGAGTACCTCCTGATCGCTCTAATACCCCAGTGACAATGTAGACTCGAGTCTCTTGAGCAATTCTCTCCAGTTCTTCCCGTGTTCCATCTCCGCGCTGGTTTTTCATTAGTGGGTAGTTGACGATAATCCAGTCGTCGTTTGCACCCTGGGGAGTATCGCCTAGATCAATGGCTCACTGGAAATAGGTGAGGTATTGACGATACCCGTCTACAGTGCGCTCAACAATTTTGGTTCCTCTGTTGGCTTTCTGATGTCTTCGACCTATTTGAACTTGTTCGAGTAAGCATTGTCACAAGTAAATTCATGCCTGTTAATGGGATTTTTTTACCCTCCAGTCGATATAGGTGTCTGATACGGCATCAACGATGTACTTCTCCTAGCTGAATTCCCCATCGTAGCGACCCAGGTCTCGAGCTGCCCATCTAGACGCAGCTTCTACAAACCTAGAGTAAACGTATGTACGGTAAGCAATGCGTGGCAAGAAACAGACTGCTCTCTCTCGCTTGCCTCGCCTACTTTAGTCTCGATTTACAGTTCAACGTCACCAATATAAAGGGCCCCTTTCCACTCACATATTCAGCATATAGCTAACGATTCCTGGGATAGCTGTATGTCATGCAGTCATTGCCTTCTCATCAACAGTCACTAGCTGGCGGCATCTCCAACCTTTTCATCCGCTTGGGAACGACCATCATCTTCGAATTGTCGATAGCGATATACAGTCCTGTGAAAAATTCTCTTACTGCGCAGGACGTCGCCTTTACGCCTTACAAGAGCGCATTCTACGTTTCGCTGGGGTTTACTGCCTTGGCCTGCCTATCCGTTCCCTTTGTACGCATTGGTACGCATCGAAACTCGCCAAAAGAGGAGTAGGGATGAGAGATATGTCTTTGACCAACGAAGGAGAGCCGGAGGCTTCACTCCGACCTGGTTGGCAGATGTGATGTATATTCAACATATCGCCGGGAGACTATCGTAGAGGTTTGCCCGACTTATTAGGCAAATCCTCGAACATGGGGGGCACTAGTGGAAGGAGGTGTTGGCGGACTTGACTGCATCTCATCTTTGGCTGCACGAAACATATTTCGCCTGTCGTAAAGCTGAATGGAAATGAAGTGTAAAAATATCTGTTAATTCTCTTGCAAATGGCGAGCTTCACTACATGTAGCTTTCGGCTTTCGGCCTTTGGGAGAGGCGAAAGCCAAAGTCGTCTTGCGACTATCCATGGGCTAAACTCGACAGTTCGCATTCATTTCGGCCGGGAAGCGGCGAAGAGAAGCGGCGAAAGCGGCAGTTCTGCGGGGGAAATGAGGAATCTTGCCTCCTTAGTCCAACTCTATGCAGCATGGTCGCCCGATTACATAGACTTGCCGAGGAGGATTCCGCCTGTTTAAACGGCGCTTACGTCGCATTCTCTTGCTCTGTAAGCACAGGAAAAGACGTCATGTTGCGAGACCAATCAGCTGTGAGCTGTGTAGCCTTTGAAGCCTTATGAGACGGGAGTTGGTGTATGCAGTTTGGATATATGAGGACTTTATTTATCAGGAACAATGAACTCTTGTTATGACGAAGCATTCCTGATTTCGACTTACTGTCGTGAAGAACAAAAGAATCGATCCATTTTGTAACCAACGCATAAACACCGAAATCATGGCCGCGGCGGTCTCGGGTTTGAAGGGATGGCATCCCGGCGAAGTTGCCATGCAGACGAAACTGGGCTATGCGGACGCCATGGCTACATCATGGCGATACATCGAGAATGCGATGCGAGAACAGCACCGAATCTTCCACACTTCAAACCTGCCATTCATTCCCATCACGACACTCGACGACGAAGGGCGGCCGTGGGCTTCGATCGTTGCTGGGGCTGATGGCGAGATTGGCTTCGTTGAGGGCCCTGACCTCAAGACGCTCATCGTGAACGCCAGACTTTGGCCCGGAGAGCCTCTCCTGGACACTCTCAATCAGTGGGCTGATAGAAATGGTCAGAACCCGACAAGTCCGGAGAGGTACTTGACGGCAGGAATCGGAATTGAGTTTCCGACTCGAAGACGCAACAAGTTTGCTGGCTATATGGAAGATGTGAAGCGCAAATCGGAGTTGGATTTTAGACTAAAGTTGAAGGTCAACCAGACCACTGGGTATGTCTCTCTCTCCTCTTCTGCTGAATTGATCTTTCATCTTTCGACATGGTACTAACGTGTCATAAACCACAGGAACTGTCCCAAGTACATCAATGTCCGCAAGCTCGTTGGGCACGCACAGACGAAGCCAACCATTGCATACGAAAAACGACACATGACACAGTTTGAAAGGCTCCCACAGGAAGTCATCGACTTCATTACCGATGCCGATACAGTCTTTATCGGATCTGTGTACAGGTCTGAACCAGAAACGGCTGCCAAATTCCCCTCACATACCGGCATGAATGCGCGTGGTGGCTTGCCTGGATTCATTCGCGTCAGCCCGTCGGATGGACGCACCGTCGTTCTACCTGACTACTCCGGAAACAGATTCATGTCAAGCCTTGGGAATGTCGAGAAAAGCAATCAGGTGGCACTCACCATTGTCTCCTTTACAACTGGCGACGTCCTATATCTTACCGGTAGAGCAGAGAACCTCGTTGGCCCCGATGCACTTGCGGTAATGGTGAAGCACGCCAGCATCACTGTAATGAAGACGACAGGATTCATCTTTATTCGAGACGCTCTTCCGGTACGACAACAATTTGGTACCGAGGTTGAACGCAGTCCATACAGCCCCAAAGTCAAATACTTGGTAGAGGAACCAGAGGGCCAAGCAAATGCCGTTGGAGCACATAAGGCGAGGTTAACCAGTGCAACGCAGCTGTCACACGATCTCGCAGTGTTCAGATTCAAGGTAACCACCAGGCCCGGCATCGAACCGATCAAGATACGACCCGGACAAGCCATTGCTCTCGATTTTATGGACTGGATAGGACCACCAGCGTATCAGCACATGGCCAACTCTGCGCCTGGGTCGGTCAACGATGATCGTGTACGAACATGGACGGTCTCCAGTGCTCATGAAGACAAAGATGTGACGTGGTTCGACATGACGATGCGCGAGATGAAGGGCGGGGCTGTTACGGGGGCATTGTTCGATGTCTTGAGGAGACACCCCTTGAACGATTACGAGAGGCCGGTCACAATCACCGAAGATGTCATTGCAGAAGTCGTTGGAGTCACGGGCGACTTTTTCCTTGGAGCGGACGATGTCAACATGCTCTGGGTTGCCGGTGGTATCGGCATCACGCCGTTCCTCTCCATGTTCAGCGCACTGTCTGATCGCAAGGCCAAAGCCAAGGGCGATGTTGTGCTTGCGCTGTCAACCCGAGAGCCGGAACTGATGCTCCGACTGATCCAGACTTCTCTTCGTAATGCTGCTTCTAAAGTCCGAATTCGGATCGATCTCTTTACGAGCCAGGAGAAAGTCGATATGGAAGGTATCGATCAGAAGAGTGTACAAATTATACTGCACAGGGGCCGGATAGGTCCAGACTATTGGCCTGAGGTGGCAAGTGGCAGAGATGTCTTGATATGTGGCCCAGGGGCTTTTGGTGATGTGGCCATGGAAGGCCTGAGAGCAGCGGGAGTGCCAGAACAAAACATGTTACGGGAGGGATTTTATTGAAGTTGACGGCTGCTAACACAAGAAGAAAGAAATGGACAGAAGGAAAAAAGGAAGAGAAAAGCAAATTGGCGGTTAAGACTCCATGTCATATCCGAGTTCCAGTTAATAGATCCTCAGATCAGAATGATACTCTTTATCAAATCTTAAGCATACCCAGTCCATTGCTATGCGTATCTATAGCCACATCTTCCATGCCATGGGATTACCATGGATTGATGACGCTTACTTCTTGCCCAAGGTCATCGAATTTCTGGAAGATATGCGGCGCATAATGTACGAGCCTAACATGACGAAAACATTTGAAGCACATGTCAAATGAATAGCACTTGTCGCAGTGATACCGGGGTCCATGAATTGTCTGCTCCGATGTCTTTTGTTAGTACCTTGACCTCTAATATCCGCCAACATGAGAACACGTTCCAGAACAGGAAGATACGTACGCAGCCGCAAGAATCGCAAAAATATGGTACTCGATTGGGTGCACTTTTGACCGGCACAGTCTCTTCGTCATCGTATGATATCCCCTCCACGCAGCGTATCGGAGCATCCATGTGATCGGTGGTCCCGTTGGACTTTAGTAAGGACTGGACCTCCGGGTCCTGCATGAAGCCATGATAGTTGGCAACATCGATTGGTCTCCATCCGCGATGTGTTAAAGCGTCTTTATTCGCTTTCAAATCGAGAAGAAGAAGTTTGACAGTATTGGTTGATCTCTGACGGCATGCCCAGTGAAGTGGTGTCCAGCCGTCCACATCTTCTTTTTCCAGTGCTTCAGAATCGTCGGCGAGGACGCGTTTGAGTAGCTCGTCACTTCCCTGCCCCGCGCAGAAATGAGCCATATGGCGCTGCAGTTTGTCAGTCGCACTGCTATTTGGGATCCCAAAGTCGATGAGAAGGTTATAGTCATCCTCATCCCAATAGCTATTTCTCGGGAACATGTGCATTGGCAATCTGCCCTCCTGATCGACAGTCTCCATGTTCAGGGCGGAGCTCTCGCAGCTCAAAATAAGTTCCATCTCTCGCCAATAACCATACGCCACTGCAAGGTGTAGTGGCGTCCCATAACTTCCGGCGATAATGCTCAGATCAGGCTGTTTGTTGAGAATCAGCTCTACCATGTCGGCAGTGCCGTGGCGAACAGCGGCCTCAAGTACGGTTGAGTAGATGCCGGCCTCATAATTAAGCGCGGACGGCGTGTGGTCAATGATAGCCTCTGCAATCTTGAGATACCTGGAGTCGACGCTGTCATCGTAGGACCTGTTATGCATGCATGCAGCAGCATGTAAAGGAGAGCCAATGCCTTTACTCCCCAACTTGACATCAGCACCCTCTTCCAATAGCTTGGAAACAATAGACACGGATTTCGGCTGGGCATACCAGGCTGCAATCTGCAGCGGCGTCCCATGATCTTCGTGGATGACCCCGGGGCGAGCACGACCGCTCTTCGCCAGCAACGAAACAAGCTCAGGTTGATCCAAGTAGACGGCATGGTGTAGCATGGTGCCATAAGTGCCGATCTCCCGTTCAGTATCTAGTCCAAATTCAAGGAGCGTATCTAGGGTATCGGCGGCATCGACGCCTCGTTGCAGCAATCGCTGCAGCTCGAAATCCGACACCTTCCACTCGCCGCCTTCGACAGAGACGCGTTTTATCACCTTGCGCAACACGGAAGCCGATGCGTTCAGTATCACATCCAAGTCTAGCTCAATTCCCTTTAACGTAGATTTCTTAGTTGGTGCTGTTAAGAGGATGTCGACACAGCGCTCGTGATTTGGCGTGGCTGCTGCGATCAGAGCCGTTACCCCTGACGAATCTGCGGCGTTGACGTCGGCACCAGCATCGACGAGCAGCTTGAGGCAATCCACCGCATTAACACGGGCAGCTTCATACAGCGGAGTTCGTCCATCCCGATCCTTCGGGTTCAGCTCGGCCTTTCGCATGAGCAGCGACTGCACGAGTCGCGCATCAGACCTAGAAGCCCCTAGATGCAGCGCTGTGTGCCCGTCTTCTGTCATCACAGCATTCATGTCGGCTCCGGCGTCCATTAGAAGCTCGGCCATTTTGACGTTGCCTGTTGACACGGCCTTGAGGAAGCTTCTTGTGATCTGCTCACGACCATACAGGGGAAGCAATGCGTTTGCTGTCACGGTATGTCCTGCCTCACTTGCCAACTCGAGGGGAGACCGGCCTTTCATATCCACCTTCTGGTAATCTACCTTGCTTTCGAGGAGTTTTTTGACATTTGAAGGTAGTCCTTGCAACGATGCTTCGTGAAGTGGTGTTGTACCGTTGCAATCCTTCGCGTTCAGATCCACCTCGGAGACCTCGAGCAACAGCGAGAGAATTTCCGGCATTTCAAGAGCAGCTGCGTAATGCACAGCCGTCTTCCCCTTCCTATCGGTGATATTGACATTTACTTCATAATGGAGAAGCTTCTGGACGACTTCGGTATTGCCACTCTGAACAGCGCTGATGAGTGGCGTCTGCGAGTTCGAATTCTGGACGTTCAGACTGGGGACGCGTGGTGCTGAAGTCACCGACCCCGATGAAGTATTTTCAGTGGCCGTAGTAGCCGCAACTAGGTTTCCATATGCCTTCAAGAGGCTCATCGCGACCTCAATGTGGTCATTCGCCAGAGCGAGATGTAAGGCAGTGTTTCCACCATGGTCTTGGACGGAAAGGTCATATGCTGTGCCACCATGCTCAAGAAGTAGCCCGACAACATCAAGATATCCGCTAGCACTGGCGGCATGCAGAGGCGTTGAGTGTGACTCCGTCGTATTGCGCATAGAAATGTTGTCCTTGACAGCAAGCAACTGGCTGGCTACGGTATAATAGCCGTGTTGTGCTGCTAGCAATAGCGGAGTGACGCCTGGTAAACTCTCCTGGCTAAGGTCAAAGTCGGCCTCGATCAATCTCTTTATAAGAGCTGAATGTCCAGACGCCGCTGCATGATACGCGATGTGCTTTTGGTCTTCAGAAGGAACTCTTCTCAATGAGCCTAAGGCACCTTCTGGGAGGTAACTTCCGTGTTCTGCAATTCTAAACCATAGAGATGGTTTAAACCTGCAATTACCACAGCCGCCCTGGCTGGAGAAGAGCTCCACGTTACCCATCCTAATTGCATCATCCATCAGAGTCTTCCAATTCTCTTGTACGAACTCTTTGTGTTTTGATGCGAGATGGCAAAGTGTAGCATCGGCGCCGGTGCGGAAGATGGTAGGAAGTAATGCTTGAAGCAGTGTCTCGTCCAGCTTATCCAGTGCTTTGGTATCTCCCAGCTGAGCCAGTGCAATGGCAATAGGAGCAAGGCGGTCTTCAGTCATATCTGGCATTTCTCTCGGCTCGTTATCGCTGGCAAGTTGAACAATTGCCAGAAGCTTCGCGACGCCTTGGCGGGTACCAGGATTGAGTCCAAGGGCTTCAGCAAGTTCCAGCAAGTCATAATCATGATTGGACTCAGTATTTTTCCCTTTTCGTAAATTCCGCAGTCGCAACCACCCATTGAAGACTCTTCGGTCGTGGATGAACTCAGTGATGAAGTCCAATTCTTTCTCCTCCATGGCCTGCTCATTTGGCGTTTCCGAGCCATCGATCCATAGTTGAATATGGGCAAGCCAGTTCTCAGCTGCATATGAGAGCATAGGCAACGATGGTGTTCTTGCTCTCGCTTCTTCTTTAGAGGCCGTATCATCCGAATCATATTCTTCAATTGTCTTCAATATTCCGGGAACACTGTCATGTGAGGTAGCCCCTGCAGCAGCTTCATTCTTGAAGCTTTCTCGAAGAATTTTGATGCAATATCTCGCGATATAGAGGTCGGGATGACATGTCGTGCGATTCCAATTGCTCGATTTTGTCTCGCAGGTATGGGAACTGTGATCTGTCTGATCTCGTCGTCGAAGTAGTCTGGCAGTAAGCGGTGCTACAGTCTCAGACCTCGCTATATAAATCACGTTACCGTCAGTCTCAATAAGCCCGGGGAGCAATTTTCGGAATTCTTCTACGATGATCGAAGATAAACCACCATGCTCGGAAATAGCAGACTCATAAACCATGACTGCGTGGAACTCAGTATAAGTCAATGGTCGAATTGATAGCGCAATCCACCCTAGGCAAGCCCTGATCCACGGGTGGCCCGATTCCGCGACTGACTCCAACATGAGGTCTGTGATGCTTTGATCACCCTTTGAAACATTATCCAGTATGCTTGTTGATGGAAAGGGAGTGAAGAGATGGCTCTCCAAGATCGGAATCCATTGACTAGGAGTCATGATACGCATTCCGGGGAGGATTCTAGTCAAATCGTCCCGGAAAATAAACAGTCTGGGATTACTCTCCATCAATTGTTCGAACTCGGCTTCATGGTCTGTCCGAAGGGCGACTCGCTGTTTTGAAATCTCTTCGCTTGTATCGGTCGCAGAAGCTATACCCAGTCGAGCTGATGTGGAACTTGAATATTGAACAACCAATATTTTGGCGTGGATCTCAGTCTGCTTGACCCACGAGAGCATAGTTGAGGCTATTTCATGAACATGGTCGTCGATGTTCTCGTCGTAAGGTTGAAGGACGATGATGAATGGAAGGTCGGTTCCATGGTATCTGAGCAAGCTTCGGATCAATTTCTCAAGAGACATCTCCTTCCACGACGTGTTGCTTGTTCCCAAAGATTCTTGGACGTCTTTGAACATCGGCTGAATGCGTCGAAACACGCGAGGGTAATGCGTTAGATACTGGTGGGCGAGTGTGATCCAGAGCTGCAATCTAGTTGCTGGAACTCTTCTAGGGGGATGGTTGGCGAGTGTTATGAAACGGTATCGGCTGTTTGGTTGCTTCTGAAGGATCGTTGTAATGAGAGAGCTTGCCAGCGCAGCAGCGTCAACACTACACTCCTCAAGATCCACTATCTGCATTGATCTCCTCACGGAGTCTGGGTGTCGCGCAAAGGCTTTCTCAGCATGTTCTTCTACCTCCAGCCCTGAGTCCGATGCGCTCTCTCGATGTGGGATTTCAGTAGGTGAATCCGACAGCCTCTGAAGTTCGATGCCATTCATCTCTGTCAAACCACCAGCCGACAAAATGACCTTACAAAGGTTAGTATATGTTGACCTGGACTTCCCAGGCTGCAGTGGCTCTAGGCCGCTGCTCGATAGTAAACTCAATGCCTCTCGATATTCGCTTTTGATGGCTTTTGATACATTAGCCATTGACAACTACCATCAAAGCTTGATGACATACCAGCGCTTGCGTCTTGAAGTATTGAGAGAAATTGCCTCTCGATGTCAGGCTGAGACAAATTAGCGAGGGTACCGTGACTTTCCTCGCGACCGATCTGCCTCTCGCCATCATGGCCAAAGGTAGCAGCATAGCGTGGTATGACCTGCAACAAGAATCTGTTCAGAATGTTTCTCTTTCCTACGGAACGGGACTCTCTGGGGTCTTTCTTACAATGCTATGATGACCCAAACTCGACTTTGTTTGATAGTAGTTGACGTATTTGAGCTCGTATTGTCGACTAAATAACTCGAACTGGGTTGCAATATTGTCATGAAAGACAGCTAGCCCACGAACTACATTTGGTAGCCATCTGCTAGAAGTGCCTTGAGCCTTTTGGTAGATCAAGTTGGAGATGATATAATCCCATGGAAATTGTTTTGAAGCTCGGTGAGGCGTGGCGAAGAACAGCTAGAGGTATATTTAATGAGCATGTCGTCAGAGGGGCAGAGTACATATATAGGGAACTAACCAGATGCGTAGTGTTTCTTACTATTCGTTTGTGGTCCGGATCCGACGACCCAGCAGCACTTAAAAGGGCCTAATCCACAGTTATTAAGCATTTCTTTATGATATCCTTCGGGGCTGAGAGTGTTTGGCAGACTTGCCTGTTTCAACAGTGTCCCACCAATATCACGAGCGATGAAAACAATGGCGGGATACTAATATGCTGGTAAGCGACAGATTCGAATATTCCATTTCTGGCATATGATACCTCATGTGATCGATCAATCTCATTAATTACGAAATCGAGGAGCTTCGAGCCAGCAGTTCTGATCTCTTCGGCCGAGAAGTCCTCGTTGAGTAGCAGGCCAGTGTCAAACGAGAACTTGGACGAATCCAAGGACATTGTTTCTAGACTATCTCCCCACCATACATGCTTGCCATCTAATCCATTGATGCTGAATATTCTATCCGTGTTAGTTTTTGAGTTCTCTCCATCTACGTAGTGAACGGTTGCTTACTTGACTTGAAGGGGAGCATCTGAGGTTGTTTCGTATTCGGCCTCTGAAATATACGGCTCAGTTGTGTCGGTATGGTAACCCTTCGGTATTGATCCCGTCTCTGGTGTCTGGATTGCGATGCTCGGGGGAACTATTTCCTCATGAATTTCGTCCTCTTGCACAAGATTATCGTCTTCCTGCTCTGGGACCGGCACGGCATTGTTTGTTTCCGTTGGAGAATCTTCAGAGAGTGCTGCCGCCATTGAGTCTCGGCGGCGAGCCAACCTTAGCCTCTCACGGTGCAGTCGCCTCATATTGGGATGAGATGTTGCTCAATGATGAAGCTTCACAGACACTGGGCTGGTGACACGAGAGGAGAATATACAATTTCTATGTTGGATAGGATAATTGCCAAGGTGGCGAAAGCCTTCTTCTAGGACATGCAGACTATACTGCGAGGAGGCCTTTCAAAGGGCATTTATTGGCCGTAGATAAACTTTCACTTCCACAACGCAGTGCAACCCCAAACCAAACAACCTCCAACGCACTGACACCGACATATGACCGAAAAAACCAATCTGGTAGGATGGTTATATGAGTTCATATACTCAAGCACCAATCAATGAAATGGATAGCTGCAATATGCAACCGAAGGATGCACGCCTCACGCATTGTGAGTTTTTTGGTCTCGATTCAGCTAGGAGCGACACATCATGTGCTGTGATCGCGGGCCGAAGGAGGCTCTTATCGGCGCCCTTTTCCGGATTAAACATTATCGGCCGCCGCGAAGACCGACTCGCGGGTTTAGCAGACTGATGTTTGGTAATCGCATAGTTATAGTTGGCAACGCCTTTAGTACATCTTGTGATTCTAATTCTTTTCGTCCTTTCTGCTCCAGAAGATCAAGTAATTCAGTCAGTTTTGTATACCCTTCTCTCCCATATGCCATGCACCGACGCCAGTTACACCGACAACGCCAGGCTCGGCAGCAGCAGAACGATAGTGTACCAGGTGGAGGAAGGGAATCCACAGAGTCAACGGAAGAAATTCGTAGGGCTCTCCTGGAAGACATCAAAACCGCCGTCGAAAAAGAGCAGTCGATAAACCAGATCCCTTCCTTCGATGCACGCCTGAAACAGTGCATATTTGATGCTAAAGAGAGGCATCAGACCCTCCTTCACTGGATCGTGGTGCAGGTCGAGTCCCAGCACAAACATGCAGACGATGCCGACCACTTCAAGCAAGCGGCTAACACAATGGTACAAGAAGCAATGAAGTTCAATGCAAAGCTAATCAGCCGGGTTGATCAAGCGAGCAACACAGCCTTGCACCATGCTCTAAGCTCGAACGACGAGCGAGTGGAGTCCTTGATCTCCACGATGTGTACTTATCAAGAGAATAAGGAATACCTTCGGGAGGCAATCTCTCACAGAAACAACAGTCTCAAGAATTGTCTGCACTTGGCTATTGACCACAAAAACGAAGACATTGCCGATGAAATCATCTCTATTGCGGATGAGGCAGCCTTCTGCCAAGGGCGAAATTTTGAAACCACAAAAATCGGCCAGGCGCTATCCGATACGGGAAATACACCTCTACACGATGCTGTCAAGTATGATCGCGGCATCATTGAAAAGCCCATGTGCACCAAGTATACTGATGGTGAACCATGCGAGAGCTGCCAAAATGCTATGGTGGACTTCAAGTACAAGGTGTCCAACGCCCCTTCACTTATCACAAAATTGATCGAACGATGCAACAAAGCATTGAAGATCAAGAACGGCAATGATGAGTCACCTTATCTCTACTATATGAGAACCAAGGCAGATTATGAATTGGCGAAGAAAGACAAGAGTCCAGTGAAGGAGTCACAAGGATTTACAACCTGCCAAGTGACGTTAAGCAACGAGGTGGCAAGCAGAATGCAGAGTATTCTGATCGAGTCCGCCTTTGCTATCGGCAGCTTCGCAGACGCATGCGCCTGCTTCTTCGGAGACAAAGCTGGTAAGTTATTTACTTTCCATTCTGCTGACTCAATTACAAATTTAAAACCGTTCTCAACTAACTTTGAGGCAAAGACGAAGATGGAAAAAGCTCGCCTTTGAGGCCTGGCTACCCAATTATGAAGAATGCGTATAGCAAGTACAAATTGCTTATCCCTGAGAACACAGCCGTTCTATCCCATGTAGATCTCCAGATTGGGAGATCTGGTTCTCGGACAAATACTGCTCCCTCACAAGCACAAGTCGGGGGGAATAGCCGCACCAACACTCCGCAAGAGGCCGAACCATCCAACGAAGACAACGAGGATCAGAGCACACAATGGAAGAACGATATGCAGTCTCTGAGGAAAATTTTCGCCATGCTGAGAGATCGAGGGGTAAAACGGATCCTCAAAGTCACCATTAGAGACAACGAGAAACGGCCTTCTAGCGACCAAGTGATCCAAGAGTGTCTTGCTGGTTTCGATGTCAGGTACTTGAACTGGACAAAGCCAGACTTGAGCGCCAGTGTTATTTGCGCCTCTTGCCCGAAAATTGCCGAGTTGACACTTTATTCCTCCGGACGCAGAGCCGTTCTGGACAGCTGGGCGGCAAGCACAGGTCTTAGCAGATTAAGACAAGTACGTTGCACCTCTTGAATACTCAATCTTGTAGTCGCTTCAAGAACTCCCATACTACCCTTTTTGCATTGGCTGATATATTCGTTTCCAGTTAACGCACATAAATCTCTACGCCTCGCCAGTGAGTACATCCTTCATGGAACCGACCAACAGAAGGGATGGCGTCTTGTTAACCAATGGTATAGGGATTGGAGAATTACGACGTCTATCTCACCATGATGCGCAGTTTTCAGACAGAGTTGTTTGAGAACATCGAAATTGCACGGCGGAAGTTAGTCCTTGTGTCGACGCTAGAGATGTGCAAGCTTGAAATCCAGGATCTCAAAGGTTGTATGCTAGAAAGTTCTGAGGACCCCGCATATCTGGAGGATTGCAGAGAGGAACTGGAGAAAGCGCGACAAAAGGAGCAAAGCTGCCAAGAGGGGCTACGTCTGCTGGAAGTAGAAAAGGGAACGCTCGAGAACCAACGCTTGGACAAGCTGTTGGAAACATGGAACTCCGGCGGCAACAAGAGCGCGACTGCCGATGCCATTTTGCAAGACAACGAAAGAGAGAAGAGGAGCCCCCAAGATCGCAATGAAGTCCGCATTCCATCGAATACTCAGGGCTTGGATGCAGGAACTGGCAAGGTTGGGGTGGCCAACGGCAAGTCCACTGAAGTTCCAGGTCTCATGGGAACTCCCGGTAAAATGCATCGCGAGTGGCATTATAACAATCCATACGATGGGCCTCCTACCAAGGAGTCCAAGCTCTTCTCGCCTATACCTGAGGTGGAAAACTGCGCCAATGGTAGCTTTGTGAGCCTCACTTTCACAATGGATATCTTTTTAACAGCATCACCTTCGAGCGACGAAGCAAATATTCTGACAGTTCCCCGCGCCAACGGTACATTAATTCAGATTTCTCCTGCTTTGTAAGTTTATGTCACTGTCTAGTGACCTCCTCCCAGCGTTAGATGTTCCCAAGACGACTGATAACTGATACTTCTGTTGTCGATAGGGAACAAAACCGATGGCTCACAGCAGTTGAAAACTTCGTCAAAAAACGGGTACAACCTACCCCAAATGAGTCGCAGGCAAAAGTTAAAGTGGCACTGATTGATGACGGCATCGATTATCGCCAGATTGATCATTCACTGCACCAGCCTGGCTGGCCATACATGAAAGCAGACAGTGAAGACAAACCGTGGTATCATTCGGAGAATGGCCATGGCACACTCATGGCGAAGATGATTTTTAAGATGTGTCCCCGTGCACAGCTATTTGTTGCAAAGCTCGGGGGCTATGATAACCTCAGAAAGCCTGACAACGCTGACAAGGCTGCAGATGTAAGTATGAATGACTCTCTCTCTTTGCTCACCAGAGGCTGTCCGTCACCTCACTTCCTCGTCGCTGCCTCCGCCTAACCTCGATATATTTAGGCTATTGCTTGGGCAATCAAGCATGAAGTCGACGTCATCTCAATGAGCTGGAGTTTGGTTGCATCGGATTCCAACAAGGACGGAATAGCAAAACTCAAGACCCGAATCGAAGAAGCCGCCAAGGCGAACATTCTCCTGTACTGCGCTGCCGCCGACAAGGGACCGTTTGCTGAGAAGGGCACCGTGTTCCCCCACAGCAGGAGTAAGCCTGATATCCGGATTATCGGCTCAGCAAAAGAGACGGGCGGGGAATCTCAGTTTATAGATCCCACCCAAGTGCACTATATGTTCCCAGGAGAGAACATCCCTGAGCTCGGAGACACCAAGGGCAGCTCAGTTGCCACCGCCCTTGCTGCAGGCTTCGCAGCTTTGATTCTATGGTGCTTCAAGTACAAGAACGAGAGCGCCGACACTGTTGAGCAAATCGCTAATCCGAATGGCATGGATAATATCTTCCAAAAGCTTGTACAACCTCCAAGCAAATGGGTCAATGTAACAAGATTGCTCGGAGTTGACAATCCTCTCAGTGTTGAGGAAGTTATTAAACGATGCAAAGGATCTGTTGAATGGTAGCCCAATGGGGCATAACGGACCTGCTGTTATAGTGGAATAGCTGGGTATTAGTACATGGAACGAGAAAATCAAACAGTAATGCAAAGCCACCTTTCACATATGCTGGGAATAGACGCTCCGGCAGTGAAGTTCTGAGTTATAATCAACGACTCGAACGTGAAGAGTCGCAATACCGTCTTCTTTGATGCGAAATACAGTACTTCCAGTATCTCCGGTTCACGCCAGTAGCCCCCCCTCTACCTTTTCCGTAACGACCTGGAACTCTGCATCTAGATCAACATCATCAAGCCTATTCCTCTTGCTATCAAAGGCTGATGGCTGCGACACATTGGGGTCGAATACAATAGGTTCATCGGGTTTAATCTGCCCAGTGAGCTTCCACTTTTTCTCTTTGAGGTCTTCCCACCATGATACATGTGTCTCAACTTTGACATTGCCCAGAAAGAGGCCGTTATCATCCGGCTGACGCTTCAAGAGCACAGCAGTCCGTAGATAAGCAGGCACACCTGAACGCTGAGACGCATTCTCGAGCATAATCCATCGTACAGAATTCGGCCGGTTGCGACTGGAACCAGTGACAAAAGACTGGCCTGTGACCCGTATAGCGTCGGCGATGTCGGTGCTCGTATCACGTTCCAGAGCGTATTTTGGGCCCAGCGAGAAGTAAGGTTGAAAGCCGACACTGAAGCCTAGCTCATATGTTTCCTTGCCACCGATCCTTCGCGTTGAATGCTTGTAGGACGCTGTACCAGACGGGACTGCCTTTACAATCTCCGGATCCCACCAGGAGCTATTACCGCCTTCGAGGCGTAATTTCTTTGCATCGTCCTCGGCCTCACCACGTGGGCCAGCGGCAATGAATGATACTTCAATAACCACAGACTTGAATCGTAGATCTTGGACTCCTGAGACAATATCCCATTCGAAGATGATGAGCGTGTGCGGCTCGTCATCAGCGAACCCGTGGACGACAACCGGCATTAAGCCTACCACTGACATTAAGCGCGCATTACCTTGTCGGTCTGTGCCCGTTACTGCCTTGCGGTGCGGAATCGGCCGCCCAAATCTGTCCTTCTCATTGGGCAAATGGTATTCCAGATCATCTTCACCATCTAAGTCCACACGGATTTCGCGGCTCATTGTTCTCAAGTGGGAATAGGAGGTTCTTCAAGTCGCTATTTTTGAGAGTTTGAGAACATGAAATCGGGTGTTTTGTTTCGAACAAGATTGATTCTTATTTATGTCCTTAGTCTCAAAGACAGGCTGTTAAGTCGAATTCGAAACATCCTTCAAAGAATCAGCAGAGCCTCATTTTCATTGCCTTATCTGGCCAATTGGAAAGTTATCTACCACAGCTCAACCATTGGTGCCCGCTACGCCACAAATCGCACACGTGTACCCAATTTATATTGACGCATTCGCCAGAACTTTTGCTTTGCAGATATGAAGACACCAACTGTAATGCGCTGGGTCGATGGTCAAGCAGCATACAATGAGTGACTGGTTGTACCATCTGTCAAGCTGATCATGGCGGCGCTTCCAATCCTGACTACATACATAATCAGAGTTCAGTTTACAGCAAGAACTCATAGTCCTCCAGCCCATTGGACTATGGTTTTTTTGTCATTGAAAACAGGGGAGATTACGACATGGGGAGTTCAAAGGAAGTAACGCGTACGCAAATGGACATGATCTGAACGGGTTCATGCCTTCCGTCACATGGGAGAAAAAGGCAAACAAAGTGTTAGAGAGACCTTTTTCTCATGGGGCGTTTCTACTTACATGAATAGTAGTCAAATTATACTTCATTTACCTCAGTACGCTGAGGCCGTTGTGGAAAATGGCCAAGTAGATATGACTGCGGAGGCTATTACCACGATTCTTACGAAGGTGGCGTAGACGTGCGCAGGTCCATGAGCCCCATATCCCTTTCCCACAGAGAACCATCTAGTCTGTCCCATAGCGTAGCATATCCAACTGATTATTATCAGATTCACTAAAAACAGTAAGTTAGCTATTGGCCTGGGTCAAAGACCAAAGCTTTCCAACTTTGGAGTGCCGAATTTCTGATCGACTGTCGCAGTTATTCCACCAAATAAAGAGCTGGGAATCGAACTACCAGGGAGATCTGATACCCATGCCTTATATGCTTATAAAGAGACGGTCGTCGCATCGAACCAGTCGAGTGATTTTCGAATCATATCACAATTTCGAAATTTGGCACGCCGAGGCGGCTCGTATGGTCCCGTTTGAGAGCACTGAGATACCGGGGCCGACGGATGAAGGAGTGATATGACTCCAGATCAAAGTCCAAGACTATGGTATTCGCCAGGTGCCCGCTCTTCTGCCGCACACATAACACTGCTTGAGGCTGGAGTTGAGCCAGAGCTTATACTCGCGAAACCGGGAACATGAGCGAAGAGTTCGCTCGTATAAATCCGAAACGAAAAGTCCCAGTGTTGGCAGTTAGCGACCAAGTCATCACGGAAATGCCAGCGATTCTCACATATATCTCCGCATTACGCCCAGATCGAAAGTTATTTGGCCAGAGCACAATAGAGACTGTCCGTGCATACGAATGGCTGAACTATCTTTATGGTACTCTTCACCTACAAAGATATGGAGGGCTTTGGAGACCAGAGAGATTCGTGGGCGATGAATTTATGTACACTGTGCTTATAGAAAAGGCGAGGCAGACGATTGAAGATTGCTACGCCTTTATTGATGAGAAGCTCAAACAATCCGGTGCCATCTTCTCAGTGGGTGATTATTTCACAGGTGTTGATGCATTTCTCCTGGTTTTCTATCTACGGGGAATAAGGATCAATGTCGACATGGACGGGAGATATCCATCATATGCCGCATTAGCACATAACTTGTTGCGGAGGGATCCAGTGATAGAAGCACACAAAGTTCATGTACAAATGTGTTGAAGACATACCTACCTATTGATAGATGAAGCTGAGAGCATGAATAATCAGGAACAAAAGGGTTCTCAATATGCTGATACACCCGTACAAGCAGACACGATTGCAAAAGCAACAATATGCATTTTCCACATCTTCAGGTTATCCAGGGTTCAAATGTACTAAAACTAAGCGATCAAGGGAGCAATCTATTTTGTCTTCTCTTATGTATTGTTTCTTTCATGTCTATGATCAGCGAGCCCACGGATATTATAGGTTGCCGAAAGCCCAGCAAGCAATCTTGCTCCGTATAAATAGCCTAACGCTTCGGCAGATAACCGAGTTTCCACTGTTGGCGCATAACCAATATACCTCATTCAACAGCTAATGCAGCTCGCTAACATTCCCAGAAACAGCCACCAGGTAAGACTCCGAGACCAAGATAGGTAGTGCTTATCATATAGGATAGTCCAGACGACGCGTTCGGTTGAAACCTCAAGTCATATTGGGGACCACGAATATGGATTACAAATGCTATGTGAGCTATCAAGCTGAAGAGCTGAAGAGCTGGTGGCATGGCTTGTAAGTGGCTTGGAGGGAGGTAGCTTCACGCGAGTGGTAAGAGCAGATGTGAATACCCATAGTATGCATATTGGAGCGCCTAAGCTCACTCCGCATTACAAGCGTAAGCTAGGCCGTCAGATAGAGGTAGTGTATGGGAGAAGAGCCCGTAAATGATATACAGGGCGAGGATGCGACTGGTGTTACATCATCTCGGCATCAGTCAAGGCTAGACCCGTGGCTGACGCGCCATGTATAAATAAAGCGTCGTTCGCATCTCTAATTCAGTTGTATTCCTCACGACTACGGTTGACACTATATGATTTCTTCACAAGGCGTATTACTCGCTTAGACACGATGCCTTCCGGTAGCTGCTGGTGCGGCAACGTCAAGTACGAGTTCGAAGGGGACTCCAACAACGTGGTAGGCTCTGTTCAGACCGACTAGCAACTGGACGATACATACTGAGAACGATACAGGTTGTGTGCCACTGTCTATCGTGCCAAAAGATAACTGGCGGGCTGTATACGGCAAACATTCCCGTTCCGCGGGACAAGTTGATCATCACTTCCGGGTCTCCAGTATCTCACTCTCAAAAGCACGAAGATGGATTCACCTTGACTGTGTTTTTCTGCAACGGCTGTGGTTCGGTTCTCTACAAGCAGGCTGATGCAGACATGTTCGCGCCAGTCTCCTTGGTTCAATCAGGAACGCTGGATGGCCCTGCTAAGGACAAGGTCAGCCGACCATCAAAGGAGTTAAATGTGGGATTGAGGGCGTCTTGGTTGCCGGAAGTTAGTGGTGCTACTCAAATGCAAGGATTTGACTAAAATTGGACATATTGAGTTGGAAAACCGCTGTTTGGTGAAGAATGATGGCTCTGGAGCAGGTTCATCCGGCAATCAGAATGTTGGTAGCCTGAGACTGTAGAGGTAGTCGTCGCAAGATTCACAATTTGAGGGACGTCAAATGCCCACAAGATCAACTAAATGTGATCAAACTGCATAAGCTTATGTGCATCGGAAAACTAGCCCGTCTAGGATCTCGATTCTCAAACGGCAATAAGAGAGCTGATCGAGTCAGATCCCGCACTTTAACCACCAACCCCCCATACCTCCGTGAACAAAACGCATGCGCAAAACGGATTTTCAATACAGATTTCTGGGTAAACGGCAACTCGTGAAATCGTATGATGAGATGATCATGCCGAAGAGATTCGGTTGAACATGCGCGCTTCGCAACCCGAAAGGGGGATACGATAATCAGTAATACACAACCAAAAAATAACTCCTCATCAACATCGATTTTATATCGCCTGAGTATTAGCTCCTGCCATTATAGTGGGATAGAGTAAAGGGCTATGACGAGTCGCAAACTACAAGTGGCTGATTACGGGATACTCATTGATCGAGGGTCGTACCGAGGAGAAGGGGCCTTGACCGATTGTTATGTACATCGCCGAAAAGGCTCACGGATATGAAAGCCTAGTCCAAAAGACACCTCTAGAATCATCGGCTGAAAATGTCATCCAGCGGTTCAAAGACTGGGACAACACAAATGTGTACGGCGTTAACAGTGATGTTTCTAGGCACGAAGCTAGAAATCGGTTCTTCCACGGCTTAGACCTCGTTCCAGATATTCGACATTGCCATTAAAGCTCCAAGGGCTGTCTTGTGCATTGCCATTATGACTTCCCACTACCTCCAGACAAATTCATTGCCGATGCTCAGAGTCAACCGGATCTATACAGCAAGCCCGATGTGCCGTTGATCCCAGAAGAACTCTTTGCTCATTGTTTTTCCTCAAATTGACGATTCCGGTCACATTCAAAGAACCCATGGCGGGAGCACTTCATATCCAAGTCATATCTTGCTAATCTTGCCAATGGTGATCACAGACGTTCAATTTATTATATGTGGCAGCTCTACCTAAATAACTACTGATCAACGAACCGCATGCCACCAGCAGCCCCCATCAGACCATACCATGATCAACCAAGCTATCAACAGTATCAATAATAGTATCTCGAACAGACCTCGGCGTCCATCCAAGTACCTTCTTCGCCTTCTCATTGTTGAGAGGTCTGATGACATCAAGAACAGGCACCATCTGTCGAGCCGCCGGGCTAAATATTGCTGCCAGCCTAACAACCCACGAAGGCAACTCAGCGGTTGGAACTTTCTTCGCCCTTTCAGCTCGGCCTTGCGAGATGATCCGAGCAACATCGATAAGTGCCAAAGGCTTGCCGTCGCAGCTCGCAATGAATCTCTCATTCTTTGCCGCAGGGTCCAGCATAGCCTGGATATGGAGATCTGCCAAGTCGCGTACGTCCACAACGTTGAAGTACGTCTTAGGGCATCTTGAGATACTTCCGTCCATGAGCTTCTTGATAAGGTCGATTGAGGCGGACATGTCGTTGCCCAAAATTGGACCAAATATGCCGACTGGGTTGATCACGCTGAGCTCTAAATCCCCTCCTTCAGCCTCGATAAACTCCCAGGCAGCCTTTTCTGCCAGAGCCTTGCTCTTGTGGTATGCCGGCAGGCCATCCAAGAGGGACCAATCGGCTTCAGTAAACGGTTCTTGTCGATCCTTGTATCCAAATCCAATCGCAGCAAATGAGGAGGTGAATATCACCCGCTTGACATGAGCATCTCGTGCCGCCTTGAGAACACGCAAAGTCCCCTCTCTTGCCGGTACGATCAAGTCATTCTCATCCTTTACTTCTTGTGCCGGCAAGGGTGATGCAACATGATGAACAAATGAACAGCCTTGGATGGCTTCTGCCCAGCCTCTATCCTCAGTAAGGTCGGTTGCGTGGAACGATAGGCGATCCAAGTTGACTGCCCCAGCTTTTTGAAGGGCCGACCTGACGTATTGCTCTTTTGAAAGGCTTCGGAGGGTAGCTCGGATGGTGTGTCCATCGTTCAAGAGTTTCAGGATCAAGTGGGAGGCCACAAAGCCAGAGCCACCGGTGACCAGAATGGTGGACATGGCAGCGGGAGAACACCGACAAAGTTTTGTAACTCAAAGATGCGACGAGATGCGGTAAGCATTTGTAGAGTTGAGAAACAAGTATAGATATCACATCTTGGGAGTTTGCTCCTTATTTATGCCTTCTATTTGAAGCATCCTTTTCTTTACTTGTTTCTACGGGATTCACTGCTTGCAAGATTGTCTGAATCCCGTCTTCAAATCGAGATGAATCGCGCTGCGCGTAACCGCAAAAAGCTAGCTTTCTTGTCAGCAAGGACTTCTCTTTAAGAATGTCGCCAAGGGTGACTGTTCCGAGGATCTGATAGGGTTCAGATCTGTATCTCAACTTTACGAGTCATGCTTAACATCGAAGCGAATTCAGACTTCTCGACAAGCTAAATAGGCTAGTTTTCCGAGTGGTTCAGCGTCCATGGCATTGAAGTTAATGTTGTATACACATAGCTCGAAACGGCTAGCTTTCCGACGAAGCCACCGCGACAAGCCGAGGTCCCACGCTTCAATCATATATATAAGGCATATATGACTGGGAAAGACATCTTTCGATTGGTGGAACCTTCATATTGATTGCATTTCAAGAGACTCAAGAGTAGAGTATACTCGGCCGGAGACTTTGCTCTCTTCATAACGTATCTTTTTCTCGTTTTGATGCAGCATTCTAATTCTTGCATTCCAAAATAAAGTACAAATCCAAGTGCTTCATACGTCATGACACTTATTGCTGTCCAACCAAACTATCACCCCGCGTATTCATTAACAGAAGAAACGGACATTTTAATAAGAGCAGATGTCGGCATTGGCGGGCGAGCTAGCCTGGCCCCAGTCCCAGCTGGGGTTCAAGACGGACGTAGGTCGCAGGTTGTTGTATGCCCAGAACTGGTAGTCCGAGTTGCGGTAGTCATCGCCGGAAGTAGGGGGGCAAGTGTTCTTGAAGGCCGCAGTGTACCAGTCCGGGTGGACGGAGTGGTGGAACTTGCCAAAGTAGAACTTGCCGTGGTCGAGGTTCTTCTGTGAGAAAGCCTCCCAGTCATCGTCACTGTGGCAAAAAGGGTTAGCGACTCTGTCTTTATGGCTTGAAGGAGTCGTTGACTTTACCCCTGGAAGGTATCGTTGACATCGGTCCAAGCAACGTGGACGTGCTTTCCATCTATCGCAGGGTTAGCATGAGCACAGTTGTTGATATCTAAGGTGAGTCCAGACAGAACATACCCTGCTCCATGATGGCTGACTCGCGAGTGTAGGTGTTGCCGCCGTCCGGGCTGGTGAACCTCATGACGATGCCCTCCCAGTCGCTCTTGTGGCCCGTGTCCTTCTTGAAATACACGTAGTAGATGATACGCCACGAAGGGTCCGAGCCGGATGAGTCTCCGTTGCAATAGGCCGCCCTCCAGTACGTGGGAATGGTGGTGAAGGGCTCGCCTGGGACGTTACCATAGAAGGTGTTGGCTCCCTGCCAGGCGGGCTGCTGAGGGCAGCCGTTTGCCAGCGCGTTGATGTTGCAGTTGTCGGAGTCTACGCCGTTTGTCTGGTTGCCTTGGCCGTCCTCAGCAGCCGAGGGCATGCAAGTGCCTGAGGCCATGTACCACATCGGCGCCGCGGCCTGGGCAGCTGCCAGACCATCATTATCGGAGAATGCGCTGGCAGGAATAGGGGTGTTTGCCAGAGCGGACTTGGCGGCAAGCAGCAGCAGAGGAACGGCCTTGGAGAAGCCCATGGTGACGACGGCGAAGGGTACAGGCAAGGCGCTGTGCTTGGTGGATGATGAGAGATGGGATGAGCTGCCGAGATGTCAAGTACAACCAACCTACATTGGCGACGCTGATTAGTACTTTATATACGGCCTTCCCTTCACATTCCCTTCGGAGCTCCTTTTGCTAGATCTCCATCCCCGACGGAGGATCACCGCCATTATGCTCGACAAGAGGCTCAAATAGGAAGGAGAATCGCCGGCCGTGTCGATCCATCCTGACACCTTCTGCTTTTTAGCCTTTCCCATGAGTCGTCGCTTTGTCAAAAGGCACTTTTTGCCTTTGCAAATCGCCGGGTTGTTCCATGGATTCTTCCAAATCCATGTCCGATAGCACGATGTTGAAGTCTTGCCGGAAAGTGGGATGTATCGAGTGGGTAATATTAGAGAGGGGGGAATGGCTGCCAAGGAGGGGATTGGGCGAGGCTCTCGAAGAACAGCAAGCAGCTACCTTTGGCTGGACGCAATTCGAGATTCAGGTCCATCTAAAGACATCGCATGACTAGTGAAAGCTGGTAGAAAGATTTCACCGACATCTCGACTTCGTCAAGCAAGTCCCATCGAAGCTCGCTTCGCGCGCTAGGGCTTACTGTCGAGATGTCGCCTTGTGGGCCGTTCCAGCTGAGATGCGATGGCCGCTGGCACGTGTAATCGGCCATGGGCTGAGCGACAAACTGCCTCGGGTGTTTTGGTGGAGGTGCACGGTGCCGGATTTTCCGTGAGAGATTAGATGGAAGACGAACGGACGGGGAAGCCGATTTCGCAGTAGCAAACTCCCACTTGATACGTACGTCCATCTATCCGTCACCAAGCGATGGCGAGAAGTGAGTGAGGAGGGGGCTGAGGCTTCTGCCATAACCAGAGACGATGCTTCAAGGCAACTGAGTACCGATGATAGAACTGCTAGCGCGGCAGCTAAAGAGAGCCAAGATTGGACCCTAGTCAAAAGCTGTATGAAGAGGGAATAGACCCAAGGGTACTCTGTATGTACAGAGTTCATACGTCAGTTGCCAGCCTGATCGTCTTGATTCACGATCTGGCCCTCAAGTAACAGAGGGGCTTTCAGTCGCAAATTCTCGCTAATTCAGTATAGCGCAGTGAAAGTAGGAGAACTTCAGGGCCCTGTTGATAGCGTTGACAAAAGCATCTCGGTTCACGATGAATCCGCCCGCTTGAATAGAACGCCAAAACTCGCATGAAGATAGCGGCGTAGCATATCTGGACACGAGAACAAGGTAGTATTCCGTTTTGTCCGACCTCAGGTTCCTGCATTAGCAAACCCTGGTTCTGAACGATCAACGGACTTGACCTGGATAGAGAAAGAGAAGAAGTTCGGCATTCTGTGATTGGTGGGATAAAGTGAGCCTGGAAGCGATCAGAGCCGCTCAATTCCCGAGCTGCCACATGCAGGGTGTGGACAAGAAACAGGGACTGCAAGCTGAATACGTGCGTACTCGCGAGTACCTATGTATGAGCAGTCATTATCAGAGAACTTAATGCCTGGTATGTCTCTGTGATCTTGAGAATGCCTGTATGCTCAGTACTTATTCGAAGATTCTGTTCCCTTTTCTCTCTTACACGAGTGACCGCTTTGAGTCGTTCGCAGATAATGAATCTACCTGACTAATCGTGAAACAGAGGGCGAGATCTAAAATGATGACATAATCTGCAAAAAATGCTCCGCTATCGCCCAAATTCTGAGGATAGCCTCAACATTTCTTTCATCAGAAGGCAAATCGCTCACTGTGCTGAGAAGTGACTCCGCCATATCCTGCCTCCGGATATGAGCTCCCTCGAAGAGTCATCTCGGCTGGGTGCACAATGGTTCTCCGCCGGGCTGACCTCATCCTTTCCTGACCTGGGATACGATGAGGACAACCTGGCAAAGTACAGATCATGTGGGGGGTCCGATCTGAAGCCGGGATGCAAGGTCTTTCAAGTGCCGAAAGATGACAGCCTTCAAAGAGAGGAGATTGATATCCGAGAAGACGGGACCTTGCAGCGTTCGGAGATGAAGGGGTTAAAAGATCAGGTTCTTGTGTTCCAATACAAAGGGAAATTTCACGCTGTTGATCATGTGAGTCCATCTCGTAGTGTGGCGGTGACGGAGAGTCTATGGAGCTCATAATGACTGGTATTTATGTCAAGAAATGTCCTCATTCATTGTATCCCCTCTCTCAAGGCACTCCCTTCGACATTGAGGACTTTGGCATCGTCTTCAGTGCCGGCTTGACCTGTCCAAAGCATGGCTGGTCCTTTGACCTATTCAACGGTGCGGCTGACCGTGGAAGCTATGAGCTTGGTGTTTGGGAAACGCAGTTGCGCGAAGTCAAGAGCTCAGAGGGGTCACCATGTGACAATGGCGAAGACGGCAAAAGTTCAAATTCCGTGGAAAAGGAGGTGTGGGTGAGACGAAGACAGCGAGTCGGATAGATCAAATGATTTCGTTGCTTTGCACGTATATAGACTCTCCACCGATATACATACCGGCCAACAGATATTGCTCCAAGAATACTATGGATAGATGCTATAGAAGCCAGCTGGATATGGGTAAAGCAGAGTGGAGTTTCTATTTGCAGCCCTTGTATCCGAATAAATGTGCATTGAGAGTGCACCAATGCTCTGTTCTTCTCGAGCCCGACAGCCGTACACTCCATGATAAATTAAAACTATGGGGGACCTCGGCTCGCGGGCACACTTAGTTTATCCATCATTCCGTCTAGAAGAACAGAGACATACCTCCATCCACTATAATGTTAGTACCATTGATGTAGCTGGACAGTCGGCTGGCCAGGAAAACAACAGTGTTAGCCACTTCTTCCGGTGCACCCGTTCGTCCAAGCGGAACAGCATCAAGCAGAGACTTGTAAAATGGATAGTTGTCCCTTTTGACAATCTGATACTGACTCCACTGAACCGTACCATCGGGCAAGGTGATGTTAGGAGTCTCAATCGATCCTGGCGCAATGGAGTTGATTCGGATGCCCAGAGGACCAAGCTTGCGAGCATAATCCTTGGCTAGAACCGCCTGAGCTCTTTTGAAGGTTGAGTAAGGCGAGCCGGCGACACGGTGTCTCGCTTCAAAACCCGCCATGGAGCTGATGACCACAATGGACGCATTTTCAGAAGCTTTTGCCCTCTCTTCAAGGTAAGGAATAGATGCCTCAATCAGGGTGACCAAACCCATGATATCTGCCCGAAAGCTTCTTTCCCACGCTTCAGGGGTCGCTTCCCCAATCAAGGGGGATGCTATAAAAAAGTGATCTGTCAGATGCGGCCCCTTGTATGAACGTGCGATGCGGCCTACCATTGGCAATGACTGCATCAATCCGACCAAACCTTTCGGCTGCTTGGTTTACCCAACCTTTCACCTCATCGGAGTTCCCAATATCGACGGCCGAGCCAATGGCACGGGCACCATTGGCAGCGCCCTTGAAGAGCGAGAATTCATCTCCGCGGATTGAGCGAGCACAGAAAGAGACGTTTGCTCCCTCGGTGAGGAATAGTTCCACGATAGATTTGCCAATGCCCTTTGAGCCGCCTGTTTGGGTTCTATCAGTACATATATCGGGATTGGATGCAATGAAGATTTACCTGTGACCAAAACATGTTTGTTTGCAAGGTTGCTGGAGAATGGAGACATCTTGGTTGCTATTATTAGGTTGACGACACGGTCAAGAGGATATTCGACAAGCTACAACTTCGTTGGCATGCTATACTTATGGTTCTTGTATGCAGGCAGTTGGACGCCCTTTATAAGTCCGATCGCGTAGCCTATACTTGTCATATCCGATGTCCCAAGCAATGTCCACTCTCGTCATCCATTTTCAATACCACCGACTCAGTAATACGAATCAGGCTTTAAGCGAGTTGTTTTGTCTGTTCACACTCCGGAATGAGGCAACGGGATGTGTGGGGTTGGTGTTTGGACAATATTTTGACAAACCTCCGAGATGGGCTTTTCTGAGGGAAGGAGCCAATCAATGTGACTTGGATGTTATCAAACCATGTAATCACCAAGCCTGAAGAGCCAAACTCCGCTCAAAAGCGCCTAGAGAAGGCTGGAGTTCCCGCTCAGCGTGTCATAGAACGAAGCAGCTCGTACGAGCATCAACAACTCCACGGTCATGGAGATGGCCTTGTACATAAGCTAAACCTAAATGGGTGGCCGCGCGGTGCATAAGTTGGGTGCAACTGACATTCCCCCCTTACTGACGCAATGCTCCCATTCCAACAACTTGTTCATTCAGGCAATAAGGAGTTCTAGCTGTTGACTTGCCGCCCAATCTCAGGCGTCTTTCTTTCCGTCAACATCACTATGAGCCGCTCATCCGAAACCTGTTGGACCTGTCGAATCCGCAAGAAGAGATGCGATCGGAAGCAGCCGGCCTGCAGTGCCTGTTACTCGCTAGACATCACATGCTACGCCGGTAACAGCCGCCCAAGCTGGGCCGATGATGCGCTTGAGCGAGAGAAGATTGCAGATGAAATCAAGGCCCAAGTCAGAGAAAAGTCAGAACGTCGGCGTGAGAAGAGTTACGTGAAGGTGATGCCCTTGGGGAGAGTAAACAAGCCAAAAGATACCAGCATAGCTGCAGCACCTCGGCCGTCAACAAGAGAAAAAACGAGTCCGAATCACGAAGCACCAGCGCAAGCTCCTCTTGTTCCAATCTGCCAGGGTTGTGCAAAGAATGGTGCACCATCACCAATTCAACGGAACCAGCATCAGATAGAGTCCCCCAATCCCGGCCTGCTCGGACTGTTCGAAGACATTGAAGTCGATCTTGAAATTACTTTTCTGGACTACGCTTTTCCTTTTCTCTTCCCGTTTTATCGTCCCTCGCTGATTAAAGGAGGGCGCGGCTGGCTGTTGTCAACTCTGAGGAAAAGCATGCCGTTATTCCACACGGCCATGGGCTTCAGCACTTACTTCTTCACGCTCGCCATGACGGACATTGCAGACGAAGGACACGACACCTGCAGAGCCCACGTCGAGGGAAAGCTCACTGCTCACGTGGACACTGCAATCAAGGCTATGAGACAGGGGATTGAAGAGTTGGGGACTGCCCAAAAACCCCCGTCGATATTCGACAGGGCACACCTTATGGAGGGTGTTGTCCAGCTGCTAGTGTTTGAGACAAACATTGCGGGAAGTACGGAATGGGGCATTCATCTCAATGCCGCGGTGTCTCTGTTCAAGGAGATATTCGAAATGCCAAATGCCCAAGATGGCAGGACAGATCTCGACTCGGTGCTGGCCATGATGCAAAGATCTGGATGGTCGACCGTGACCACCAACCACAGGATATGGAATCCCGACCAAGGCGCCTTTCTTTTTCACGTCGCTTTTCTTATCTTTGCCGATATCGTCTCGGCAACTATTCGAGGTGATTCTCCGATGCTAAGGGACTATTACCCCGTCTTGATCAACGAGAAAGTCATTGCAGAGAATCCTCGGAGATACTTGGACTTGGAAGAATTTGTCGGCTGCCAGAGCTGGATTATTCTTTTGATAGCTGATATCGCTGCTTTGGTGGAGGGGAAGAGGCAGGGCCGAGTGTCCCGCAATGATCTGCTTGTTGAAGGCAACAGGATCGCGGAGATGCTTCAGAATGGCATCACTAATCTTCGTGCTGACCTGGGAAAACCCGCGTCTATCATGAATTGTTTCTTCCGAGCCTACTCCAATCCTGAAGCGCTCCCCCAAGCTCATGATACCACCTCGTATAGCTTAATATGGGCACACGCAGCAGTCCTTTACCTATTCGTCACTACATCTGGATGGCAGGACACGCACGGCATTGTCCAGGAGAATATCACATCGTCTCTCCAGCTTCTGGACGAGATTTTCTCGCCAGGAATTCTACGCAGCCTGGCGTGGCCATTTTGCGTCATTGGCTGCCTCGCTTCAGCAGACCAGGAAGAAATCTTCCAGCGCATTGCTTCCAGAATGGGTCCTCTATCAGCATTTGGCACACTATATGAAGCGTTGAAGATCATGGAGCGAGTATGGAGTACCCGCGGCCAAAGGAATGTGGAAAACTGGGATTTTTCATACTGCTTCCGTATACTAGGCTCAATGCCTCTACTTATCTGAATGCCTCTTCAGTTTCAAATACACCCCTTCAATCCAAAATACAGGGCATGACAATGATAATCATCCTAGAGTCCCTTCCAGGCTCCAACAATCTCGCTCAATTTGGTTGTCTTGATCTCGGGGAACTTGGCGTTCAGGCTCTTGTTCTCGGGCACGTCCAACCTGCCCTCGATGATCCACAACGAGAACAGCGCAAAGAGCCCCTGCATCAACGGCTTAGGGAAGACTGGGTAGACCTCGTGGTGCGAGGGCAGTTCTGTAATCTCTCCCTTTGAGAGTTTCTCGACGGAGTCATACTTGACATCGAACTTTGTACCTGACAACAAATAGTCAATACACAACAACTGATACTGAATGCGTTATCGCTATCCGATGCGAGCATACCTCTGGCTTCCTCCGCAAGGGCCACAAGCTTGTTGAAGGTGGATTTCTCTCCGTATATGTAGGTCACTTCCTCCCACTTGGGGAGGCTCAGAGATGCGACGGTAAATCTGGCCACATCTTGCGTGTACGTAAAGGCCAGGACCTCGTCACCCGTGCCAGGTATGCCAGCCGCTTTGTTTGGCACGTCAACAACAAAGAAGAGCGGCTGCAGATACGTCTTGACGTGGGGATACCCGTAGTAGTCCATGAAGTAGCCGTTGGCAACTCGGGTCCATTCCAAGTTGGTCTTGCGAAGCTCAATGATTGCATCTTCACGGGCTCGGTACACTGGGGAACTAGACCAGGGGAGGACTGTTAGCATTCAGGCTGCGGAACTGAGGCCAGAAGAAATGGACCTCTTACACCGGAGTGTGAGGGGCGCCCCATTCGCTTGCGATGAAACGTTTGACTATGCCAGACTGGCTTGCTGCCTTGACAAGGTTGACTTGAGCAGCGCTAGAAGCTGCGTCCATCACGGAAATGGTAGAGATGATGACTTCCACATTGTTGCTGGCAAGTTTCTGTGCAGTCTCTGCCACGTTGCTGTAATCTACTGCAATGACTGGTGCTTTCTCATCTTGCTCTTGGGGGGCCTGTGTTGCTTAAGTCAGTCTTTTTATGGTCCAAGGTGCAGATAACCTTGTATGAAGTTATAGCTCACTTTGCGAGCCAGGACAATGACACTGTAAGGCGACTTCTTCAGCTCATCGACAAGAGTACGTCCAAAGCTGCCAGTGCCGCCAGCGACTGCAATAACCTTTGACATTGTGACGATTCTGCTGCTTGATAATCTCAGGACTCCTAAAGTGGTGGTGCTGGAACCGCTTGCTGTGGTGTTTGACTCGAGCATAGCTGTTCGAATGCCGCGGATATCCCAGCACTTAAATAGCCCTCTTGAGAGCCAGGAACATGCTCAACGCGCGTCCCTGCGCCATCGTATGCCATCATCTTTTGATTTCAAATCCCGTTAACTCATCATGTTGTTCTTGCTGTCTTGTCGACTTCGAGGATTCTGTGTCGATACTCGTTGATCGCGACAGCGTCACCGCGCGGAGGCCAAATCCGGTAAGGGCGCGGCAGGATGCTGGTTCCGCGTCATCTGCTACGCTTCCTTTGGTCGACTGGGAGCGATGGATTCAGAACCCTAGAGCAAAATGATCTGTGCTCTATTCTTATTCGCTGGACTCTTTTTTGCTGTGTACATAGTCTATAAGCTGGACCTATCTGATGATACCCGAGACTTGGTGGACTGCGATCCTCCCACTTTTCTCCCGTGCTGCCGAGTAGGAAGCCTTTCAGGTCGAGGTCACTGAGCAGGTACAGCCTATTATTAACCCTGGAGAATCACGCATAATTGTGCCTCTTGACCAAGGTATGGGATGACATACAATTGAAGGAAGGATAAACACTGGGTGAATAGCATGGTCAGATGCCTTCAGCTGTAGAAACAAGCATAATGCGAAAGCAACAGCGGTACCCAGTCTTTAGCGGGATATTAATGCATTGCATCCTTATCATTTTGAAATCAGAATCACCCACTAGAAAGTTATCATTATGCGCTCATTGAGTCCAGAGGCAACCATCTTCAGATTATCTGCTGCACGCTTGGCTTGCAAGGTGACAAACCACATCCCACATTGTTGTGGATAGAGTACCTGCAACTCTGGCTTCTTCACCTATATTCAATGGGACTGCTACGAGTGTCGAACATGCCGATGCAACTCATGGGACTGACACGAGCGAGCGCTGAAGAGGGCTTGAACTTTATCTTCCAAGGTCTCGCGGGCAGCTCAATAGATAGCATCACCTCATTCAACTAGCCAAAACGAAGGACCTGCGACAGAGAACACTATCGTAGGTGAGAGCATGGAGATATCCTTCGAAAAGCGACGGCGCTATAATTGGCATCGACGACCTCGTAAACACAGTAGAGCGAGTAGAACCGGGGTCACTGAGGTGAAAGAATAGCTGCTCAGCAACAATGGAGCCAAGGCACTTTATTAAGAAGTGGCGGAGGCAATGAAAATGAGCGTCATGGCGGTCCCGACAGTGATCATGAATGACAAGTTTCGGAAGAGTGAGCGCACAGAGTATGTGTGAGTTCGCCGAGCGTATCGCGATGGTCAAAGCCTCAACACTGGGCGAGACGGTTAATATCGCGGGAGGAAGACTTATACGAAGCGAAACGACTTGTATCGGCGGAGGAGAAGGATCGCTGTGTTACATTGCGTTAACTCCTAGCTTCTCCATTCCTTGTTTGTTGCCTGAAGATTTTCTTCGGACTCCCATTCATGGTCTATATTCGAGACACTATCCTACATGATAGAATGCTGCGACCACCACACAACTTTAACTCCGATAGAGACTCCCGGATCTGTTCGTAGTAATCGCCGAACCGCCGGCGCCTTATATCCACTTTCCGCTCGAGTCCGCTCAAACTCGCCCGTGTCCGCTCCCGTCCGCTCCCGGTCGGCTCGAGTAGACAAATCATTCGTGCCCAAACACCATAAAAGTTGCTTCATGAAGGCAATCTCCGATCAAAAGGTGGAGGGAACTAGGAGAATGCGCACCGTAAATTGAGTCATACCGAAGCCTGGAGAATCGAGATGATGGGGTAATGGCGATAATGGGGAGATGGAGGCGTTGTATCGACACTCGGATGGCTTGAGACCATGGGGTATAAAGCAAGGACGACCACCTGGCTTAGAGATGGAATTTGAATCGATTTTCATCTTCAAACAGACGAGAAACTCTCAAAAAGACGACTCATTGCTTGAGTTCACTAAGAATTCTTTACACCAACAATGGCTCCCCAGACTTGGCTCATCACCGGCGCCTCCTCAGGCCTCGGCCTCGATCTGGCTCTCGTTGCCGCAAAGCAAGGCAACAAGGTCATCGCCACTACACGATCCCTCGCAAAGGCCCAAAAAATCACCGACAAGAACATCACAGTCGCCCGTCTCGACCAGAATGAGCCCCTGGAGCAGATCAAGGCCGACATGGACGCCATCATCAGCGCCCACGGCCCCATCGACGTCGTCGTCAATTGCGCCGCGTATGTCCACACCGGCATCATCGAGGATCTTACCCCTGAGGACACATACGCCCAATTTCACACCAACGTCTTTGGTGCCCTCAACGTCTACCGCGCTGTCCTCCCTCACCTCAGAGCCAAGCGATCGGGAACCCTGGTGACCATCGGATCAATGGCCGCTTGGTTCGTCCACCCCGCGGCAAGCTTGTACAATGCCTCCAAGGCAGCTCTTCGTTGGCTCAGCATCGGACTCGCCAGCGAAGTCAAGCACTTGGGAATCAAGCATCTGCTGGTTGAGCCAGGCCGCTTCCGCACCGATCTCTTGAACCAGACGGGAAACTTCAGAACAGCAAACGGCAGCAACGGCATCGAGGATTACAGAGATATCAGCGAAGCAGCCAAGGAAAGCCTTGCTCGTGAGGACCACAAGCAGCCCGGCGATCCTGTCAAGGGTGCCCAGGTCATCTACGACGTCGTTACCTCTACAGGTGTGGCCCAAGGCAAGGAAATGCCCTCATTCCTGCCACTGGGGCCTGATGCCATCCAGGAAATCACTGCATCGGCGCAGGCGGCGATTGACGTCTGCCAGGAATGGAAGGAGATTGCCAGCTCAACGGATTACGATAAATGATTATCGAGATAGTATGTATCTAAGGTACTGATAGATAATGTTGGAACCAAATGGATAGCCTTCAATTTTGTCAATCGAGTTGTTTCTTCTCAGCAAGTTCCATGACCCTCTTTGCCGTGTCAAGCCTCAATTTGGCCTCCCTCCTTTGCAGATCCCTTGTGTAACCTTCACCCAATTCCTCCATACATCCAATTCGTCGTACCACGATCTCTCCGGATTGCATTGGGATTTTCTTTGCCCAATCAAGAGCCTCATCTGCGTTCCTGGTCCGTACAATCCACCAGTCACAGATGTGAGTTTCGGTAGTGACGTTGAATGGCCCTGGAACCACTTCCGGGACATTGTCAGTTGAGTATTTAAGCCGATAGCTGTCAACTGAGGTCGGTCGGAGGCCTTCCGCCTGTAGTAAGACGCCCGCATCATTCAGTTCTTCATTGTATTTACACATCGCCTCGAAGATTTCTGGCGATATCTCTGAAGGTGGCGCTTCGGCCATCGCGTTGGCCTTCATGAGATATATGAACCGAGGCATTGCGGTGTGCGTGCTACAAGATGACTTTGCGGGAATGGGTTCTTGTTGAAGATGGCCACGTCGCGATGAATTGAAACAACTGGATAGTATGCCTATATAGCTATTATATCATAGTATTAACCCACCGGGGCAAAAGCAGGCAGTGACCCCTCAAAGTGCGCGAGCGGCGTTGATTTAGAACGAAGATGACGACAAGTGGCGGCGGCGGTCCATCGTATTGCTCTGTGAACAGATTCACGTTTTCAAGTTAAACTCTAGCTGGTTCATTCCGAAATTGATCAGTTGACTTGATCACAGTGTGCAATTACTCACATGAAACTTTGCCAAACGTGGTTCATCTGCTCATCAATTACAGCCACACCAGCTGATACATCTCTGTTGAAACAGTTCTACGCGTATGATCACAGCGCCTTGTTCGAGAACCACAGCTTCCATCGTCCGCATCATCTCAAAACTCCTCATCTCCTGCAGAAAAGCATCCTCCGTAGCCTAATAGCGCCCACAGGCACATGGTTCATCAAGACGGTACTCAAAGGCAAAGTCATAATCAGAGTCCTCATCGCTGATGGTAATCTTCCGAGTTCCTGTGAAGATATTGTCAGTCTACAATTTCCAATAAAGTATTCTCGCAATCTCATACCTCTCGGAATCTTGAAAGACCCCCAGACTCCGTCGTTGGCAATGCTGCGTAGAGCACCGGCGGCTCCAGAGCCCACATTGACCCTGTTGGTATGATCTCTCTTGTACTTGTCTTTCCCCAAGGTCAGTCTGCCATGAGTACTGCCGATTTCCTTACCATCGGCATAAACCGTGTATTTTTCAGAGGTATTTTCAGTGTCAGCAATCGTGAGTACGAGATCAGTATCGTAATGCTCCACGTCAATCTCTCCTTCTTGGCCGAACCTCTTGTCGGAGACCCCTCGCGTCCAAGGCACAAGTTCTCTGCCAACACATGGTCTATCGGAAGAGCATGATCCGTAGAATAGGATCATGGTACCGCTCTGAGACTTGTACAGGACATCGTCAGCGACGGTCCCTAATCGCGCGTATTAGTACTAGGAAGAACAGTTGGCTTGTTTGAATGACCGACTCACCAGCAGGGATCAGAAAGTCCACGCCAGAGCTATGAGGCATGACCTTCTTGCCATTGATATAAAGCGTCAAATCGCCTTCAGCAACCTTTGTCACCCACGTGTCAAAGGGATATACATAATGAGAAAGCTGCTTGGTGGGATTAGGCAAGGTCATCTTCTCATGACCTGTGGGAGCTAGCCTCTTGGGATTGCTGTTGTTCTCTAGAGATAGCCATTTGCAAGGAGATTTATCAGGCGAACAATTCGACCATTCTTCAGCAGGGCTGGAGGACTGTGGTTGGCGTCCCCTCAGCACTCTTTGCTCATCCTGGTATATTTTCTCAAAAAGATTGATGCTCATGTCCAAGGAGTTCAGCTGGTATTGAACGAAAGAGTCGAAATGTAACTCATCATGGGGAAAACATTCCGCAAACGCTTGGCGGAGGTGGGACTCCATCTTGGAAGACTGTATGGCCTTTGCACAAACAGAAGACTTGCATAGTCCGGTCGGCGCAGGAGGAGGAGGACCTGTAGCCTTCTATCAGCTGTGGTGAACACTCAGTCCCATAGCCATTGTCTCACATTTGGGCGGAGGTTGGACGCAACGCCCGTTCCTCACTTGGAAGCCCTTCAAGCAGCATGCCCATTTACCCGTATCACCATCTCGGTGAAAGGTGTCGAAATCCTCGCTGGGGCTGCAGATATCTGAGTGTTTGACGCATTTCCACACTCCGTTGACTTCTTGGGCAATTTGGCCTACTTGTATATCAGTGATTTGATGTCATTGCGGCCCTCTTTAATTGTTTGATATACCTTTGTCGCGGCAATATTCGTCCTTGTATCAACGACGTCAGACCGCGAGCTTCCAATTTTGTAAACAAGACTTACTATTCCTGCAGGCGTCGACGCTGCGCTTGATCTGACTGTGGTAAACAGGGCAAAGACCCCTAGGAGCGGTAACAACATCATGATGCGTATGGTATGTGGCAATGTATAACAAGAAGATTGACGACGGTCATTGATCGTGGTAGCTTCAGACAGTCGTGGGACAGATGTCTTATAACATAACCAGATAGGGACCTCCCCATGCAAGGATGAAAAAAGGCGGCGGCTGCCTTGACATTCTCAGGCTTGTGACTGGCAGTATCCCACCGTGCCACAGCATCCAATGTATGTAGAGGCTACGTGGGTCGGAAGCAGATAAGCTGATGCCCCTCGGTGAAGCTTTACAGTTCCCAAAATTTTATATGCGAGCACAGTGTAGCACTCTATGGCTTTGCTACATATAGAGACGTTACACATGACCGTCATATGTTGATTTCCGGACATCAACTGTTAGGCGGCGCAAACTGAAGAGCCATGCCAACGTCGACACTGACTTCCATGCAAACAGTGTTGTTTTTTACACTACCAAAGCCCACACATATCCGTGGTTTGTCCCCATGAAGGATTTGAGGCGTCCATTCTTTATCGTATCACAAGGCATAATCGCATGCGGCTCCTCGTTGTTGCCATGACCGAAAAACGCCTGTGGAAAGCCTCTGCACCACAAAATACGTGCCACGTCACCAAATCATTCAGTTCAGCCTCAAAATTACGCCGTGTTATGTCCGACTTGTAGAGGTTTAATCCAACCTGACAAAGTGAACAGATGCCTCTCGGCCAGGACATTGGCCCAGGTCAAATCTTAAGGCTTTACTTCGCGGAGGCAGGTCTAGGCAGCAATATGTAGTCTACACGACAACATAGATTTATTCCGGGAGCCCTATGCTCACATTCGGGGGACAGTGACTACCCTGAGTAGCGCATATTTGACGAGTTTCCATAGAAGTTACTGTCACTGGACCTTCAGTAGATCGCTTGCTGATGTATGTATGAAGCATTGCCAGATCGAGTATCCCGTGTATGTATTTCTATCCATTATTTCGGTGACTTTTCGAAAATGGTGGCAATGTCAAGTAATTTCCCGTCATATCCGCTCCCACCGAGAAGCGTGATGCCAAACGGCAGCCGTGTTTCTGCCTCTTCGACCCATCCTGCGTTTACGCTGACGCCACACAGGTCAACAACGTTTGCAGAATGCGTGAACACTCCAAGCTTCGAATTAATAGCCAATGGATTATCCAGTATCTCTTGTATCCTAGGATGAAACGGCACGGTTGGCACAACCAGGACGTCTATGCCGCCATCAAGTTTGTTAAAGGTCTTGCGTGCCCTCGCGATGCATTTCCTTTGTGTGGCCTGGTCACGAAATACTTCCCAGGCACTCAAGTTGGACGAAAGAAGGCTCTGGAATATCATTTTTGTTGCGGGATGGAATGTGTCAATATTCTTGGAGATAAAGTCGTGGCCTATCGACGCAAGGCGTTCATGGACCAGAGACGCCCCATAAATGAGGTCGCCTGCTTCAGCAAATGGCGCGTAGTCGATGTCAACCAATGTTCCTCCGCACGATTGCAGAGTGTCAACAGCCAATCGAAACAGCTCCTGATACTTTGCGGAACACAGTCTTATCATGAAATCAGGTGGTGTGCCAAAGGTAAAGCCACCCTCTTTCGGCCCTCGGTAGTCAACCATCCAAGTCGGTAGGCTCTCCAATGATTTGGCATACGGATCCAAAGCATCGCACCGATCCATTACAAACCAGACTTGCCTCGCATCTTCAAGAGAAGGTGCTAAGATACCGATTGTGTCAAGACTTTGGCATGCAGGCACTACGCCTCTGGCCGAGATGGTGCCTTTGGTAGGCTTGAAGCCGACGACACCATTAAATGCTGCCGGGACACGAACGCTTCCCGCTGTGTCGGTTCCAATGGCGAATGATACAAGCCCAGCGGCCACGGCAACGGCAGATCCAGATGACGAACCTCCAGAGATGTGTTTCTTGCTATAGAAACTGTGAGGAGTTCCATACGGTGAGCGGCACCCCGTCAAGCCTGTGGCGAGCTGGTCAAGATTCAGCTTCCCGATGTATATGGCCCCGGCATCGAGGAGATACTGGATGGCTGGGGCGGTTGAAGTAGCAATGTAGCTGAAGCTGTCGCATGCAGCGGTGGTAACCACTCCTTTGACATCGATGTTGTCTTTTACGGCAAACGGGATGCCGAAAAGCGGCGGCATAGACTTGCCGGAGTAGGCAGTGGATAGCTTTCTGGCTGCCGCTAATACGTCTTCTGGATTCTCTCGTGCGATCCAAACAGCTGGACTGACGACCTCGTACTTGGCTATGCGGTCGAGCACAGATCTCATGACTGTTTCTGGATCAAGCAACCCATCTCTGTATAGGTCTCCAAGCTCGGTGATTGAAGGAAGGGTCGCAGCTTCAAGAATTGTTTCTGCATACGACAACGAGGCCTGCGGGCGGTTGATTTGCTCTGCTTGAGCAACGAGCTCTAAACCATTGCCGACATATCCGAAGAGGCCATTCTGACAACATGCAATTTCTAACGAGCCAGTCACCATCTGTTTATCGAAGCCGTCTGTGCAGTCCGAGAGGACGCAGCATTCGTAGCCTCTATCATTGCACTCTCGAAGCGTACTCGTCACACAGCACCTGGAATCACCGTGAGCCATCTAGACAATAAAAGGTCGCTGTACCTACTCACTCGGTGGTTACGCCCGTGAGAATCAGGTGAGTGATTCCCCTAGCAAGCAACAGCCTGTGAAAACCGGTGCCCCAGAAACTTCCTTTCCCCGGCTTGTCGATAATTGAGTCTCCGGCAGATGGCTTCAACTCGTCGATAATGTCATGGCCCTTCTCGCCCCTCACCAACAGCTTCCCCATCGGACCTTCGTCGCCGATACCCATCGACTGGCCGCCATTCGGGCCATTCGTTGTTTGCCTCAGTTTCTTGGCAGCGGGCAAATCCGAGAGATCCGAGAGATGACCTTCTCGCGTGTAAATGGTATGCAGACCTAGTCGTCGAGCCGCATCTAATGCTTCACGGACGTTTGGGACGATTTTGCGTACGGACGAGATGATGGCGGGGTTCCCGCATACGGTTGATCCGAAGCCGTTGGGATCCAGGAAATCTCGTTGCATGTCGATCACGACAAATGCCGTGGTGGAAAGAGGAAAAGAAAATGCATACGGGCGAGCATTTGGAAGGGTTATTTTTGTTCCTGAGGCCATTTTAGATGCACTCAATAGGAGTACTTTGAGGAGGGAGAAGAGGCGAAGTCATATGCATGCGGCTCTGTCGATTTGAGGCGTAAAGATGCAGGATGCATACAATTTTGATTGGTCGCCGTGTCGGATCCAAAAGCAAATACCCAGGCAGCAACTTGGGAGTATTGCATCCTAAGTACACCGAAGAAGACCTCACCAAGTGTTACGCAAGTCGAACAGCAGCCTGCGTTATGCGTCTCCTCAGCTCCAACTGCAGCCAGCTCACTTTTCACCAAAGTCCTCGTCAGCGATCGCTCCCACGAGAATCGCAGTCATTGGTGACATGAACCAGTTGATCGTGCTAAGGAGATAACCTGCCCAGCAATCGCGAGTACCGAACCCTCGCTGAGAAGGCTTCAAAAGTTCAAAAGTGAAAGAATTGGACGAACAGAGGATTGGGTGGATGTTGAATGCCGAATTGGAAGCCGTCTCCACCAACAAAACATCCGGAGGTCACTGCCGATGGCGGGGTTCTGTCAGCCGGTCGAGAAACCCGGTATTGATCGATATTGTGACATTGAGAAGAGTGTCTATATAATCGCTGGCAAGCCCTTGAACCTATTAGTTATTAAAGACAGCGATCGTGAAACGTCTACAATTGGCATAGCATCACCTAATCTTCAACATGAAGGGCGCAATACCGACCACACAAATCGCCGCGGTCATCGAGAATCCCGGCCCAAAGGGAACAGTCCGAATCACTAATACACACCCCGTCGAGACTCCAAACAGGAACCAGGTCCTCGTGAAGCTAGCATTCAGCGGTATATGGTAAAGTACCTTCCGCTTCCTCCCCTTTGCTCTACTCAGCGTTGCTGACAATCCAGTCTATTAGTGGATCAGAAGTTCGAGCCCTCCTTGGCTGGGGCAAATACAAGCCAGTCGTAGGCCACGAAGGCATCGGCACAGTCGTCCAAGCAGGCGAAGGTGTCTCAGAATCACTGCTCGGCCAGAGAGTAGGCGTCAAATGGCTTCACAGCGCATGCAGCCAATGTTCTCACTGCAAAACCTCCTCTTCAAATCACTGCGTAGCGCCCGTCTTTACTGGACTCCACGTTCAAGGGACTCTACAGCAATACGTCGTCGCCGATGCACGATATCTCACGAGGATTTCTGATGCCTTAGCTGGCGAACTGGCTGCTCCTCTGCTGTGCGCAGGCTTGACCATGGCGGGCGGAATTGCGGCACTGGACCGGCATATTCCAACCGATGGCTGGGTCGTAATATCAGGTTCTGGCGGTGGCCTAGGACATATAGGAGTCCAAATGGCCAGCAGGCTGAGAGCCTATAGGGTTATTGCCGTCGATTCGGGGGCGTCAAAGCGCGAGCTCAGCCTCCAATGCGGCGCCAAAGCCTTTATCGACTTTGAGGCGGAGGATGTCGAGCAGAGGGTGAAGGAGATCACTGGCGAAGGAGCTCATGCTTGCCTTATTGTATCCGGATCCGAAACTGCGTTTGAACTTGCGCCAAAGTTGGTTCGCAACACAGGATTATTGGCGGTCATCGGCCTGCCACCTGCTACGTTCAATTTCCCCTTGGCAGCCAGCGTATATGCTGCAAAAGGTACCCCGAACCCTGACATTGCCTTACGTACATATGTCAAAGTCGTACAAGTTGCTGATTGTCTCTTCTAATTAGCACTCACCGTCACGGGAATCATGGTAGGGAATGAGCAGCAGATGGACGACCTTCTTCAGCAAGCAGTCGCGGGCATTATCAAGCCGGACATACAGGTTGAAGAGTTCTCTCAAGTCCCGCAGATTTTTGACATGCTCAAGGACAATCAGGTAACTGGGAGGATAGTGGTGAAGATTCCAGAGTAAGGCTACAGGGCAATAGTAGAGTCAGTAGGCGTGCTTCTTCGGCCATGCCTTCACATAAGATTACAACACTGGGAGGGCGGTGGTGGTATAGACAATAGACACTAGAATCGGAGTGCAGATGTATGTATATAAGGCACTGCGACGCACTTATGAAGCTATGTACATTAAACGACGCGCTCAAACGCCTCTCATTAAAACAGAGCTATCAGCTTCTCTCATATCATCAATCATTTAGCACTTCTGAGGCTTCCAGTTGGGAATAATGTAGCCGCCGTTAGGGTCGTTAATGTCAAAGGTATCTTCGCCCCTCCAAGCGTGGAGGAACCAGCCGACGTTCTGGCTCTTGAAGTAAGCGCAGTTGTTGTCGAAAGTCTTCCAGAAGTTGGTGTACTGAGGACGGCCCAGATCGGTGTGTCCGGCATAGTGGTCGGTAGGACCCCACGCCCACTGCGTCTCGGTGACAAAGGTAGGCAGGCCGACGTTGGTCTTGACCCAGTTGATCTGAGACTGGATGTAGCTCCAGGCCTGGGACTCGGGCTGGTTGAAGTGGTAGAAGGGCATCGGGTGGATGTGGGCAACATCCGAGTTAGCCTTGACACCGGCGCCGATGGATCCGAGGCCCTGGCCGTTGTTGCCGCTCATCGAGCCGGGTCGGTCCCAGTCCTCCGAAATGCCCACCAAGATGCCCTTCTGGTTGAGGGTGGCGCGGAACTTGCCGAGGTCGTTGACGAAGTTGCCCTGGTCCATGCCGTCACCAACGGGCTCCGAGCCGAACTCGGCCCAGTGGACGACGTAGGGGGCAATCGCCGCAACGGAGGGATCGTTGATGGCGTCGTAGATGGCCTGTTGGGACTGCTGCCAAACGTTCTGAAAGTGCGTGTAAGCATGTATGATACACTTGTAGATGATGCTGAGATTGTACTTACGCCACCGCCAAAGTTGGTCCAGACCTGCACAATCAGGCCCATGTTGTTGTTATACGCAGCCTTGATGGCGTTGATGAAGACGCTGGGCTGAGTGCACACGGGGTAGTACATGCGGACGATGCTGGCGCCAAAGTCCCTCTTCATCTGAGCAAAGTCCGTGTTCATCTGGGCGTAGCCGTTGGACGCGTCGTTGCAGTTGCCGTCCTCCAGAGGGTATGAAAAGCCCATGAAGCCATAGTAGTCGGACTGAGGGCACCACCACTGGTCGAGGGGAGTGCTGGGAGCAGCAAAGTTGCCGGGGAGAGTGGCATTGCCCAGGGGGAAGCAGTTGCCGGCGGCGGCGGCAGTGGGAGCCGCAAGAGCGGGCACCGCGGCCAGAGCGGCGAGGGAGAGCAGCGAGGAGATCATGGCTGCGGATCTTGTCTCTCGAGAGGGCTTGATCCGAGTTGAGCAGATGATGGAGAGTTGAAGAAGCTGGATATCGGCAAGGGATTAGAGACACCCAGCCGGGTATTAATACTTTATCTACTCGACCGCTGAGGCTACAAACAAGCATAAGCATGAGATGGTCCCTGATCGATCTGCCTCGAATTACAGCCAACCAAGTCAAATCTTCCAACGGCAAAGTGGGAAGCCCTGCGTCCATCCAGGGGGTGTTGTCAGTCTCTTGCTGTCCATGATTGCCACTCCATCTGGCGCCTGAAAGCAGACTATCCAGGTAAGGAGAGGAGTTTCTCCAGCTTTCACCAAAAGAAGCAGCTCCAAAGGCATGCCCTCTCCACAAAAGCAGAGTACGAAGTAGCATCCCAGCTCATCAGCTGTCCGTCATATGGACGGACAAATTGTCACTCGCGCTCCGGAAACAGGAGCCCGCCACCCCCACAGAGGCGAGGCTATCCGCTCGTTTGTTTCCTTTTGGTGATCAACTTCCCTTCCAGCTGACAACAAGAGGTGAAAGAAAAAGGCCCGACTGAAAAGCCGGCTGAACCGCCTCCCCGCCGGCAATTACGGCAGCGTGCAGCAAGCATTCCCAAGTCCTTAAAAAAAGCAACAAACGTTCCCTTGAGCCTTGCTCGATTCTGCCCTATCCAGTTGTAGCAAGTGAGGTTGAAACAGGGGGGGCCCGCAGCGTTGAAGATGCCAGCTTCCCAGATGAGAAATCGAGGCTGTTAAGGCTCGGGCTAGCAGGGGGGTCTGACACGCGCTATTACACATGTCCATGTGCCGCTGGCCAGGAGAGACCCATCTTGCTGAGGAGAGTTCGTATTTCTTTGTTCTGCATCGCTGTTACTATGTTATTGTGCTTCGGGTCTTGCAGTTGTCAACTCCACGATGGGTCGTGCTGCATGGGATGAGGCCACTTCTGACGAGGGGCGGTAACTATAGACGAATGGTGCTGCTTGCTATTACCGCTTGCCATTGATGAACCAGACAGAGAAGCATGTTACCAGGAAAGAAGACGACAAGTCCTATCAAGCAGCAACCCATACCGGTTTACAACTTCCACAGGCCAAAGCTAATTCTCGGCCATGCTCCCCCTTGCTGCCGATCTATCGAGAGCCCTCGGCATGAAGCCTTGCCTAGCCCAAGTTTCCTGCGCCTCGACGGAGTAGAACAACAGATGCTAACATCTAATTTTAAGGTTACTCCGCGTTCTGCTAAAACAAGCAGGATCGTGAGAATACGAGTGTAACGTAAGCTAAGCAAGCAGGGCTCGTCACACCTACCAATGGCTACGAAGTAATGGTCTGAGGCATGAAGAAATAGGAAGCCTATTCATGCTGCCTCGACGAAAAGGGGAACCCGCATGTTACCGACGGCTCAACTATTCACGCCTTTTGTGGAAGCTGCTTCTAGAATGCCTTCAATCGAGCGCTAGAACGCTGTCAATCCCTCTTTTACTGGCTTTAAACTCCGCTGCAGCTTGACATCCATCTGAGCAGTTGCTTCGAGTTTCAGAGCGGTCATCAGCTCATGTCAATGGAAATCATCCGCAAATCATCTTAAAACAGGACCAGCCTCGTGAATTGAGAAGGTAAATTTAACATTGCTTGACATATTCCATTCCTTCAGCAACATCTAGTTGCCTGACGACAGTTGACGACAGGGAACGGAGGGCGGACTTACAACCTTGTGCGTAAATATAATACGAGAAAGAGAAACACATAAGCTGGAACAGGCCATTAAGTGCAGGTGGTAAGATTGTCGGGATTTATCAAGTCCTGAGATAGGAAAACAATGCGGTTGATACTATATGACGTACCGCTCACTACCAATCTATTCCAAACAATATCAGCTGCCGTGACAGGTAGTTGCAGGGTTGATAGTTCCTCCAGTAGAATATGGTCAAAACCCTCGATCTCAGCGACAACTCAAGAAGCATGACATAATGGGACAGTCGGTAATGTCAAAGGTAGTTGTTGAGTACAGAACAAGGACATTCACTCTAGACGAGCCAAATCATCAAAATACTATATACAATTGCTCTTCTACGAACACTCGTGCAAAACTGTACAAGCCATCGATACCCCCTCTCAACCGATGTTTTCTCCATACATGTCTCATTACATAATTATTTGCTTTTCATTATTTAGCTGCTCTCAACCTGCTTCAGCAGACCCTCGAGGTTGATGCTCTTGGGGCGCTCAATGGGCAGACCCAGGGCGCGATCCCAGATGAGCTGAGCAAGAGGACCCAGACCACGCGAGACACCAAAGGTGGCGGTGTAGTACAGCGTCTCGTGGAAGCCGTAGTGGTGGAAGAGGACACCGGAGCTGCTGTCGACGTTGGGGTAGGGGTTCTTGGTCTTGCCGTGCTTCTTGAGCACCTCGGGGGCGATGCGGCTGTTCTTCTCAACCAGCTGGAAGACAGGGTCCTTGGCAATCGCGGGGCGGGACGCGGCATAGTCCATGAGAGCCTCGAATCGAGGGTCGGGCTTGCGCAGAACTGCATGTCCATAGCCGGGCACGACGCGGCCCGAGTTCAGAGTGGACCAGAGGTAGTCGTGGACATCCTGCTCGGTGTAGTTGGCGGGGATGGCCTCCTTCATCTGCAGGATCCAGCGAAGGACCTCCTGGGCGGCGAGTCTATGGTGATAGAAGCGTACAGGTTAGCTTGTATACATGGTATAGGAGTGTTGGCGCGTATATGTTGACAGCTTACCCGTGAAGAGGACCGGCCAAGCCCTGGAGACCAGCACTGTAAGACAAGAAGGGGTCGCTCAGGGCACTACCGACAAGGTGGGTAGTGTGGGCAGACACATTGCCACCCTCGTGGTCGCCGTGGAGGGCAAGATAGAGGCGGAGGAGGTCCTGGAAATCCTCGTTCTCCTTGCCGCCCTTGCCGAGCATGGCCGCAAAGTTGTAGGACCAGTCCTGCTCAAGATCGACCTCGGCGGGGAGGGCACCACCGCCGCGGTAGGAGTTTTGGTAGATCTTGGCGGCAATGGTGGGCAGCTTGGCGAGCAGCGAGATGCTGTCGTCAAAGGTGGGCTCCCAGTAGTCGGCCTTGCTGATGCCCTTCTCGTAGGCCTTGGCGAACTTGGACTCGTAGTTGAGGGCAGAGACGGCAATGGCAAACTGAGTCATGGGATGCAGGTCCTTGGGGAAGTCGTCGAGCATCTTGCTGACGAAGGCGGGGATCTGGGCCTGGGAGGCCAGCTCGCGGGAGAACTGGCGGACCTGGTTGACGGAGGGCACCTGACCGGTCAGCAGCAGCCAGAACATGGCCTCGGGCAGCATCTCAGTGCCCGTCTTGCCCTTGGGCAGCTCCTTCTGGCAGTCCTTGATGGTGCGGCCGTGAAAGCGGATGCCCTCGTTGGCGTCGAGCACGGAGCCCTCCCAGACCATGGCCTTGAGACCGCGCATGCCGCCGAGCGTGTTCTCGACCTTGACCTCGCCAATGACCTTGCTGCCGTGGGCCTTGACCTTCTTCAGCAGCTCGCGCTTGGCGGGGATGACGCTCTTGAGCGTCGTCTTGAGGTCGGGCTCAGCCGTGGAGTAGCATCGCGCGGCGTTGGCGAGGAGGGCGGCGCGGGTGTAGGGCTATGGATGGCGAGAGTGTCAGTTCGTGTCAGTCCGTGCCAATTCGTCTGGGTAGAAGATGGTCACAGTGGTAAAGAGAGGAGTCTGCTGACCTTGAAGGAGCGCAGGGCTCGAGCCGACGAGGTGACGTTGAGAGCCATGGTTTGGCAGAGGTGAAGATGGATGAATGAATGAGACGAGCTGCTCCTGATGGCGGGGCACAGCCAGTTAGCTATGGGAGCTGCATGATGCTATCGCCGATAAGATTAGGGAGTAAAACGTTGACTTACACAGGGACACGACAAGGGGCAGATGGACGCTCAGATGCCTTTGCACACAGCGGTGATCAGGGACAAGAGTGAAGAAAGAGGAGGAGGAGCAAAGATAAAAACCCCCAGATATTACCCCAGCAGTTCCTCGAGGTCCTCCTCGCTCTTCTTTACACGAACCACGATCAGCCAAATCATCCGTCACCGCTTTGGAACAGCCGAGGAAAGCCGCCGGTCGGTCCGTCGGTAGCCCCGCGCGCTCCCATTGGCCAATCTGGCTCAGCCGCGCCTTTATCGGCCCCTCCTCCGCAGTTCTGTGGCGATCAAGATCACTAAGCCGAGCAGTTCATAAGTCGAGTTGTCGCCCTGGAGAAGGAAGCAGGAAGCCGCATGTCCGGGGATTCGAGTTGTCACTGAGAGCATCGCAGACGAATCACTTTTTTTTGCCTCGGTAAATCATCCTTGATTGCGATCCTCCCAGAGTCACACCGTCCAAGATGATGCGAATAGCTTCACGCGCCTCTCAGCGGGGTTGCTCTCTGGCCTCCTCCTCCTCGTCGGCCGCTCTTCGACGATCGATGCGGCCATCTGCCGCCATACGCGCCATCGCAACCTCAACCGCTCGCATGGCTGCTCCATCCGGCTTCGGCCCTGGTGCTGTGCCACCAGCAGACGCGTATCAGCTGCTACCAGAGTCGCAAAAGACGGGCCAGGCCGAAGATGCGCTCTACGAGGCCCAGGTCAAGGAGATTGAGGAATGGTGGGCAACACCTCGCTTTGCTGGCATTCGACGTCCGTACACCGCCGCCGACGTCGCCTCGAAGCGCGGCAGCCAGTTCTTCAAGTATCCGAGCTCCGTCATGGCCACCAAGCTGTTCAACCTGATCCGCGAGCGCGAAGCCAAGGGTGAACCCCTTCATACCAGTAAGTGTCACTGCCATGAACGCAATGCTCGTACATTCTCGCTGAACATCGGCTTCAACCAGTGGGTGCCATCGACCCCGTCCAGATGACCCAGCAGGCCCCTCACCAAGAGGTCCTCTACATCTCCGGTTGGGCCTGCTCATCCGTCCTGACCACCACCAACGAAGTCTCGCCCGACTTTGGCGACTACCCGTACAACACCGTCCCCAACCAGGTCCAGCGCCTGGCCAAAGCGCAGTCCATGCACGACCGCAAGCAGTGGGACACCCGCCGCAAGATGACGCCTGAAGAGCGGGCCAAGACGCCGTACATTGACTACCTCCGACCCATCATTGCCGACGGTGATACCGGCCACGGTGGGCTCTCGGCAGTCCTCAAGCTCGCCAAGCTCTTTGCGGAGAACGGCGCAGCGGCGGTGCACTTTGAGGACCAGCTGCACGGCGGCAAGAAGTGCGGCCACCTGGCGGGCAAGGTGTTGGTGCCCACGGGCGAGCACATCAACCGTCTCAACGCCGCGCGCTTCCAGTGGGACGTCATGGGCTCGGAGAACCTGGTCATTGCCCGTACCGACTCCGAGTCCGGCCGCCTCCTGTCGTCAGCCATCGACGTCCGCGACCACGAGTTCATCCTGGGCATCGCCGACCCTTCCGTCGAGCCCCTGGCCGAGACGCTGCAGGCCATGGAGGCCAAGGGAGCCACAGGCGCTGAGATTGACGTCTTCGAGGCCAATTGGGTCAAGAGCAGCCGGCTGGTGACGTTTGACGAGGCTGCCGTCGAGCACATGCAAAAGGAGGGCGTTGCTCAGGCAAAGATTGACGAATACCTGTCCGCCACGGCCGCGGACCGCAACATGGGCATCGCCCACCGCCGTGCGCTCGCCTCGCAGTACACCAAGACGCCCGTCTACTTCAGCTGGGACGTGCCTCGCACCCGCGAGGGCTACTACCACTTCCGCGCCGGCATGGAGGCCGCCACCAAGCGCGCGCTGGCCTTTGCCCCTTTTGCGGACCTGCTCTGGGTCGAGACAGGCGATCCCAAGGTCGAGGTAGCCGCCAAGCTGGGCCGCACCGTGCGAGCCGCCTTCCCGGGCAAGTCGCTCGTGTACAACCTATCGCCATCGTTCAACTGGATGGCGCACGGCTTCACGGATGAGACGCTCAAGTCCTTCATCTGGGACATTGCCAAGGAGGGCTTCACGCTGCAGCTCATATCGCTGGCGGGCCTGCACTCGACGGCCACCATCACCAACGAGCTGGCCAAGAAGTTCAAGACGGACGGCATGAAGGCGTACGTTGAGATAGTGCAGAGGCGTGAGAAGGAGCTCGGGTGCGATGTGCTGACGCACCAGAAATGGAGCGGAGCGAGCTACATTGACGGCATCCTGGGGGCTATCCAGAGCGGCAGCTCGAGCAGCAGGAGTATGGGTGAGGGTAACACTGAGGGGCAGTTTGACTAGAGGTCCAAGAGAGATGAACTAGAATGAAGCTGGAATGAACTTTCGGCACTGTTTGCATGCCCGTGTAGATATGTACATAGATAGACAGGGGGGAGCATCTGGGCGGAGTTGGGTACATGACAATGGTTTCTTTCAATGGCCTCAACTGGCTCGTCCCCAGCGTATTGGAACTCTGTGTATACAAACAGAGAGACGGTTGACAATATCATGACTCACTGCTTGAGGTTTCACGTACTACAAGGTGCATATATAAACCTGCATAATGGACAAGGACAGACATTGGTAGCCAAGCCACAACTTGCTACAGTGTATAGCAAGTTGATGCCTGGCTACCAAGCGCTGTCCTTTTCATTATGCAGATTGAAGCACACGAAGCTCAAAATCATGATCTATCGTGATTCTTCATTTATCCTGTGTTCTAAATACAATCATCACTCCAACGAATCCTTCAAGGCGTTGTTGACAGGTGCTGGCGGCGCAGGCCCCTCGGCAGTAACGTACGCCTTGGTCATGCCGCCGTCAACAACAAAGTCGCTGCCATTAACAAAGCTCGCCTCATCACTCGCCAGGAACACCACAGCATGCGCCTGCTCGACGGCCTCGCCGAACCGGCCCATCGGGAAGTGCACCTCGCGGCGCTGCCTCTTGGCCTTGTCGTCACCCAGCCAGTCCTGCAGCAGCGGCGTGTTGAGCGGCGCAGGGCACAGGCTGTTGAAGCGGAAGCCCTCCCGGGCATGCACCATGGCCAGCTCCCGCGTGAGCGCGAGGACGGCGCCCTTGGAGGCAGTGTAGGCGAGCTGGGGCGTGGCGGCGCCAACGAGGGCGACGACGGAGGCGGTGTTGATGACGGAGCCGCGGGTCTTCTTGTTGCGGCGCAGGGCGAGGACGGCGTGCTTGCAGCCGAACCAGACGCCCTTGACGTTGATGTTGTGGGTGAGGTCCCAGATGTCCTCGGGGGTGTTGATGGCGTCGTCGTCGCGGGCGTGCATGATGCCGGCGTTGTTGAAGATGACGTCCATGCCGCCCCAGGCGTCGAGGGACTCGATCATGGCCTGGACGTCAGACTCCTTGGAGACGTCGCATTTCTGTTGTGGAGGCGCGTGGTTTTCTTTGTGTGAGCTTTCTCTCGTAGCTTTCGAATCTCGGTTTTCATCGTGGTAAGAGGCCATGGTTCAACGTACTCGGGTTTCCAGGCGAGGGGCATTGGGGACCAGCTGCTTGACCTTGGCTAGGGCCTTTTCGAGGGCGGGCTCGGAGATGTCGGCGAGGAGGACGCTGGCGCCTTCCTTGGCAAAGAGGATGGCCGTCTCAAGGCCAATGCCTCTGCATCCTGTTATTTACTGGGACGGTCGATAGGGCAGGGGATTTGGTCCCGACTCACCCCGCAGCACCGGTGATGATGGCGTTCTTGCCGGCCAGACGTCCAACCATGGTGATGATGATGATGATGTATCAAGATAGTACAGAGGGTTGGACGGGGAGTTGAAGCAGGCAAGAGCCAAGGGCTGTGATGAGGCCGAGGTTGGGTTTTATGCCTTCGTTGGGCAACACGAGAGATGGAATGGATGGAGGGGCAGGCCGATTGAGTTCCGTAATCTGTTACTCCATGGCATGGTGGGGTTCAATCTTGGGGTGACACTAGGTAGCGGGTACCCGAACGCCGTTCACAGTCTGGCATCAGTATCTGTTTATCGGTGTCCGAGTCAGGTCACGGTTACCTGCTCTCGACTCGGGGCCCCAGACGCAGACCATCACGAGGAGACGCCCTCTGCCTAACAGCTCGTAGTATGGGGCCGGTCGCCAGAGAATTACCTAAAGCCTTCATATAGAGACTGATAGAGGGGACGCTATCTGCCGTGCTAGAGGACTGCTCGGCGTCAGAGGGGATCCGGTGCGACGGCTCAGATTGGGCGAGACAGTGACAGTGTTCCGTCCGTGACACACTGCAGTTAGAGGGGAGGACCCTAGATTTGGGCGTTCCGATAACGGTGGTTGGCCGAGGCGCGAAGCATGTTAGTGTACGGATGATGGGTGGCAGGCAGATGAAGTTTGGAGATTATGATCAACAAGTCGTACAATGACAGCAACATATACCACTTTGTCTTACATCCAGTAAGTAGAAGATACAACAGATTTGAGACTCGGCCTCAGTCCAATTCACCGGTCGGACTTCATCATCCTCTACCACTGATAACATGAACTCGTGATCCTCCATCCGTACAGTACACCATCATCATCTTGGTTCTCCAACTGATAACGATAGGCGGTCCTCCCCTCAACCCCTCCACCTGTGATTGGCCCCCCCTGGTCAGCCCTCCAGCGCATCAGCCGCCCCCCGCATAATCAGGGCCAGCCCAGCGTGCCATCCATTAGATAAAATCAAGAGCATTTCCATGCACGATCATCCATTACGTGCATCTCAGACTCCAACTGAATATCATTCTAGAAAGAGAAGGATCTCAGCTGCGCCGGAGATCTTTTGATTTTCAGTGCTATTTTCTTGTCTCTTCTTGGCCTGCCCCTCCTCTTCTGCCTCCCGTCATCTTTGTTGAACTGCGGGGTGTCTGTCTGTCGAATTCCAATTTCATCATCGGTCTTGGTTTTCCTTGGTAACGACAGCCTTGGCATGACTCGTTAGAATCTCCAGCTTCGTCTCCCCAGCTTCAACCTTACAGCATCCGTGTCACCTACATATCGTCCCCTCTCGAACCGAATAAGCATCTCCAGCAACTCGGACGAACAGCAGATTTACCACCACCGCCGTCATGTCCAAACAAGACATCACCCCAGCCTCCCTCGAGACCTTCCTCGAGCACGACACCAAGGTCAAGCTCGCCGGCCTCGACGTCGACGGCATCCTCCGCGGCAAGCTCGTCTCCAAGAAGAAGTTCCTCTCCATCGCCTCCGCCGGCTTCGGCTTCTGCTCCGTCATCTTCGGCTGGGACATGCACGACCAGACGTACATGCGCGAGCTCAAAATCTCAAACGCCGCCAACGGATACCGCGATCTGCTCGCCATCCCGGACCTCTCCAGCTTCCGCAGGATCCCCTGGGAGGACAACGTCCCCTTCTTCCTCATTACCTTCCACGACCCGGACACGAAGCTGCCCGTTTGCGCTTGTCCGCGCGGGCTGTTGAGAACGCAGCTCGACCGTCTGCGCGCCAAAGGCTACGGCGCAATGGCTGGTGGTGAGACAACACTCTCATTCCCTCAAAGAAATCTCCTAGGAACCATATGTTAAGACCATCACCATGACTCCTCTAGCCGAATACGAATTCTACACCTTCCAGACCCCCGACAAGTCCTCATCCCCCGCCGCCTTCCTCCAGAACAACCCGCCGCACCAGCTGCCGTCGTTGACCGAGGGCATGTTTGGCTACTCCCTCACGAGGCCCGTCCACAACAAGGAGTATTTCTACGAGATATTTGACACCTGCTCCGCCTTCTCCTGCGATATCGAGGGCTGGCACACCGAGTCCGGGCCCGGTGTCTTCGAGGCCGCCCTCGAGTTTGGCGAAGTCGCCCAGATGGCCGACCGCGCCAGCCTGTTCAAGTACGTCGTCAAGAGCGTCGGCGCAAAGCATCGCATCACGCCCTGCTTCATGGCCAAGCCCAGACAGGGGCTGCCCGGAAACAGCGGCCATATGCACGTGTCCATCGTCGACGAGAGCGGCAAGAACCTGCTGGCCAGAGACACGGTGGATGAGAATGCGCCCTGGAAGGACGTGGCCGGGCTGTCAGACCTGGGACGCCATTTCCTCGCCGGCGTCCTCGAGGGCCTCCCCGATATCATGCCCCTCCTCGCGCCCACCATCAACTCGTACAAGCGCCTGGTCGAAAACTTTTGGGCCCCCGTGACCGTCTCCTGGGGCCTCGAGCACCGCGCCGCGTCCATCCGCATCATCGCGCCGCCCACGTCCAAGGCCTCGGCCACGCGCTTCGAGATCCGGGTGCCCGGCGCCGACTCCAACCCCCACTACGTGCTCGCCGCCGTCCTGGGCTGCGGTTGGCGCGGAGTTGAGAAGAAGCTCGAAATTCCGTGCCCGCCGCTGGCCATGGGCGAGAACGTCGGCGGCGCCTCCGACCAGGGGGCGCGGCTAGCCAGGAACCTGAGGGAGGCCACGGCGCGGTTCATGGCCAAGGACAGCATCGCGAGGGAGGTGCTGGGCGATGATTTTGTCGACCATTTCGGGGGCACCCGCGAGAATGAGATTCGGCTGTTTGACGAAGCCGTGACAGACTGGTATGTATCACTGAAAAAAAGAAAGCCCGTCGAGTTTTCTTGTTTGTAAACGTCTTTGATTTTGAAAACTAATTGTATGTAATTCCAGGGAAATGAAGCGGTATATCGAGGCTGTGTAGGAACAAGCTGGAAAGGCGCACAAGGTATATGACAGTTATTGCGTAGATGCTCATGACGATGAATATCCAAAGAGCCATAGATACCAGCGAGATGAGACTGCTCTGTCTAAACTTTTTTTTCTCCCCTTCCTCCTTTTTTCTCCTTTTCCCTTCTGTTTTTGTGGTAATGGGTATCTGTAGTTGAATGGGTGGCATTGTGCTGGCGCGCTTCTGTTTATGTGGTTTCTGCTTTTTTTCGGTTGGTTCTTGGCAAGAATTGTTGAAGAAATGCAAAGATGGGGTATATCAACATTGTCGAGAAAATCCTTCCCCCGTTCGAGTTCACTGCGAGTTTTCCGTCTTTGTCCCGGTCCCCTTGCTAACTGGTCTCCGAGCGGATATAAATGTTCTGTGTCGTTCAAGCGTTAGTCGATATATGGTCAATCCAGGCAATTTGTCAGGGCAAGTCGAGATGATATTGTACATACGCTTTGATGCAGCTCCTCATCAACGGGTCTTCATACTCCTGCATCACCCTCGCCAGCAACTCGCGCGTCTTGGCTTCCTCCCAGCCAGCAAGCCCAAACATCCTTAGCGTCCAATGGTTGCAGCCTTGACGATCAGAAGACACAATTGTCAGCACTCATCATAGGCAGATTGAACATAAAGGGGATCAAATCAAAGCTCACCCGTGTCCAGCATCTTGTGCAGAATCTCGCCCTTCTTCTTCGTCAGCGGATCCCTCGCCCAATTCCGCACCGGCAGCCAGTCCGACCTCTCGCGCACGTTTTCCGCGCCTAGCTCAAACAGCCAAGGGCGCACTTTGGGCGTTGGATCAAAGTCAATGCCCAGATCGGCCGCAATCTCGGCAAAGACGGCGCCATACTCGATCGTTGCCGCGCCCACTGCCGCACGGGGCTTCTGGCCTAGGGCCCCCTCACCGGCGTCGGCGTCCGGGTCCGTGTCCGAGGAGTCGGCCAGCGGGTCCGGATCGACGCCGAAGAAGAGCGGCGTGACCTCGGCAAACTCGAGTTGGCCGCCGGGCTTGAGGTGCTCAAAGGCCTGGACGATGAGGCGCTTCCAATCCCTGATGCCACCGCCAACGAGATTTCGCAGGTGAATAAAGTCGTACAGCCGCGGAGGCCAGTCGTCAGCGGCATCGGCAATCTCGAAGGTCAGGTTGGGCGGCACCTCCTTGGGCAGGTTGGCGCTGCTCAGCTCGATGCCCAGCACGTCGACCAGCGGGTTGCTCTGCGCCATCTCCATGGCCCAGTGCCCACCGCCGCAGCCCACGTCGAGAATGTGGAAGCGCGGGCTCTCGGGCGTCAGCTGGTCCAGCGGCAGCTTGGTAAAGGTCAGGCCGCCCAGGCATAGCGTGAACAGTTCGTGCTGGTAGCCCTGGCGCGAGTTTTCGCAGGGGTCGTTGGGTGTCACCATGCGGCCCGAGCCGTGATAGATGTGGCCGTACTCGTGGATCGGCGGCAGGGCGTCCTCCGAGGCGGACGAGTAGTTGGAGTTGGAGTCGCTGGCCGTGGCGTCTGCATCGTCTTCGTCTTCTGCTTCATCCTCTGCATCATCTTCTACCTCGTCTTCTGCTTCGTGTGCCTCTGCGTCTCCAATTTCTGCCCCCGAGTGCGTCCTCTCATCGCTTTCCTGGCTGCTGGTAGTAGAGTCACGGCCATTTGTTCCTTGCTCTTCTTCCTCTCTATGTGACTCGCTCTCCCGAAGGGCAGCGTCGCCTGCTGGCGACATACCTTCCACCGCCATAATGGAGTAATATCGCCAAAGTGGTGGCCTTCTCTCCCTCAACAAACCTCGAAGCCCAACTCCTACTCTGAGACGCAGCACACAATTCTAGCTTGACTCGAAGCCGTGTCTTCCAGGCCTCTGGTATACCGACTGTTGCTTCTTTTCAATTAAAAGCGCAGCATGAGTCTGTCAATTGGAGTCGTATCGGTGTGGAGCGCGGGAGGCGTCACTTCCCGCCCTAATTTAGACAAAACCTGGAGCCGCAACCCGCGTAACACTCGTTCATTTGCCGCTGGAGATTTTCCCCTGAAGCTAGACGTTCTGGAGCAGTGCTAGAAAATAGAGACGAAGAACGGAAGACGAGATAAAGGACGCCCGCCACGTGGCACAGATGATATTGCGACTCCAGCCCGTCAGGTAATGTGACGGATGTGATTAGTAGTTGTGTGACCCGTTGGGAGCAATATATTGTTCTTGTTGGTGAGATGAGATCCGGTGGCCAACCCTGTCTGTTTTCCCTTCTCTTTTCCCTCTTTCACGCAACTGAATTTGGAGGATAAAATGAAGCGTCCGGCACTAATCTCCACCTGGGCCTCGGTAGCGGCAGGACAGGGCTAAGAATAGAATGTGATGGATGGGGTCCAATCCTGGATGCTGTGGTGAGCAGCCGCGAGATTGATGTAGGATTGAATCGGCAAGACTAACAGGAAAGAGGAAAGCGAACAAGTCGAGATGGGCCAATGGCCGGAAATGCCAAGGAGGTTATCGCGGGACTGCTTTGAAGCGAGATGCGAAAGTCGGGGAAACGGAAGACGATGATGACGAGGAAGAAGACGAGAGTGGTGATGATGTTGCAGCGAAGATGATGCTGCCGATGATGTCGATAGTGACTGTAGCAATACAGGCAACTCAGTACCTTAGACGTGCGTAAGGGACAGACGGCAAGAAATCAGAGAAGGACAAACTGCAGAGAAAGGAAGAAGCACAAGTGAGAAATGCTCGAAGAGGGTAAGGTAGATGGTGAAGAGAGCAATAGAGGTACCTATGACGATGGAGAGATTGAGAAATACTCCGTCAAAACGAGCCCGTACCTTCCTTGGGTAACGACGAACGCTCAATCCTGAGCTCAAGATTCCGGCCGACAGGGGCAGGTGCAACCAGCTCGACATTGACAGCCCGTTCCTGCCCGCAGTTCTCGCCCTCACATGACCAGAACCACCTCTTGAAGATGCACCGACTGATCGAACCTTCAACCTCACGAACCTCATCATCTTGCCTTCCTGTCCTCAACCCCTTCTTTCATCTATTCCAGTTCTTCTTTCAGCGTTTCCTCTTCTCGTTCCTCCTCCTCCTCATCATGCCATCTCCTCTCGATGCAATCCATGACCAACCAGCAACATCCACTGCCCACATGCAAAATCGCCGAATCCTACCCTATCAGGCCGTTCCTTGCCTGAGGTGTCAATGAACAAACATCGACTCCATCTCGCTGCATCGTCACTCTGATCCGACTCTAATCCTTCGTGCCGTGCTCCATAAAATCTGTCACGCTGTCTGTCGCATTTAGACAGCCCGTCAATTGCCAACAGCAAAGAATTCATCCCAATCCTGTTCGTCATGCGGGCCAAGACAAAACCAGGCAGAAACACCACTTACGTGCGTCTACTTGGACATAACACCAACGCCAATGCATCCCGACATCTGATCAATATACGGCATTCCTTCCGCCAACTCTAGTCCGTGCTTCCATATGTACTGTTTGTCAAATTGTCAGAGCGGCCCGATACAAGACAGAGACACTGCAGATACCGTCGCATCTTGAACCGCAAACGACTCAGAGACATGCATGTAGTATCAACCAACGACAGAGTCCCATGCATCGTTGCAAAGCTCAAGAGACCAATCACCCCACCAAGCAGCGTTTGATCCATGAACACGTCTCCTCTCTTCTCGGCTCCCTCTCTCTCCGATTGATCCATCCGTACACACTTCGCGACATCAATTGCATTGTACCGCATGTCAGACGCACGCATTGCAGCCGCAGTCACTCAATCAGGGGCCATGGATTGCACCCACTCCTACATGCATACGCAATCATCCGTGTCGTTATCGACCTTGAGTGTAACGCTGAACATTTCCTTCACATTCCTCACGCTTCTCTGTGCCAGCGGTGGTATTAACCATCTGCCGTCCGCCATCTGTCGTCTGCCGTCTGTCGTTTCTACTCCGTATCTGCCTGTCATCTCTGCTGCAACAGCCCTCGAGAAACAGACTCAGTTCGCTCCCGCTTCGGGTCTTCATGATGCCCGTCAGGATTCCAGTCCCGCATCTCCACAATCTTCATGCGAGGCATCATCACGACAGAGACAACCCGCTTACCACTTCCCTCAATCAAGCAGCTCCAAAAGACAAGTGCTATGCACATAAGACGGCACACGCTCCAATCCAACCACACAGAAGCTTACGAGCGAGAATAAAAGATGAGATGCTACCACATACTTACGTACATGCAGTCATTGCTTCGGTATATTTCGAGACTCAGTGAATCAACTTCCACCAAGTCCGCCGTCAAAACTGAGATTGCTGCGTGAAAATCAAGCTGTCAGTGCTCTACTCAAGTCGAAACGACCCGAATCCGACAGCATGCAACCCACTGCTTCTTTGACATTCTCTTGATCTCACGCTCGCTCACTCTCACGTTACAGCACCAACAAAGGAGACAATAGAGGCACAAGCGATCTGGCCGCCCTTTCGAAACAACAAGTGTTGCAGTAAATTATTACCTCCCTGCATTAAGCCCCTAAACGCCGATGCTATGACGTATCGTAATAGAGCAAAAGAATCTTAAGCCTCCGCCAATGTCGCCCACTGCAGTTTGCACCGCCAAAAGATATCCGAACCGAAAAGAAGGAAATGAAGAAAAAGTGGAAAAGAATGGAAAAATGAGATAAACAAAGTAAGAAGAAGGAACCAAATTAGGTTCATGAGAAAGGGGACCTTCAGCCACTCATAAGGCATCCTCTGGCTGGGTTAAATTCCACCCTTTCGTCTCTCGTCACTTCTCTTCTCTTGCCTATCCCAGGTACAATGTGCCAAACTATTCTAGACACTCATTGGTTAAGGAAATGTCGTCCGCAAAGGCAGAATCCAACG